AATAAAAAGATTCAATTCGTATTTTACATTTTAGACATCAAGGAACGAACTTAGTTCCGTGCGGGAAATAAAATGCGTACATTCGTTGGCAAAAGAAACGAATTCCGGGATCAGAGGATAAAAACAAGAGAAGTCAACGACCCAGAGCCGACCTCAACAAACTGCGATGCTAATTTGACCTACCTCGCCGCGACCGGTTCTTCTGCTTCTTTGCTCTTGTAGCTAACGGGGCGTTCGTGAATGGTCCGGTCTGCTGCGCCTTCTCAAGGAGATTAATTGTCCCTGGTACAGGTTATCTCGTAGTATGTAAACATTGAACTTCTATGGGAGTATGACGTAAAACCTGCTAACCTATTCACTACTTCATTATGCAACTTTACCTTTGAATGTTAAGTTATTCCAAAAAGTACAAGGTTACCTTCTCTAAGATTTTCTTTGAACTTTTTTGGAGGAGTTTTCATGAACCTCACAGACTGTCTTCTGAATGCAGTTTCCAGATTTTGATTTCGTTATCAATACTTAATTTTTTTAGATAGTTGGGCTTTACAGGAAAAATAATTAGTTTTATCCTTATTCTTTGAACAATTTTTTTTTATTTTTAAGAAAATCAGGTCAATGAACTTAATTCCTTACGAAGGAGGATAATTGAATCTTGTGAGACAATAACCTATATCTAGTGCCGTTCTGTCATTGCTGCTGTTGAAGAATGATGCCGAGCCTGTCTTAATGCTCAAGGAAATCATCACTTTGAACGACATTTCATATGAATGTTAATGATTATATTTAATTAATAAAGTAGTTAGAACAAATAAATAGGTTTTATTTATTTCACATAACGTAAATAATTCAAAACAAAAAAAATCTTTAGGTGTGAATATCTCCTACAAAAAGCGTTCGCGGACATACCTTCAGAGGAAATGTTTCTCTTATTTTGAGTTCCTTAGTTTATTTTTGCAGTTTGGCCACTTAACCCTGAAACACCCCATATACAATGTAAAATAATGGATCGAGTACTGAATCTTGGGGTACTCCTGCTCGAATATGCCTAATAGAAGTTCTGATCCGTTTGGAAGGAGTAAAATCTGGATACAACTTAATATTGCTACATTTTGAAACTTACTATACTAATCAGAACATAATTATGCAAACAGTAAATAAGTAATTAATGATCAAAATATATTTTTTTCATTTAGTTCATTTAACCCGTCAACGTTTCGTCAATTAAGGCAATATGCGGACAGAAAAGATAATGAAGATCACGATACAAGATCTCATGACTTAATGTTATCCAATTCATTAGTCGAAATAAAAAACACGTTTTTCTTATTTTATAAGCTAATTTTTTAATTCAATTTTGCTGTCCGCACGTAACAAAGGTATAATGCTTCAAATAACGTTTTCTAAATATGCGCGGGAACTAGATCAGATAAATTCAAAACTGTAGATTCTAATAAAATTGTAGTTATAGGCTTTGCCAGCGTGGATTCGGGTATATATAACTAAAAAAAAACAACCTAAGTTGTGTGCTTTAGACGACACGATAGAATTGAAATCATTAACAAGGCGAGAATAATAATATGAAATATAAATTATGAATAATAGCTTATAAAGAGGATGGAATTTATACAACTTTGAATAATAGTTAATTACAAAGATGATGGAATGATAAACATTTCCTTTGCTGACAATATGCAGGTCGGATTTTTAGTTTTTGAGATATTTTAATCCTTATGCAAAAACATTTCGTTAGTCGACTCCAGCTGACTTTCCCGAACGTTACACATCGGAGGCTCAATTTATTAGTTCTCCACAAAAAAGTGCAAAACACCCCTATTGAAATTTTCACTTCAATAATTTAATGCAAGTATATTCTTGCCACTTCTTGTAGTTCTGACAAAGCACTGGTGCATTCCTCTAAGTACGAATTCACGGATTTAGATCCCTAACTTCCGTTAGTTGAGTCACCAGAAGATATGGTCTGAGGATATCCGAGATAGGACATGACAAATAGCTGAGAAAATGTTTCATTATATATATTTTTATAAACATATATTGACAAGAAAAGAGAATTGGACACCGAAACGCTAAATAGTTGAAATCAATGAACGTTGACGAGGAACAAGTTCACAGAACTATTGGAAGATGTGATCAGCTGGCTATAACAAGTCAGTGACTCGTCTCAAGGTCAAACAAAAAGTCGTTCACGAACGTTGGAGGCACATAGGAATGGAGGAAAGAACATGGAGGTAGGTTTTCCCTATAGTACAACTCCATGGTTCTTTAAACTCATTCATCTTTACATGCACAACTTATACAGTTGACAAGGAAAACCATTACGGAAATGATAATAGGAGTTAACGTTCGATTGCTGCGATATTTCTTCGTCCAAATAATTATTTGTACCAAAAAAACACTATGGATATTGAAGATTTAATTTAGGGGGGGGGGAGTAATTAATTTTATAACGGTAATAACAAGAAGAAGAATACTTTAAGGAATCAATTTTTTTTTTGCTTTAAATGTAAGTAGCTGAAGTTGTGTGTGTTGCTAAGTCTTTATATTATAAAGTTGCATATAATATTAATCTATTAACTTATTCAAGGCACAATAATTATATTACGTTATTACTAACTATACATTATCATAACAGAAAATAGTTAATTATTGGACCAAGCTGAGCTTAATGAGTGATGATAGATTGCCTAGATAATGCTTTAATAGGCTTAGAGCTCTAGGAACATCCGGAGGAAAACCTGATCCAATTTATAAGTGGGTTACCCATGTAATGTGGCGGAACTGGATTGCCAGTTCTCATATGTTTTCTCCCAAGGTCTGATGAGGTTTAAAAATAAAATAATTAAGAAAAATGAGGAACCATCACACATCCAAGGACATCGGCAGAGTGTTAAACACGAAATCACACTCGAGATATAAAAAAAATCTGTTCCTTTAATTCCATCGGTTCAGAAGACCATCTGCAATTCAAGACTATCTGCAGTCAAGGCTCAAAATTTGAACAAGCTACGAGCAGTCAGTCGTCTCAGAGTGACTTGCAATAAGTTTATAAAAGTATACTTAAAAGATGCTTCCCTCACTATTAAATCTAACGAAGTATGTGAAACATGTAAATGCCTTGCTACTGAGCCGATGCCTTTGTTGAACCTAGAAATAAGTTCTTAAAGACATTTATTGTTGAATCAAAGGACGACATTACCTTTGAAAATATATTGAAGATGGACAGTGTCGAAAAATGAAATCAAATATATTATTTCATAAAAGGATGCTCAATGAACTGTAAAATAGTATAATCGATCACTACAAAAAAATGTTAATGCAAATTTATATTTTTATTTATTTAATACCTCTAAAATATTTATAAAAAATATTAATTAAAATTGTGTTATTGATTATATATTTATATGTATTGTTGCTAATTCGTAATGAGTTGTGTTTCCCAAAATCGGTCTTGGTCTTTGTAAGATCAAGACCAAGGCCGACTAACTGTTGCAAGACCAGGACGGGTAAAAAAAAAATCGATTTTTTAAATAAAAATTAAGACAAAATAGTTACTAATACTCGACAATCTTACTGACTATATGTTAGTAATTGGTATAACCAATATACTTTTGCATTTAACTCTTGTATTTTTTTTATTCGAGCTTAGTTAGGTTTCATCTATATAAAAAAAAATACAGTAATATCTCTATAGTAATAAGCTAATAAGTAACTGCAAAACGTTTGCGAGACTCTTGCGCAAGACCAAGACCATGATCATGACTGAGTTTGCAAGACCAAGACTCGTCTCGGTCTCGCATTTGGGCAACACTAGTTATGAGTCGTATTTAACACTATGAATTTTGTTAATGTTATGTTTGAGCACAGAACTATATGTATATGTATTTACTTATTTGAACAGGCAATTCTTTGGCTAATAAAAACTATTACTAAAATATTATTATAACAGCCTTTTAAATTTAATTTTTTTGATCTAATATTCTAATCGATACTTTATTTTCTTTATATAGATTTTTTTTCTGTAAACATTACAGACCATGTATATCTTTTGCCACCTTAACAATCCTGCTCCATTATTGCCTGTCTTGGGCTATTTCTTTCCATTTATCCGCACGCAGCTCTATTGCATCTTGGTCCTTTGCCTTCTATTGAGGCATTCATTGTTACGTAGAGGCTTCCAGATGGTTTGCTACGAGCTACATTGTAGTCGATATCCTCCAGTATTTACTCCTTTATGTGACATTGTGTGAGGGAATGGGAAGGAATATACAGGAATGTGAGGTTGGACGATAAATTCTACTCAATTGTGCAGTGTACAAATTATTCATTGAAAAGTCTCATATCGATAAACCATCGACGAAGAAGAAAGAAGGTTGGAATAGGACGGAGCAGGTAGCAACAGCTGGAGAAGGACGCTGGAGAGAAGAGAACTCACTTGAGGCTGGGACATTGATGCGAAAGGACGTTACCTGAGAAGAGAAGCCTACCACATTGAAGACTAAGAATTTCAAGCCTACAGTTATAAGACTTTAATAGACTCACTTATTATACTGGTCAAAATAATTTGATATTTCTTTTCCATGTGTTAGTAACCTGATCCAATTCTCTCAAATTTTTCATTGGTTATTTTCCACCATTACTGTTTCACTAATTCAGGCATCATCAAGACGGAAGAATTGGGCAAACGTTGACGGTTTTTTCCATTGCTTGCATTTTGGAGATATAAGCTTGTGTGGTTGAAAATTTTCCAATTATAACCTAACATTTATGTTCTGTCTCTTCGTGAGTTTGTAACTGATTTTGATATTGATATCTTAATAATTTTAACCTCCACTTAGTAATGTATGGAAATGCCTATTTAAACTTTATAAAGAGTGTGCAAAGTACATAAAGTGTACTGCACTAGATTTTTTTTGTGCTAACTTCTTACCAATGACGAAGTATTCGATTATTTGATTGAACTTTTTATTTAATTTTGGTTTTAGGTGACCATACCCCTGACGAGGGGATCAGGAGCTCCGAACCCCGACAGAGGTAACGTCCTCACGGTGGGACCTCGAGGGCCGATCCTTCTCCAGGACGTTTCCTTCATCGAGGAGATGCAGCACTTCGACAGGGAAAGGATTCCAGAACGGGTAGTACACGCCAAAGGTGGAGGTGAGTAGTAGATAAAAATATATATAAAATAAACAGAAGCAAAATAACAAATAAATAATAATAAAAAAGTATATAAAATGAAATAACTTAAAAATAAGGAAATTAAAAAAAGCAAAACACACAGACATACTTATATGCACTAAGTAGGGAAAAGCTGGACTCCAGGAGTCTGCTCTCTACTCTACTCTTTTAACCGCACCACTGGTATTAAAGCCAGCGAAGATTGATCGAGATCGCTTTAGCAACACACGCTGTTGTCTTGATGGAGAATCTGACCATGGCCAAAACTCCTATAAATATAATCTACAAAAGGTCGCGGGGCCACTGCCGTTTCAACATTAGGATTATAGGAATGGGTGGTGCTTAATAGTGAATGAGCAAGAGGATTTGAATGATGACGCTGAAGCCCCCCCCCCCCACTCAAATGGTAAAATATCACTTTGTATTGTTAAAAAATATCTCTAAAAATATTATTGTTCGTGTAATTACATTTAATAGGACTTCAAGAATCACTTATACACCATTGCATATAGTTTTTTTTTTATTCCAAACGATTTATATATATATATATAAAACTTTCGGGCTGAAGTCCCCGCAAAATTAAATCCTGGATCCGTCCAGTCATGATTTTTCGTAAGAGGTTCTAATTAAAGGGATTAGATACTATAAGATAAAAATCGTAAACAGTCACATACCCACAGCGATGGATGTTAAATAAAATACTAATACATAATAATAATAATAATACATAATACTATTGTTTTACAATAGTTGGAAAACACTCAAATGCTTTCTCGTAACCGATAAGGACCGGAAATATTGGATTCTATTAGCTGAGAAGTCGATAATTGTTTGGTCGATTAGTCTCACCTTGAAGGAACCATTGCGAAATAGTTCGCCTAAGAGGTAATTGCAAAGAACAAGGTTTCACGACATTGAGACTATCAATCGTGACCTATCCAACAAGTCTTTATCAACCTCTTTGGCTAATTTTTATCTTCACATAATACGTGAGGCCTCTAGAAGAAAAAGATTGTAAATGAAAAGAAAACCACAACTAAGTTTTGAGTAAACGATGGTTAAAGTAAAACCTTTTCTGAAGATTTAATGATGTTTATACAATGAAGAACTTTCTTTTTTATAAGTCTTTTGTAAATAACCTACAGGAAGTTAAATGTAAATGATTCGTTTTGGCGGGAATAGGCGCATAGCCTTCCGCTTTTGTATCGGCGTTTAAGGTTATTTACACTCGTGAATCTTTAAAACAAAACCCCGGCACTGGATATCGACTTTTGAGGGTGTTTAACTGTGATTGGGAATTCGGGGATCTAATACCTTTTATGACACTGTGTGAGAAGAAACAATAAGAATATATATATGAAATGTGGGACTTAGTAAACACTTTGAATTGACTCACCTGGTTTATTCTTCAATCGTGAGGCGTATAGGACATCTAAATAAAAGGACTATTCACTCCGGTATAATAAAACAATTTATTTTGACAACTGATAATAAATGAATATATATGAGTGAACGTTTGGCTTGATAATCTTGGTCTTCAATGTAGTAAGCCTCTCTTCCCAGATGACGTCTTCTTGTGTTGGTGTCCAGGCCTGAAGTGTTTGGCGTCGTCCTCGCCATCTGTTGCCAGCTACCTGATCGCACCTTTTCTTCTTTTCGATTCTTTATCGATGTGAGATTTTCCGATGAGCAATTTGTTCACTGCACAATTGAGTACAATTCACAGTGCTACCTCACATTCCTATATATTATATATACCTTCTCATTCCCTCACACAATGTCAACTAATGGTGTAAATACAGGGGGATGTCTACTACACTTTCAATAAATCTAAATCCTAACTAAAAGTTGAAACAGATTTTTACCACATTTAAAAATAGTTTAAACGTTTAGTTAGGTAAGGGGTATAAACATAAATTAATAAACCAAATAAATATTCCATAACATATGCATATTAATGTTATTAAAAGCCTCAATAGGTTTTTCGTAGGGGAATATGTACGTAGTAATGAGAAAAGATAAGTAGTACTGGACAGATCTGAATTGCGGGGAATCACAAGATGTGTGCGTGAAAGAGGACGGGATAACTAGGGAAGAGGGGAGGATGACATTTGATAAATGGAGGATGAGACCAATGAAAAGGAGGCTCTGAAAGGGTTCAGCTGAAAGGTCAACCTTCGACCAATAGAATTATCCCTTACAGAAGAGTACAGGATAAGAGGCCGTCCGCCAATAGGGCCTCTTCACCCGTCCATGTTATAATCTCGCTATTGATACATATCCTATTTGTATAAGCCTCTTGTGTTTTACAATTTATGCTCATATATAAAGCTAAAGAGTATTTTTTTTTAAAGAACTAATTTCATGGACAACCGGTAGTATGAAAGAATCTTATCTTTAACGTCTTGTATTCCGTCTTTCATCTCCATCTGAAAAAAAAAAAATATGATTAATTAAAGTTTTAAAACATTAGAAGTTGTAATACTAACAAAGATCATGAAAAAAAAAATGTTAATCATAAATCATAAATGATAGAACAATGAATTGAATTTATACCGTTTTGAAACCACCTAATATTTCATAATTTAAAAAAATAAGCACTAGCTTATAAGTTTTGTTCAATATTGAGGTTCATTATTTGGTTATCAAAAGAAATTTTTATTTTAAAAACTATCGATTTTTAGATTTCGCCGTCTCGTTTATTTTTTGTAAGTTTTCGGATTTCTTCCATCAGAGGCCCTTTTTATTAAAATACCGGTGATTATAAGATAAAATATTATTACACCATCTTTATATTGACAGTATTTTTAAAAACTACGCTTTCATTTACACGAGAATCCAAAAATGTTAAATAAAAAAAAATGTGACAATACTTTTTCAAAATCGGTAATATTTAAAAAAAAAAATGATATATAACTAATTATAAAAATATTAATTATAGTTAATAATAACTATAATATAATAAGGATAATCACTTTATGGAGGCCCAGTGTGCCCTAGAAGGGTTTCCTGACCACAGAGAATCGAACCCGGGATCTTGAATTTAGGGATTCAGTGCCTTCACCAATGATATACCCCGCTCCTTAATTAAATATAAATGTTTTGGAATTATAAATCTGACATATATACACGTATTGCTCTAGTAGTAAGGGGAAGTGAAAATAAATAAATAAAATAAAATTTGTATTATTACGAAAATATATGTGTGTAGACAATGCATCATTTTAGATATTTGTTAAAGCCTAACCTTAATTGAAAAGTTTATTTATCTTGAGCTAGCTCACCGTATGGAAGTCATACAATCATGATCTAATTAAAAAAATACTGATTATCATAACCACGAATAATCCCAATTAACCCGTAATATGTAGAAGGCAGTGGACCATAAGATCAATTATAAATTATATAAAGTTACCAAGACTGTTATTTAGTAAGACTCAGCTGTAAAATTTTCTGAATAAAACATTATTATTGGTTACTAGATACCAACCCCCATAAATTATACAAATGTTTATTTAATTTTACAACTAGCTGCTCAAATTATATAAATTTATATTTACATATATTCTGTAGTTCATATTGTATTATTTTGTATCAATATAAAATAAACTGAACGAAATGACTGAACGAATGAACGAAGTTCGGACAAATTTTTAATTTCTTTAAAAATCTATATTATACGTAACCAATAAATATTTATTTTAATTTATAACCGTAATATATATATATATTTACAACTTGTTCAGATTCATATAAGCCCAACAATAATTTAAGCCTTTTATTTCTAATATTTTCATTGTTCTTTATATTGTTCGTTCTTTTTCTATTTTATAATAATTACAGTTATATCACAATATAATATAATATAATAATATTATAATAATTAATATATTGTATTCAAAGGGAAGTCTAAAAATCAAAATAACCGCTGTCACCTAAGAAAAATCTACCACCTCCAGATGAATAAATACCATTTCCCAAACAAATTTTTAGCCTAAAATCTTTATTTTGTATTATAAGTGTATTAGGAAACAGGAGCGCAACATATATGCAATTAAATGAACAGGTGTGTAATTAGTCCTAATTATAGAGCTAATAGAAGAGCTCCTGTAACCTCATACGATTCTAATAATGAAATAAAATAAAATATGAAATACACTAAAATTTTTTTTATATAATTGAGAGATAATAATATCAATATCATTGATAAATTAATTTATGGTTTTGTGTTAAACATATATCTAAAATGAAAATAAATGTCAAATAAAAATATTATATTTTCATGTTGCTATCTAGAAACTAGAGTCAGGTGGTGTTACACTTTCTCGTTTTCCGGTTGAATGTGTGGAACGCCCCAGTTGGCGCCCAAACAACTCCTCCAGTTGCATTAAATTGCCCGAGTTGACCTTTGAATGTATAAAATACTGCAATAATGGTTCATCTGAGTGCTGCGAGGTCTATCTTCAGCACTTTAGGTCAATTTCTCGATTTGAAAACTTTAAAGAAGTATGAAAATAAGCGGTTTATGCCGATATACTTGAAGCATCCTCACTATTTCTAGCTAGTACCTATGCATTAATGTTTTCCAATTTATGTTTTTTTCCAAGTTATACGTTTTCTAGATATATTGGAACCTCTGTATTTTAAACTTTTCGTTATCGGAAATATTTAATATCCACTAACAGCCGATCGTTGATCATGTTCGAGTATGTGGACGAGTACGGGAAAACTCGGAAAATTGACTAATATTCTAAATTTTTATAATGATTTTAAAAAGTGTGCAAACCTGTTCTTTGAGCATTTAAGTATATCATCATTTTCAGTTGGAGTATATAGTAGAAGTAGTGGAACTGTTTTTATTGTTAATTATAATACATTAGCTTGAGTTCGAAACACGCTGACTGTCGGGAAATTCCATTATTAACCTCCAAGTCTTGGTGAACCCCTTATAATAGACTTTTAATGGCTTAGATCAAGATGCCTTTCCTTATAAATTGTGGATTAGTGCCTACTTCTTTGGAGTGATGAACAATATATTGATCTCCATTAAAGATACTTTGTAGAATCCATTGAATGTTAAATTCCTTTGACAAGAATGGTTGTTGTTTACCACGAAGTGGAAATTGCCCCGTTTCAAGGCCACATGTCCAAACGTGGCACAGCTTACGCAATAAGTTGTAATAACTCGACAAGTATCATTACAATTTTTTTTTCTTTCTGATATTATATAAAGGAATCGAATCCTTGTTTCAGGTTGTAATTAGAGACGTTCTGATATCTCCGAGCTTCATCAGGACTGTATCTTAATAATGAACTTATATAACTATAAAATAAAAACACAATGTACCTGCGTGTCTGTTATCTTTGTCATGGCAACTTCGCACACTAAGATGCAAGTCTGTTAAAAAAAAATAAGGTGTGTGCTTTAGACCAAACGATAGAAGTAAAAACATCAAGGCGTGATTAATAATATGAAATATAAATTATAAATAATAGCTCATTATAAAAACGATGAAATGCTGAAAATTACATTATGCAGGTCCGATTTTTAGTATCTGAGATATTTTAATCCATATCTTCCAATAAACTCGTTATCATTTAGTTTTCGATACTATTTTTTTCCTTTTCGTCTCCCAAACACGGCGTCGCGTTGAGATATAATTTTAAATAATAACTCATTAGAGAAAGGATGAAATGCTGAACAATTCCCTTTCTAAGAATATGCAAGTTCAATTTTTAGTTTTTGAGATATTTTAATCCATATTTTAACCCATATATGTAAAACCCAAATTTCGACAGGGAAAGGAACCAGTTATTGACTCCATATTCAATCATCAAAGGATTTTATTTATTTATCTGAACACTTTAAAAGTTATTACACATACCTGGGTATCACAAAATGGTATGAGAAAGAAAATTATATACTATTATAGGTAGGTATAATTTGCTAGATTTCAATCAACATTTAGAGAATAGAACTCTTCGGAAATAGAGCTCTTCGGTTTTTCTTATTCTCAAACATTAGAGGCTTTGACAATTTGCTAATTATGTTCCGGTCTTCGACTTCTCACGTTTCTCTTCCTTAAGTTGAAAAACATTCTTTTTCGATGTTTTTCGAAAACATACCAGCTGCAGTCTATGAATAAATCTGCGTTACTCTTATCGTTTAACCCCTTTTGCGCAGAGGTATCCGTTTCCTTTAATAGAATAAAATCGGTTCATCAGTTCGAGAGGTAATCGTATCACAGACAGCCAGACCATAGTTAAAAAGTTTTTTCGGACAAGGAGAGCTCTTAAACGCAAAGATCCCTTGATAATTTGAGCCTATTAATGACAATAAATCCCTTACCTCTGGAGGTAGAGAAGTATAAAATATTTGACTTATTTTTAGATAGTTTAATGTACAACCGTCTAATCTTATATGAAACTAGCTATTTATACATTTTAAAAAATAATAATAAGGCTTAGCAAACGCGAAGGGTCGATGCCAATACCTTTTTTCAACTTGTGCCATAAATCCCCTAAAGCAGTCCCCACCCGGAGACCCGAAGGACGTTCAATCCTACGTCACGCCCTCCAGCATGTCTGGAGGGTCCCTTTCATTGTTGGCAATCGAGTCCAACGGACTTAGCCGAGAGGAACTTCCAAGGAATTGCCACTAAACATCCCCACATCCACCACCTGTTTGATTCTTCCCTTTGCGGTAATGAGCCCGTTCGAGGACTATTTTTAATATTTATAAAAGGCCATTTTATTATATTTAGAAATATTTTTTAAGGTTAATTTTGTTCAATGACTCCAGGACTATTTTCAAATATTTTTAACCGTTTTTGTTTGTTATTTCTTAATGATATTTACAACTGTATTAAACAAATACATCTAGTAAATTTGAACATATGGATATGAAATGGACATGAAAACATTTGCTGAGCAACTACCCAGTGGTAGCACTCTAATGATACGTCTACATTAGGAGATCACGGGGCCATCTTCTTTTCAGACGCTTTGGAGGGTTATCAGGAATTGAAGAGGAAGCAAGGTTAGAAACGAGTGGGTTGGGATAATTCTAAGTTTATTGTGGAAGGATAGGTATCTGGATTGGGCCAGATCTGAAACATTAAGGTCATTATGGATGGTTTTATTTGTAACAAAGTAGGGAGCATTGAGGATTTTACGAAGGATTTTCGATTGTAAGGATTGGATATGAGAGGAATTCCATGGTTTAGTGGAGCCCCATAGCTCAATTCCGTAAGTCCACATAAGCCTTATTATAGTCATGTATATGAGTCTTTTGTAATTAATTGGAAGTTTAGAGCGTTTGTCAAGTAAGAGCTGAAGTAATCAGAAACGTCGAGCGGTTTCTTATCGTTTCAGTCTAGTATGAATTTTTAACCGTAAAATATTTTTTACAGTAAAAATTTCAAGATATTCATAAAAATGAAAAAAAAAAATTCTTTTAAATTATAACGACCACAGACTGAGTATTTGCTTAGTATTTGTTTAGAGATGACATTGCTAGGCAACAGTATCGATTTTGAGTTGGGCTTGCACTTTAATATTCCTCAGATCCTTAAGAAAAGGGAATCGGCCTTGATGAATCGATATATTTGTGTAACTGTTCAGTTTTCACGTCTCTTACTTGAAGGACACTAAGCGTAAAAACGACCAATTGCTCAATCCAACCACGACGCCTTATCTAACCAATGTCATCGAACCCCAGTTGTATGAATAGTTGTGATAAGTAAGGTGAACATGACGTTTAATGGACTCACTTGTATAAAAAATATTATTAAAGGTAAATGAACTATTTCATAAAGGAGACCAATTAATTAAAGAAATGTGTACTGACGGGGGAGTACAACATCAAAACAGTTAAATGTAAACCATAGCCAATTTAACTAGTGCGACAATATATTTATATTTACCCCCTATAGAATAGAACTGTAACCAAAAACTACATAGAAGTTCTAAAACATTAACTTGTGAGAATATGTTACAAATATGCGAATCATATGTTTTTAGCAGATTTCATGAGTAGATCATCTACAATTTCACTTGATGTGATCTATTTTCCCTTTGTTCCAAGGTTCAAATTTCCTTTAATAATAGGAAAATTCTCCGCTCGATAACCGGAGCGATTTGGGATCAGAGTTTTCTACACATGGAGAAGAAAGACCAAAAAAGAACTGCTTATAGAAACTGGTCAATCAATACCACGTAAATGAACGAACGAAGGCTAAGATGGTTAGGGCTACACATACATAGCAATCCATCTGGAAGCGTCTACATAACAATGAATGCCTCAATAGAAGGTAAAATACCATGTGAAAAAGCAGATGGATAGATAGATTCAACACGACAGAGCTGCGTGCAGATAAATGGAAAGAAATAGCCCAAGACAGGGTGAGATGGAGCAGGCTTGTTAAGGCAGAAAAAGATCTACGTGGTCTGTAATACCAACAGAAAAAGAAGAAAAATCGGAAACCCAAAAAAATATGATTCTCTCTGAAAAATCAAAACCCTGTAAAAATGTGCCCCCCTCAATAATTTTAATGGCGCTACTTTTGCAATGCAATGTCCTTCTGGACATCCTTGAAGATTGTTTTACTAGCAGCAGTGTAAGGCATGGTTTGGTTGGAAATGAAACAAAAAATATTAGTGAAGAGAAGGATGGGTGGAGTGGTGATCAGTCAGAAATAAGAAGGCAAAATAGGCAAGATAATATAGAAACATAAATAATGTAGGTAAAAAAAAGTTTAAATTAGTTTTAATTTTACCTACATTATTTATGTTTCTCATATCTTGTTATCTGGTTCTTTTCTTAGTCCTGATGAAGGCCTGAACTTCAGGTCGAAACTTCGGCAAATGTTAAAATAAATATTATTATTTATTTTGTCTTCTTATTTCTGACTGATCACCACTCCACCCATCCTTCTCTTCACTAATATTTTTTGTTTTATTTGCAACCAAACCATCCTTCTCAATCTAACCATCCTTCTCTTCATTATTCACGACAGACAACCATCAACGCACAATTAAAAAATATTAGTGTTAAGCAGGCTGAGTACTTTTAGATGACGTTTTTGGTCCTCTGGACTAACAAGTAAATAACATCCCTATTTAATTAAACAATTACTGATTTAAATAATGTATCAAATATATTTGGATATTTATCATATGTTCATCATCTTGTCCTCAGGTGCCTTCGGCTACTTCGTGGTCACTAACGACATCACCCGGTACTCGAAGGCCACCGTGTTCTCGAAGATTGGTAAGAAGACGCCCATTGTGGTCAGGTTTTCCACGGTCATCGGTGAATCCGGAAGCGCAGATACACTCAGGTATGCTAACAGTATTATAAACTACATAATATATAATATATACATAATGATATATTTTTTTATAACGATAATATACAAATATTAGATGACTGGAAAAAATAATAGTAGGGATATGTTCATGTTGTTTGCTCTTACCGAATGAAACTTCGGACTAAGTCACTGAAACTTAAATGATTTTCTTGAATCCTCAACCGTTGTATAAAGAGGAATGACAGTGGGGGTCAATGATAACTTAAAATCAGGGATCGAAAGAGTGATGAACTTTGAATAAGTTTGATTTTAAAAGTATTTAGCAAATTTATTAAGAAAAAGTTCGCGCAATAAAATTTGTTCTTATACCTTTAAGATGAAAACGTTTCTTTAAAAAGTTCAAGATTCATTAAAACTTTTTGAGCAAATAAAATATAAATGTGAGTTTAAAAACTTGCTTCTCGTAGTTGAGATTATAACTTGTTATAATATCAAATGAATAATTAAATTTTTAATCACATTGGTCTTTATTTTGATGATTATAATCATAATTATAGCAATCTATTTATGAATGAGTTTCAGAATAGCTGTTTGTAATGAACAGTTATTAAAAAAGTTATTTGGATGTACGTTTTAAAAAAAAATCATAAAAAAAATATGACAATAAACAAAATAAAAAAAGAAGTATACGTTTAAGTTCAACTTTATAAAAATAATAGTTAACTCATATTTTCGATACCTGCTTAAAATAATGATAAATGTTAGTTAGTATGTTCGCTGCCAATAACGAGTTATCTCATAGGCACCAGCTAAGAGTTAATTCGTTTTTGTTTTACCTACGCCACATACGATCAAACTCGTAGTATTTTAGGTTCACTTACCTGTAGAGATATGAAAAATGAATTAAGAGAAAGTATTGCGAACGTAAAAAGATTCGAATCCGAGTTATCAATCGAAATGCACGTTTTACGATATCCTGACTCCAAATAACCTGGCCAAGTGGTGTGTATAAGTACAGATAAAAAACAAAATCATACAAAAATTAAATTAGATGAACTTAATATACAACGATATATGAACTTAAGACTATTGTTTTAGAGATCCAAGAGGGTTCGCCATCAAGTTCTACACCGATGAAGGTATCTGGGACCTTGTAGGAAACAACACTCCGGTCTTCTTCGTCAGGGATCCTCTCATGTTCTTCTCCTTCATTCACTCCCAGAAGAGGAACCCAGTGACCCATTTGAGGGTAAGTTGTCCTAAACATCACAAATATAGTACAGATATAAAAATTACTAATAAAATAAATCTATATAAATAAAATAAAGGTTTTGTCTGTACATTGAATAGAATCGACCCGTTTTATAATATGTTTACTTTTGATACATTGCAGACACCAAATCCACTTTTAAAAAATATTTTGTCTGTCTCTGTGTCCGCATTGCAACGAAGTTTTGTCAGGGGTAAGCTCAGCAATGCCTTATTGTAGACTTTTGAAATTTTGACATTATATTAGGTTTGTTGACTTAAAACATAGGCTTTAAATGAAAAGTAAATATTGAGTTTAACAAAGTTATGAATTCTTGAGTAATTTGTCTAGAGATCTGATTAATGTTATAATAAACGTTAATAATAAACATATGTTTATAGGTTAAAGAACATCTATATAAATAAAATAAAGGTTTTGTCTGTAAATTGAATAGAATCAACCGTTTCATGATATCTTTCCGTTTTATACATTACAGATATCAAATCACTTTTAAAATTGTTTTTCTGTTGGATGTCCGCATTGTCTACGAAATTTTGTCAGGGTAAGCTCGGCAATGGTAATGGTAGACTTTGAAATTTGACATTACATTAGGTTGTTGACTTAAATATAGGCTTTAAATGAAAACAAAATATTGAGTAGAACCAAAGTATGAATTCTTGAGTAATTTGTCTAGAGATCCGGTTAGGCAGTTACTTACTCGATTCTCATCCAACCTACTCTACGCAAGCCACATTTAAAAGTTGTACTGCTCAACTGATGGAAAAAATTATCACAACTCAACGGGAAAAATCCGAAATACCGAACATCTGTAACGCGTTGTCGCATAAAACGACATTCATTTTTCAACTTTGTCCGATCTTCCCGTTCAAGGTGTCATTCGATTCAACTTCCGAGCCTAACAAATGTTATGGTATAACGGATTAGCCGGACTCAGGAAAAAAAAAAACTTCGGAAAATTTCACCCCACCCGCCACAATATTCAGATCAACTTCTAATTTTACATGGGTGTAGGTTACTCAATGTCCAATGTTATTTTGGTTATTTTGCCAGCGATAAACTCAGCAGAGTTTAATGAATTGGAGAGACTAAAACTCTTTTTGATCAATTAATCGACTCCCCAATCTCCTCGCTTCATCATAAATGAAAATTAATCACTTAAATTTTAATGGATCGGTGGTGGTCGGTTTAGTTGTGTGGTACCTAAGCAAATAACTGAATAACAAAGGTTTTGTTATGACTATTGCGTAACTTTGACTCCCCAATTTTATGAAATCCCCCTCCATAATACAAAATCCATCTAAAAAAAAAATCTCAAATTTTAACTGAACACCCGTCAACGACGAGTACATCAGCTAGTCTGACATAAACAAATAACCAACGCCAGAATAAGGCATATTCATAAAAATATAGATTCATATAAACAAATGTTTCCTGAATCAGACGTATTCTCTTGATAACATCTATCAGTTATAGAATTGCATATGAATTATACAAAAAAGTACTTTTTTTTCTCTTTATTTCCTAAACAAAAGCTACTAATATAGCTTGATTATATATATATATATATATATATATATATATATATATATATATATATATATATATATATATATATATATATATGATATTAAGCCAAAAATACCTTAGCTCCAGAATATTCTCAATGAATGACCAACGCTCAGAAATAGACCAGCGTATAACTAGCCCAAATAGAGCTCCCATTCAAAGATATTGCAATCCCGAAAAAATCACATGAAATCTCAAATTAACTGTGTAAAGTGCTATGATAAAGCCAGTTCTAATATATGGCTGTGAGACCTGGACACTAACCAGCACCCTAGAAAAAAGTGTTGAAAGATTTGAGAGGAAAACCCTCCGCACGATAACCGGAGCGATCTGGGATCAGAGTACTAAACATGGAGAAAAAGACCAATAAAAAACTGCTTACAGAAACTGGTCAATCAATATCCCATTATATGAAGGCACGGAGGTTAAGATGGAGGGAGGATGTAGCTCGAAGCAATAAATCTGGAAGCCTCTACGTAACAATGAATATCTCAATAGAAGACAAATGACCACATGAAAGGCCAAAAAGCAGATGGATAGATAGAATCAACAAAATTGCAATCGAACTGCATGCAGATACATTGAAAGACATAGCCCAAGACAGGCAGAGATGAAATGCTTGTTAAGCCGAAAAAATATCTTCATGGTCTGTAATGCCAATAGAAAATAGAATAAATGATATGAATAAGAACGTACAAGAAAGAACATAGCAGTAATATATCTTCAATGGAATCAGTATAAATAAATAAGATCTCTTAGCAAGATTCTTTTCAGTTCCTTAACCTTGTTTTAAGTGTTTGTATTGAGACCATTGTCCCCATTAGTGTATCTTTGTTTACTATTGGTTTGTTTACGAAAATATTTAATGATTTATTGCTAACGTATCCTGTATCATTCTATCAAGGGAAGGTCACGGTCGAAGTTTCATCGATTTCAATGACCGGGATTTCTTGCCAATACGCCTTAGTGGCCGTGAAAAGAAATATTTTATAAAATTCGTCATGAAACATCGAGATTTTTTGTGTGAAAATAAGAAAAACACATTGTCATAAAAAAATTGTCTATTCCATTGCGACTTAATTACAGTCAACTATATATCCACCATTAAAGTAAAAAGTCATTTTAAATTAAAGTTTTAGAACACTCCATTGGCTGATGAGAAATCAGAACTGGCACAGAGAATTATCTTTAATTATCACATCTCGCAGAAATTTACATCCTGGTGCATACTTTTTTAAAAAGTAGTTTCAAGACAAGTTTTTAAAAGCTGTGCAACGTAGTGCAGTTGAGAACCCGTTCCCATGGGAATACATTAACCAAAGCATGAGATGGCTGCTAGATTATTATTAGCCTGCTTGATAAGTACCTCTACCTCGCTGGTTAGGCGAACCTCTTTGGATTCGCAAGGATAATTTCAGCAATAGCTAGGGAACGGAGTGTAACGGATCTCAGCGATGCGGGATCATTCCTAACTAATTGAATGCAAATGTTTCAGCAATCTTCTAGGAATCTTAATCTATCAGGAGTGGATCCATGATTTAATATTAAGGAGACTTTTTTTTTTTAATATACTGTTAATTATTTCAGAAGAAAAATAAATAAATTACATAAATTGATGTTTAAGTGACTCTTGAAGTCCTATTAGAACAAACAAAAACAAAAACAATGGTTCCAGAGAATTTTTTTTTTTATGTAGAGTGAATTAGATTGAGCCGTCAGATCGCCGATGTGTAACGCTCGGGTAAAGCCGCCTGGAGTCGACTAATAGCGACGTGTTTAGCTGTATAATTTTTGATTTCTTAGTTTGCACAACGTTAAAATAAAAATACAATGTTTTACAGTCTAATTAGTTATGTAAAAACGTCTATAGAAATATTCTCTATCATACGTATTTAAACCTTTACTTATTAAATATGTTTCCAACGTTATCGTAGAAAATTTATTTGAAAATCAGATCAAAATTGAGTTGTTCAGGTGAGAAGTGAACGAATCATAAAATGCTAGGATGTTAACGCCATTTGTTTCAATTTTTTTTTGGCTCTATTAATATTTGTTTCTTTGCCTGTGTTATTGCTTTAATTTTGGGCCAGTCATATAGTATTTTATCATATATTATTTTCTCTATTTAGTTTCGTTTGCATTGTTATATTATCATTATATTCAGCTTATATTTATTTTCATTTATAGAGGTTGTTATTTATTGTAATTGTGAAATTGATTTCATTTTTTTCTTTCGTTGTTATTACGTTTAATTTTTAAAAAATAAATGTTTAATCCCAGTATAGTTACAGTTCACTGTTTATTATAATTTGCTTTAATCAAATCGTCTTTAAGCTTCATTCAGACATTTAAACCCAGAGAGAGCTTAACATAGGATATGTTTCTGTATTATTATCCCTGGATATTAATGAAAATGTAAATAATATTAATATTTAGGTCACGATGAAATAATTACGTATCTACTTAATCGATTTTAATTTACATCTTTCATTCATTCATGTATCTTATTTGTGATCTATTTTAATTTTTTTTTACTTCAAATTGTTGGGAGGAGGGAACGATATCCTCACTCCCATTATAAGTAACTCCAATCTTAAAAGTCTTCAGGGATGTACGGGTTCGAGGTCGAACATACGAATCTTTCCTTATATAAATAAAATAAAAATAACAGTAAATAACAAAGCAGTCGTCATTTCGTCAATGATGATTCGATATTGTTTTGTTCTGAAAATGCCTGAGTTAGTGAAACGTAGAATGGGTGGAAATTTGCTTCTGTTTGGGTGTTAAGACTTTTGAATATTCCAATAATATGCAATATTATATTTATTATTTGAATATAACAGGAGAAAGTGCAAAAAAACATCCAAGTTAATGCAATAATGAAATACATTATTATTTAAGGTTAGGTCATCAGTGCAAATAATCGATGTCCCTAAAGATCGATTTTTCTTTATATCATACAGAATTATTTATCAAAAATAGTCCGTAACGAATCAAATGAAAGTAAAAAGTGAGTATGTAACACAACTTACATATTCGCTACCGTAAGTACCTGCGATCCAACGGCACTTATTGCACAGAGTATCCTATAATTGGATAAGTGTTGGTTTTAGATATGGCTTGTTGGACAAATTAGCGACAGAAGATTGACAGCAATCAGTTACGAGCCGTTCGCTCTGCTATCCCAACCTTCAAACAGCTTGTCTTATTTAACTTGCTCTCTTATTGTTCTAATACTGAACAATATTTTAACTTAAAGTCGCGATTAATGACATTTATAAAACAGAAAAAACGAATAATAAAAAAAAATTAAGGTGTGTGCTGTATACCACACGATAAAAGTGAAAACATAAAATAAAGTGAGAGTAATAATCTGAAATATCAGTTATAAATTATAGCTCATTATAAAGAGGATGAAATGGACATTTCTTTCGCTTACATTGCGCAGATATGATTTTTAGTTTGGTGAATTAAATAGAATAAGTAACATTAAAGATAAAATATTGTCTAGAGCTTGGGCTAGTTTGTTGTAAACCTTATACATCAACAAAATATTTCTAATCCATTAAGATAATATAATATAAGGCTATTCTCATCGGGTCCAGACATCTCATTAGATCCCTTCGATGGTGAACATACTTACTTAACCTCAATAACTGTCCCATCCATTTTTCCCTACAGTCAAAACCCTAGGAGTAACCTTTGACCAGAATCTCTCTTGGAATAACCATATCTCCCAGATTACCCGAAAATCCATAACTACCCTTAAATAACTCCAAAGATGCCGTGATTGTATTCCTCTAAAATCAGACAGCTTCTTGTAACCTCCTTTATATTACCTCACTTCGACTACGGCTGTTTGGTGTATAGATGGCTATCAGCCAGGCTGGAAATGAGACTGAAGAAACTCATCTTCTTTTTTTTTTTTGTTCTTCCCTACCTTACCGTTTAGGCTATACGGGATATTCCCGGGCCGGAGGGTGAGGGCGGGGAATTTAAAATCCCCTCTGGCACCGGGACGCGAACTCGTACTTTTCTTGTCTCTCAAATCTTCATATATCTGGTTGCCGGGCAACTCGCGGTGCTGTGCACACACTTTAGCCCATTCGGCCACACCGCCCCCATAGAAACTCATCAACTGTTTCATAAGATACATCTTCAGGATCCCCAGGCGTTCACATGTTTCATTCTGGTACACCGAGTTTAAGTGGCTTTATCCTACTTCCCGACGACAATTCCTCCTTGGTGTTTTCCTTTTCTAAATCTTGAGAAACAAAAACCCACCCTACATCCTGAAACTCCTTACTACAGACTTATATATCCCCTCCCATAAAACTTCTTCCTTCAGCAAATCCTTCGTCATTCGTGTTGCTTCCTTTAGGAACTATCTTCCTACCTCCATACGTCAATCCTCGTCCACAAATTCCTTCAAACAACTCCTGTTTTACCACCTACTCCAAAATTAACCTTCCGCAAACATGTAAAATTACTTGCATCTATGCACTGTTTAATTTCAATCAACTGCACAATGACAATAACAATTAACAGTTAATTAGTATGTATTTTTTATTATTTTGAGTCAGACTAAAACCCATAAATTTTAACTCTGTTCTTATTCTTAATAGCCAGTACTACCAAATTAAATTATTTTTTCATTTCATTTCATAATATATATTTGTTGAAATAATACAACTATATTGAACATACAAATACAACGCGCTATCTATGGTATAATAATAAAATGACTAAACATGTTAAGAAATTATCGATTGGTAGGACTGATAAGAGCTCTTTGTAGAAGATACCAAAACTTCTTTTTACTCGCTTTAGGAGGATTTTAAGAATTGTAGAAGAAGTGAGGTTAGAAAATGGTGGGTTCGAATGGATGTGAAGTTTGTTATGGAAGGATAGGTATCTGGATTGGACCAAATCGACAACATATAGAATATTAAGATCATTATAGACAATTTTATTTGTGACAAAGTAAATAACATTGAGAATTTTAGGAAGTATTTCGGATTGTAAGGATTGGATACGAGAGGATGGTTAAGTGGAGTCCTTAAGCTCACTTCCATGAGTCCAAACAGACCTTATGATAACATTACTTTTCTTAATTGATTGGAACCTTAGAAAGTTTGTTTAGTATGTGCTGAAGTAAACGGAAACATCGCAAGATTTATTGTCTTTTCCATATTTTATGGGGATTCAAGATGAGACAGTTATCTATAAGCGCATATCAAATTTAATTTAAGAGGGAGTATTATTTTATTATTTATTTATTGAAATTTATAACTACATTCATACAATACAACAATCAATTTTAAAATAATAGTAGGCAACAAAAACATTTTATTCTGAAGGATATACACAGTGAAAATTAAAGATCCAGATACATTACCTTGCGGAACTCATTTTAAATATTACAATTCATTACATATTCTTGCCTTAGAGCAGGAGTCTCCAAACTACAGCCCGCAAGCGTTCTCAGTTCGGCACGCGAGACTTCCTATGATTACAAGATGGAGACAAGACTTATGTCATTACAAGACTTGATGGAGGTCTCAATGCGGCTCGTGGACCAAAAAGTTTGGAGACCCCAGCCTTAAAGTGTCTTATTGTCAATTGAAAACGTAACAATAATAGTAACAATAATAATAGTAACAATAATAATAATAGTAAATAATAAGTTAGGGGAAGCAAATTTGTGATTTTAGGAACTAATAATTTGTTTTACTACAATTGAAATAGAAATAGAAATAGAAAATCATCTTTATTCTGGGACTTTGTTCCTTAAGAATAACAATATTATTTAAACCAATTGACAATAAATCTGGCTAGATGATCTATTATAATAAAGAGTAACTACAATCTAAGTAATAAAATGAGTATTTACATAGTTTTGGAGGGTATATTAAGGATGGGTACAAGGGTTACAATATTATAATATTGGTACAAAAAATAACAACATATTTATAACTAAATAAAATTGTAAAGAAATGCTAAATCAATTTTATAGTTAACCAATTTTAGTGCTACAATATAATAAAATAAATAAAAATAAGAATAAAAGAAAATAACTAGAATAAATAAATGATTTTTATGTCCCTTAAGACGTTTAAGTCTACATACAATACACGCCTTACAAGTCAATACACAATATATTTTCAATTATTCTTTTTATGACTTACAGTCCTTGGTATCGACTCCTTTTTATCAAATCATTAATATCTACCTAAAACTCCGTAAATAGCTTCATCTCATTGTGATCTACAAATATTTTATTTGGAAAATTCTCGGAATTAAGGCGTTTTCAATATGAAGATCGGCGCACTTTGTTTATTTAATTTGGTACTGAAAACTCATGAATATTTATTTTCTTTCCACTTCAATCGCAAGATAATATGATCACAAAATCGAAAAAAAGAGGTAGCCTACAAATATTGGGCCGTTTGGCCTATATAACCTTGTTATGTTGACATTTTGGGGGTGCAGATCTTTCCAAATTGGCCAATATTTTTTTTCGACATTGTGATCATGTTATCTTACAATTCAACTGGAAAGTGGGAATTCATGAGTTTTTAGATCTAATGCTTTTTAGATTGAAAGCGCTCCAATTCCGAGAATTTTCTTAAATAAAATATTTGTAGGTTACGATGAGATGAAGCTATTTACAAAGTTTTCAACGGATGTTAATAATTTGATAAAAAGGAGTCTGTACCATGGACTATTATGGTAAGTATCGAAAATGTTTCACCTTTCATCTATTTTTTAATTTAAATGGTTAATAAACAGTTAACCTATTAATTTAGTAAAAAACTGTTTTGATTGATCATTTATAGTTAAAATAAATAAATTTATTTTAGGACTATGATATGTACTGGGACTTCTTAAGCTTGCGACCAGAATCTCTTATGCAGGTGATGATCTTATTCTCAGACAGAGGCATTCCGGATGGCTTCCGACACATGAGCGGATATGGTTCCAACACCTTCAAGCTTGTAAACGAGCACAATGAAGCTGTTTATTGCAAATTCCATTCCAGGGTATGTACTGATCGGGATGAAAATGGCGGTAGTTATTGGTTCTTATATTATGGATGTTCTTTTTCTTTCTATTCCAGCCAGTACAAGGAGAAAGGAACATCCCGGTGGACATCGCCCAGAAGTTGGCTGGTAGTGACCCAGACTACGCCATCAGGGATCTTTATAACTACATCGCGGAGGGGAAATTCCCGTCCTGGAACTTTTACATTCAAGTCATGACTTTCAAAGAAGCCGAAGAGTTCAGGTGGAATCCATTTGATGTAACCAAGGTATAATATATATATCTATTAAATAATATAATTTATTAATAATAATAAAAAGGCTTAGCCAACCCGAAGGTTCGATGCCGACACCACCAATCGCTTATTACACACCTCCCTCCACCGTTCGCCGTCCAAACCCAGTCCCTTCAGATCGGCTTTAATGCAATCTTCCCACCTTCGCCTCGGTCTACCCCTCGGACGCTTACCATTCGGTACAGCAAATATTAACCTTTTAGGAATTCTCTCGTTACTAAGTCCAACAAATTTACAAGCCCATTTGATTCGCCGCGATGAAATTATCTCAATTATATTACTCGGATACAGTTCACGCAATTCGGCGTTGTGTAACCGTCTGAACTCTCCGGTTAACTCATCCTTCTTCGGTCCGAATATTCTACCCTATACTATCAGTAGTTATGCAGATATAATCTCCATTTAAAAAAAAAACACCTTTTTGTTATTTTGACGTGTTAACGGTGAAGGTTTAGTATGCGTTCAGTTAACATGGAGTGAGTGATAAAGAAAACTGAATATCTGTGATCTCCTTACACAAGGTTCGAAAATTTAGTTCAGATATTTTCAACACTTTGAAACCTTTAAGTACCAGCCGTATATTCGTGTACCGCACTATAAATAGATATGATGAGACCCTATCAGTATGTGACAGACCTCGACCGGGCCCTCTCCGCACTGAGAACGGCAAATGCAGTGAGAGCAGTGGCTGCTTGAATCAGAAGAAATCTCATTCGAAAACATTCATGTCTCGAGAAATGGGAATCTCTGTCAGACCAATGTCTCGAATAATAAGAAGTAACCTTAGGATGGCTGCATTTCTAAGAATGACAGGACAAAGGCTAACCACTTCCCTAAAAAAAAAAATATAGTGGATAGATGCAAAGTGCTCCTTGGCCGTTACACCAATGGTTTTCATCGAAACCTTTTGTTTAGTGATGAGACAATTATTACGCTGTGTTATTACACAGCTCAAAGGAAGCCCAGGAAATCATTGGAAGAGTGGAAAGAGGTCATCACTCTTCCTCAATGATGGATTGGTGGGAGTGTGCTTTGATGACGCCACAAAGCTACTTTTTTTGTGAAAAAGGAGTTAAAACAATCAGTACGACATTTTAGAACCTGTTGTAAATCCTCTAAATGGTACTCTATTTGCTGGAATCCGTTGGATTTTCCAGAAGGATTCCACTCCAGCTCACAAGGTCAGGTAAATTCAGCAGTGGCTGCAAAAAATGCCCATCTTTGCTTCGGATTGCCTCTCAGGAAGCCCTGATCTCAACCCACTAGATTATCGGCTTTTGTCTGAACAACAGAGGATGGTATGCCACAGAGCACACCCTAACTTGGAAAGCCTCAAACAATCTCTGGTCCGAGCAGTTGATCGCTTTCCTCAAGAAGTGCTGCGTGCTGCTATTGATGACTGACCACGGAGATTAAATTCCTGTGTAAAGGCAAAATGGGAACATTTTGAATTATTTCTGTTTTGATTTACTCTCTATAGATATACATTTTATTTTTTAATTCAATTATTGGAAAAATTAATTTTTCTGTCGAAATCTGTATATATTTCCTTGTAACAATATTTATGACAGGACTAATATGTTTCTAGTTCACCCAATATGTTTCTAGTTCACATTTTTTCTCGATTTTATTATCGATTATTTTTTGATTCAAGTGAAAAGATATTCATAAAAGAAACAGAGTTTTTAGTGCCTCATAAAATTAACATATTTACCAATCTCCAGATGTGGAAATATATCATTTCCGAGAATTTTCGTAAATAAAAAAGTTTTAGTTGTAAATAAATTCATTGATATAATTTTACTAGAAATTAAATCTGTAAAAAATAATTAAATATTAAAAATTTAAATAAATTAGATAATATTGTTCTTTAGATTTGGCCTGAAGACGAGTTCCCCCTGATAGAAGTTGGCACATTCACTCTGGATAAAAACCCCCGCAACTACTTCACAGACATCGAGCAAGCAGCCTTCAACCCAGGTAACATGGTACCAGGAATCGAACCCAGTCCAGATAAAATGCTCCAGGTAAAAATTAACCCTAAGTACAAATCTAAAAAAAGTGTATTCTACAATAACAATACTTTCCACAGAAATGTATTTACCTAATATAAAGTATATTTCTTCTTCTTTTGCATTATCCTGTTGAGCCTATCAGCGTAAGGGAGCGTTTAGCCAGGATCGCTCCTGTTCTCTGTTCCTTCCTTGTTCATGGCTTAAGGGATATCCTTTCCTATCTTTTTGTACATATGGTTGACCTATTCTAGGTATGACATCGTTGTATCCCAAAAATCGATCTGATCGCAGGCAAAGGTATGATTGTAAATTAGGAAAGTGTATGTTATTGTGAGTAAAAAGAATCTTGTCTGCCGTTCCAGAGTCGCTGCTTTCAAAAATAGCGGCTGATTTAAAGAATATTAGGCCAGTAATTTAAGGATCGAAACGGTAAACACATTGCAAAAAATTTGAGATAAATTTTTATTTTTTTAACTTGTATATATGGGTTTAGATATGTAAAAAACAAAAATTTTAACGTGGGCCACCAAGGGAAATCTTTTAACAGACAAAAAGTAAGATTTTTTCGATATTTTTTGGTTTTTTCACCTATAACTCCTAAACGATGTATCAAAGCGCAAAATGTATCTTTTGATAAATTAAAAAACGTTAAATTTTGCGTCAAACGAGTTCATAAACTTTTCAATTTGGTTACGCGGTAAGGTATAAAACCTCGGTCAGTCAAAACGCTGATTTTTACCAAGTTTGTCAAAAACTGAAAGAAATTTCTATAAATGGCCCTGTAACTTCAAAATGAGTTCCCTAAGAGGAAAAACCCATAGAATCAAAGTGCTAGAGCATCAAATTTTGCGCCAACTGAGTACCAATTAATTTAATGTAAGTCACTTACTGCCAACAAAATAGGTAATCTCATGATGATTAGAAATTGGTAATGAATGTAAACGTGATTTTCAATATTTCAACAGTATGGGTTCAACTGAGTCAACAGTATTCAACTGAGTTATTTTTGTTTGGAGTCCGTTACAAGCAGTATAAGCCTCTTTTCCAACTCTCAACAGCAAAGGATTTTGGTGAACGATGTATCGAAACATACCGAATTTCATAAAGGAATAACGAATCCCGATTCGGGATACTTAATTGGCCTACAATAAAAATGTCAATACTCAGTTGACGAAAAATTTGATGCTCTGCAACTTTGATTCTATGAGTTTTTCCTCTTAGAAAATTCATTTCCAAGTTACAGTGTTGGTTGACCGTTGTTTTATATGGTAAAAATACCTTGCCGCGTAACCAAATTATAAAGTTTATGTACTCGTTTGACGCAAAATTTACGAACGAGTACATAGACTTTATAATTTGGTTTCGTAGTAAGGCGTAAAATCCCGGTCAATCAACGCTTATTTTGACCAAATTTGTAAAAAAAAAAAATGACAAATTACTATAAATGGCCCTGTAACTTGGAAATGAGTTTTCTAAGATAGAAAACCCATCGAATCAAAGTTGTAGAGCATCAAATGTTGCATTCAGTGAATACCAACTAACTAAATTGTACTAGATCCTTAAATTACTGGCCTAACATTCTTTAAATCAGCCGCTATTTTTGAAATCAGTGGCTCTAGAACGACAAGCAAAGTTCCTTTTGCTCAGAATAACATACACTTTCTTAGTTTACAATCAAACCTTCGTCTGCGATCAGATCGATTTTTGGGCTGTGACTCCAGGACTATTGGTCAGGGGCAAAGTCCATAGTTTTCGATGGATCTCGACGTTCCTCCATTGTTACATGGCCGAAACACTTCACCAGGCTAATCTCTAAGACCTCCTTCACTGAGGGGAGTCCTAGATCTTCTCTGATCCTCTCATGGCCGACACAGAATTTTCTGGTTTTCCTAGCAATTCTTCGAAGAAACCTCATTTCCGCAGTTGTCACCCTGCTCTGCTGTTTATCTGTCATTATCCAACTTTCAGCTCCGTATAGGAGAAGTGGCAACCGTACTGACGTACAGATGTGGTGCTGAAACGTTTCTGCCTATTTCTCGCAGTCTAACAACAGTATTGAACATCTGCCAGTAGACTGAGTTTACCTTGCTGATCCTGTGTAGGATTTTTGAATCCACTTTCCAATATCGTTCCGCAACTGTTCTAAGGTAGATGAAGTCTGGTACTACTTCCATTTTTATATGAAGTATACAAGAAAGTTAGTAATTCGATAGAAATGAGTCTTTTATAAGATAATGTTGAAATGGATTTTTTTAAACCCTGCCGTAGTATTAAGATGTTAAGAAGAGCAGGTCAGCTTAACATCTCACTACTTCAAGTAAATCTTGATCATCTCTTGTTTCTTGATTTCCTTGAGTGATTTCCCTAAACTTTTAATACCAATGGTCCAGTAGCTCCTCCTCTTCTTAGAATGAAATAGACTGAGCCCACCTCGGCTTTTCACACGTATACAAAATCTTTTTAGTACGAATAGTTTTCCGTAGCGAACAACTGAGGGAAGTCGTTCTCTGTAATAATGTAGAAACTGGTTTCTTTCAGTAATTTAGCTCTTATTACTTCAAAAGAGCAGTCGACTATGATGTGCTCAGTAGTCTCCAAGACCCCATAGCTAGGGCATAGGATGTGCGATGTCCATAGCCGAGAGGACCTACTTTGCTTCCAAACGTGACGGGACAGTGGAGAAGATCCTTTTTGAGGATACCACCCATTGCTGGTTCCTATCTTCCAGTGTGTATTTCCATTTTCTAGGCTTTTCGCCAATTCTCACCTCAAGGTTTTCCTGCAGACCTGCTGAGCCGTTTTTCTTGCTGTTTCATCATTTCTTCACGCAGGAGGAGGTCGAGAGACTTCCTCCTGCTAAGATCTACACCGCCATGGGATACGCTCCGATAGACCCTGATGAAGTTTCAAGTCAATTTTTTGTTCTATTTTAGGGAAGATTGTTCTCCTACTACGACACACACTTGCACCGACTTGGAACGAACCACCTCCAACTGCCAGTGAACTCACCTTTCAGGACCCACGTGTTCAACACCCAGAGGGACGGTGAGATGTGCTACAGGGACAACCAGAACGGAGCTCCCAACTACTATCCCAGCAGCTTTGTTCACATGCTCAACAGCAAACGAGCAAGGCCTCCACCGTTCTCTACCACTGGGGATGTGGATAGGTTAGTACATTTTTGTTATTTATTATATATTAACGTAATTATATATTAGGTTACATGGCTAAATTTCTTGAACAAATCCAATTTTGTCAAGAAACATCACTGGGTTCATTTCTGCTTTAAGTGTTTTTACATTTGGAGTAAAATAACTCAGAAACCAAAAATCAAACCTACATACTGTAAGCAAGTGAAATGTTCAGAAATTTATTTTCTTAGTAACAACCTAATACTCAAAATTGTATCTTAACGTGATGCCGCGTTAGAGAGACAAAAGGAGAAAACGTGAACAAGTTTGGTTGAAGTATGGATTAAAATATCATAGAAACTAGAAATCGGACCTGCATACTGTAAGCAAGATAAATGTTCAGCATTTCATCCTCTTTGTGATGCGCTATTATTATTATCAAAATTGTATCTTATCTGGAAACCATGTTTAGAAAGGCGAGAAGGGAAAAATAGTGTAGAAAACTAACTAATAGAATAGAATTGAAAATTGAACTTTATTCTGGGACTAAGTCCCCTTAGAGTAACAATGATGAATTAATACAAAATAAAATACAAATCTGGCCAAAAACTAACTTATAAAAATTCTAACATTATATACATTATTTAAAAAATAGTATGTAACCACTAAAAATAAACAAAAAAAAAAAATAAAATATATAAATGAACATAAAATCTTCTCAAAATTACTTATTATTGTGATGAAAAAAAAGAAAAGAAATTACATATTTATCTATACATAACTACACAATTTATAAACAATAGACTATCTAATAAAAAAAAAATTAATACAAAGTGTAATAATATCTACAGTGATTTATATAATAATATCTCATAAATACTTGTGGTGTAATGGAAAAAAAAGAACTGTGTATACATACACATACTCATATTGGTATGCAGAGAGACAAAAAGTATAAAATATAAACATATATACCCGAAAGAAAAAGCACAACCTGAGGCGAAGAGAAAAAAAAAATAGTCAAAGATCATTGCTGTTTTATGTTAAAACTTAAACAGTAAGCACCACCATTTACTTCTCACTAATTCAGTTAATAAAATAAAATTTATGGTTGCGAATCGTTTGTTTGGGATGTAAGGAGATGTTGGAAAAGGAGGTATTTGAAGGTTGAAAGGGAAGAGGCATGACGGATGTTATATGGCAAAGAATTCCAATAGGTGACGGAGCGGGCTAAAAAGGAACGTTCATAGGTTTTTGTCTTGTATGATGGAATATAGAGGTCAGAAACACGGGATCTCATTTTTATTGAGTGGACTAAAGGTTTCGGCTGGAGGAGACAGTACATATAGGAAGGGTGCTGGGAGATGATCGTTTGATATAAGAAATTTCCAAGGAAGTATAGGCGGCGGGAAGAGGGGAAGAGCCTATAAGACTCGGCATATAGGTGGGACACATGAGACCATCTCGAAGTGCCGAAGACGAATCTTAAAAAACAGTTCATGATTCTCTTCAGTCTGTTCTCAAGCTCCAACGAGAGGCCACCGTATACAACACAGCCATAGTCAAAGTAGGGGAAAATCAATGAAGAAACGAGGAGCCTGCGGATAGGTTGTTGGAGATGCTGAAATAGTTTAAGTGTACCAATTGATCTTCTGGAGATATGAGCAATATGGGGTTTCCATGATAGTTTTTGATCAATGGTAATACCTATGTTTTTTACAGATCTATAACAACATAAAGCTAATAACAAGTTTTATTGAACATATGGACTAAAATATCTCTGAAACTAAAAACCGGACCACATACTGCATTTCATCCCCTTTCTAGTGAGCTATTATTCAAAATTGTATCGTAACGTCAGCTAAAGTGTTTAAGCATGCGGACTGAAATATCTGAAAAACTAATAAATCGCACCTGCATATTGTTAGCAAGGGAAATTTTCATCATATCATCTTCTTTGTAATGAGGTATTATTCAAAATAGTATTTTAACGCAACGTCGTGTTATAGAGGAATACAGGATAACCAAACTTTGTAAGTTTAATGCGTAGTCATCAGAAATATACCTTATTTTGGTATTGGGTTAATAATTTTAAAAAGCAAGCCGTGGCTAAACTTGCCTCTTCATTTTTGCACACGGGGCAAGTGCAGCCATTGAGATTAGGCCAACTGCAACCTATGTAAAATTCTTGAAAAAGCTAAATATAATAAAAAAATCACACAAAAAACCTGATTTTTAAATTTTGCTCATTTTTCTGATTACACCACCTTGACTCACGAAAAATTTCGTAGCTCCCAAACGTTTTAAGATAAAAAAGTGAAAAAAAAAGTAATGTCAGAATCAGAGAAAACAAGCTATAACACACTTGCCCCACTGTCATTTATATCGCCTCTTATGGAGGCAATGTATTGTGAGTTTGCACTTACCCCTGATGTGTGGAGTAAGAGTAAGCAATGGAAATGAAAATGTTTACAGAAAATGATAAAAATATTCCAATTGTTGGATATTGCTGTAGCCAGCTAACCCTAAAAACTGTGTGCTGAGTTGTATTTCCATATTTCTAATACCTCACAGTAACAGTTTAAAAATTAAAAAATGAATTAAACCTGTTTACACTTACCCTACTTCACCTTACCTTTATAATTCAAAATTGTATTAATGTATTAATTACAGTCAAATTAAAAAAAGTATATTTCCTAAACTGATAATTTTTAGAGTAAATATGTAATTTTAGGTATGACTCCTCGAATGATGATAATTATAGCCAGCCTGGAATGATGTGGAGGAATATGACAGAAGGGGAGAGGATGAGATTGGTTAACAATTTGGCGGATCATCTTCGCAGAGCATCAGCTTTCATTCAGGTGTGTGACTCATTCTATTATATTGGGTTGGCAAATAATTCCTTTCGGTTTTTCAGGATGAAATAAAACTCAATGTAATAGACATAAAATTAATTTTAATCTGCAATATATTGACCATTATTTAATATGACTTTTTCCCTGCATAATATGACTAACTGCATAATGCCATGTTCATAAAATGTCTGAAGTTCATTGTTAAAAAACTGATCCAAGTGGTTTTTCATGTCCTCTTCCTTTTGGGATTTCTTTCCATTCTTGGAGTTCTGCAGAGACCGTGATAAGTAGGAGTCACTTGGAGCTAGGTCTGGAGAATAGGGAGGCTGAAGCAAAAGGTCTCATCCAAGGCTCAATAATTTATTGTGAGTGACCAATGAGGTATGAGGCCTAGAGTTGTATTTTTGGAACACAACATCCTTCCGATCATTTATAACTCTTCAGGATGTTCTCCAAAACGATGTTACTATATCTGTTGGAAAGCTGAATTATTTATCTTCAAAGCCATATGAATGTTTTTTTTTTATTTATTTAATGCCTATGTAAGGAATAAATAAACAAAAACTCCTTATAGGTTTTTATTTTTTATCTCCATTAGTAGTTTGTTTACAAAGGTGCTATTGATGTCATTTTGTGTAGTTTATGTGGCCCTAAATTCCTGCTAAATTTCTTGTAGATAGCTAAAGTTGTATTGAAGTTATACTATGTGAGAGACCAAAAAATTAAGCCTAAGCCTGAAAACATAGCCACGCTTGTTCAAATGGTTTTCTACGCTTGTGTGCAAAATATTTAGGGCCATAGCAATCTCTCATACTGATTGAGTGGGATTTTGATCAACAATGGCCTTAACATTGCATATTCCAATTTCATGTGGGCGACCAGACCGTTGAGCATCATTGATGTCAAAATTTTCTGAATGAAATTTGGCAAACCAATTTTGACAGGTGCGTTCAGTTAAAGCATCATCCCCATAAACACTGCAAATTTTTCTATGAGCTTCTGAAGCACGCTTACCTTTTTTAAAATAATACAACAAAATATACCAATAATGAAATAATTTTCTTCAATATTCACAGTGCAATAGCAAACACAATACTAAGTTAGTTTCAACAAAAGTTAACAGATATAGTTGTTGACATATTACAAACAGGATAAACAATCCATCTTAGGGATTAATTCTTCAGATAAGAAGTGTATCATAGTGACATAAAAATAAACAGAAAAATGGAAAGGACTTATTTGCCAACCCAATACCTATGGCTCATTTCATGTTAACTCAATGAAAAATTAATTTTGTACCTATAAATTTCCAATTTACATGATTTTTGGTATAACAGTTACACCCACTGAATACTTTAAAAATTAATTTGAAAAAAAAGTTAGTTCTTTAAAATCAATTTTTAAAAATCGTAACAGTACTAGCATGTTACCAATGAAACAATATATATATATATATTAACTGTCTTATAGTGGAACATAAGATTCTTTCACAATATGGACATTGAATACAGTGGGATAAGAGTTCATTCACACTATATTTATAGAAAATATAAATAAACATATTGAAAAGAAGTTGGTTGGGATGTTAGTAAAAAATAAACAAATTAAAAATATCTATTTTTATATTTGCCGAAGTTTTGGCTCAAAGTTGTCTTCATCAGTGCTAAGGAAAGACTTGATAGCAATATGATAAATTATTAATTAATGAAAAAAAAATTAATAATAGTAATGTAATGATCATATGAAAAAATCAATGATAGTAAAAGAGTGGAACTAATGAAATAACTAATAACAATATTAGGGAGGAACTGATAACAGTAACCCTAGCGCACTATATTCACTTGGTTTTATCATTCATCGTTTGTAATTGGTTCTTTGCACTCCTTCCAATGTACTGTAAATATAGAATATTACAATATCATTAACATAAACTCATGTACCACATTTAAGAGACATAACATGATTGAAGGTGTGGGTTTTCTCTTCTATGTTAAATAATAATTGTTCTGCTGTAAAAAATATGTCATCTCTATAATTATGACACATGATGAGATAATAATTGCATGGCAATTAGAAAAATATGTAATACATGATTTGTTAATGTCATTAATTAATTTATTAGTGTATCTTATTGGATGTGTCATAATTATAGAGAAAGATATGGTGCACAGACACCGAAAGCTACTCTTGCAATAAAGTAGTAAAATAAGATATCTTTACTTTATTTTCTCCATGTATCTTTATCAATACATTTATATAAATTATAACATACATATTAGAAAATAATCATCTCAATTATTCTGTTTATTTTTTTTTTTTTAATTATTTATTATTATAATTTTTTTGTTAGGAGCGACAAGTTGGACACATCTTTAAGGTAGACCAAAGGTTTGGTTCCTTGCTTGAGACTAAATTGCAAGCTTTCTCAGCGATATGAATAATCAAAAACCTTTAAAATAAATAATGAAAGGTAGTTTAATTTTTAAATAATTAAGTGGAATTAAAATAAACACTTAAAAATGTTCAATATTTTCTAGTGTATTTAGTTTTAAGAAACAATGATTTGTGATTAACTGATTGTAATTTATGTCTACACAAATTATCATTAGAGACTGTTTTAATGCTTTATAAATTATAAATTTGTATATAAATAAGAATTAAAATATGTTGTAATTGTTTCCTTTTTTTTTTTTGCTCTTTACCTCTGAAAATAATGGTATATACATTAAAAGTATAAGATTTAAATCATTATAAAGATATTTATTTTAAGTAACTTGGGAAGGTGTTTGCTGCACTAGCGGCTGAAGCAGAAGAAAAGAACTTTCTTATAAATATATTATATATTAAGAAAACACGTAAACAGTATATTATTTTCTTCACTGATTTAATCATTAAATAAAGCTAGGTAATATAACGCATATATTCCAAATACATGATTATTTATACCGATATCATTAACTAGATCACAAAATATTCAAAGTAACAGAACCCTTAAGCCCTCAGCACAATTTAAAAAAATCAATTATAAAACTTGAAATATTATGAAATAAGATTTTGAAAAGGGATGAGAAATATGATTATTAAATTATTTTAAAAATATTACATTTGGCGCCCGAGCAGAGGCTTCTAAATTAATTATTTTTAATTTATCGTAATAATATATATATATAAAAAAGTAATGGAGGAAAAACAGTTGACTGTAAATATGGTTGGAAAGTTGGTTAGAGGTTGCAGTCACAGAGGGGAAAAAAATAATTAAAAATTAATTTTATTTAATGCCAACGTTTCGGCCTAAGTCTCAGGCCTTTCTTTGTCAGGGCTGAGGAAAGATGAAATAACAACCAAACAAAACATATTAGCAAGAAAATAACAAGACATAAAAGAAATATATATACATAATGGCGAAGCATGAAAGCATTTGTAAAATTTCATGATAAGTAGTACATTTAAATATAAGAGGATAATGGAGTGCGTGGTAATACATAAAAATATTCGATAAATTCTATTAACATATGTAAGTTTTAAAAAATAATAATTAGGCTAGTATATGTAAAAATAATTAGACAAGCAAAATATACTTGATATTACGTAAGTTTCGAAAAGTAAAATTAATAATTAATGAATGGAAAAGATGTGTTAAGTGAAACATATAAAAATAAATCATAAAGTAATGGTAACAAAGAAATAAAGTAACCATTGATGTTATAACGGTAACAAATTAAAGAAATAAAAAAATTATAATCAAGTGTTATAAATAAATAGAAGAACTAATTAGCATATTAGAATAAATAAGTTATGGTAATTTAATGTTAAAAAATAATTATAAAAACATATAAATTAAATATTAACTATAAGAAGTAAATTATGCATAAGAAGTAAATAAGAAAAAATAAGATGTAATAGTCTTTATGGAAATACATTAGCTGCACATAGAAATGAATTTGAATATTAAATTGTATAAATTAACAGAATAAGAAGGAAATAGACAGACATTTAATTGATACATAGGTTATGTAACAAAATTAAAAAAGTTAGTATGCATTTGAAAGCGAGGAAGGGAAGAAGGTTAAGTGAAGTGAATAAAAAAGGTAAAACAATAAAAAATATATTAACAAACTTCTCAGAAAATTCAAAAGACATAAATATTTTGAATGTTTTTGAAAAACTCTTTGGTGACACAATTGTTTTTTATGAACTCTAGTTTAAATTTTTGTTAGTTATTTACAGATTTTCTCCCTAATTGTTCAGTTATTTTAATGTTATTTTTTTAAAAGTTCTTTTGAATTTTTACATTTGTTTGTTTATAATTATTCGTTTTACTCTTTTCTGTATATTACTTCTTATAGAAAGTAATCTTGAGTAGTATAAATCTGTACATGCAAGTTATTTAATTAGTTTAGATATTGGTTATTTTACATATTGGTAGTAGTGTAAACTTAAAATTTTTAATACACTAGAACTAACTAATTTTTGATCTACTGTTCACAAACAAACACACACACACACACACACACACACACACACACACAGACCATTTTGAAGAACTTGGGTATTTGGACTAAGAGGACCTCAAAACTTGTATTTTCGTTAAAAACTCGGATTCGAAAATTTTCACATTCGCAATATTTTCCCTTAATATATATTTCATATTTATAAGTGAAAGAAAAAATCTGGTGTGCGCACAACACAACTTTCACTAATCACTCTCCTTCGAAAAGCAATTCTTGTCCGGCAAAATTGGGCTATTACAAGAAGTTTTTGAAGCACATTTTTAATGAAGCTGAACCTTAAGCAACACATTTTTGAATTTTGGTCATATTCATCAATTCAAAAACTCACGAAGACCAAAGAAAAAACATAAACTCTTTTTTTTTTAAATCAATTGTAAACAATAGAAACCTTTGTAACTGCATTAGTCTATTTGAATCAAATAACTTCAATCTCTGAGCTCTATAAACTATGAAATATTTAAAAGTACATAATTAGTTATGAATACGGAAGGATCGTACTACATAGTAAAAATTATAGTTCTGAAATCTCTATCACTTTTTACATGTATTTAAATTATTATTTTTTACCTTTGGAAAATTTACAATATATTTTTTTAAAAGAGAGAACACTCTAAGAAGCATATATTTTTTAAAGAATATATTTACAAGAAAAAAGATCACAAAATTTTTGGGATAAATCTAAGTAGTTAAAGAAAAAAAAGACAAAACTAAAGTTGTCTTAACTGAGAGATAGTTGCTCCTGGGACAGTAAGTGGACCATCCTAATCTAAAACTCATTATTTCAGTTACAATTTATTCATTGCAGCATGATTAAATCAAAGCAGACAAATATAATAGGAGAAAATATAAAAACCAAATATTCATATTGTTCTTTTCTTCTTTTTTGCTGGGAAGCTGTATAATATTCTCTATTTTCGACAATGAAAACTTCCAGATATACAAACAATTGGTTTATTTGTTGATTTACATATCAAGTTGATGTTTCGGGAAAATTATTCTCATCTTCAAAACTTAAATTCCATATTTTCATAGCGATTAATGGCTAAAGTCTGATGTGCTCCTTTGTCATGATTTGAAATTTATATGTAATAAATATAATAAAAATAATCTATCTGAAGTATCAACATCCCTAGGACTAATAATTGGGTGTCTGGTATATATATATATATATATATATATATATATTTAATAATATTGTTATAGTACTATATGATTAGATATAGTGTTATATAAGCAACATGGCTGGTATCGCATACTATAAGTAGAATGTATTAAGGAAAAAGATTCCTATCTAATGTGAGATTTCTAATTGGGGTATACGGGAATTTGTTTAAACTAGCTGGCCCAGTTGAATAATTCACATAAAATATTGGTCAGTGAACAATTGATAAAATAGTACTGAAATATGTTAATGAAATCTATTATTATATGGAGGAATACATTTTCCGTTTCTTTGTTGAATTAATAGTTAATTCATAATAATAAACCGAATGTTTTGTACAGTTTACTGTGGTCTCTATCTTTGGCCATAATGGTCCCATATCGATATATTTTTTTTTATTTTGCTGGAAATTTTATAACCTCTTAATTATTCATAGATTTAATCCATCATAAATTGTATATTTTTTCTGTTAAGATGAAATTGTTACATAGTTATGTTTTTTTAAAACAAATAAATTTTTACCATTTTCGTGTCATTTTCAAAATTTCAGCAATATTATTTTCCAACTCCACTTCATTCCGATGTTTTTTATAGGAATAAAGCTGTCTAGGTTATGCATCACCGTGATATTTACCAAGCAGGACAGAAACTCAGGAGATGCACCCTTTGTCAATAGGAGTTCATGTGTTAACTTTGAGAGCAGGTATAAGGTTAGGCTCAAACGGTAACTGGAAAACTGTACATTTTAGGACTTTAAAAGGCAATAACGTAATCTTAAAAATTGTCAGCGTTATCCTTTAATATATAAATATCAGAAATAATGTAGTAGTTTTCGGAAATCGTAAAGTTTAAGAATTGTAATTAATATTTTGTAACACTTCTTCGAAAACAATATTAGAATCAATAATGCATAAATTACAAATAGCTGTATCTTTGTAAATAATGGTCTGATTTCCTTGTTTTTTTTTGTCGTTTTGTAGGGAATTTAGTAAATTTTTAAATAATAATGGGTCTAATCTAGAAAAAATGGTATACGTTTTAAGTGATTCGGAAATAAATTTTCTGTTCATTCATAACTTTTTTTCCTTGAAAATTCTATTATCCCAGGGAAAATCTCCAAATTTCTCTAAAACCATACGTATTACCCCAACCCCCTTGCACAATCTCTATCCAGTACCACAGGCGGGTCTGCGGGGGAGGCCATTCGGGCTGAAGTCACCCTCCCCCCCCCCAAAATGTAAAATATAACCATTTAAATGAAAAAAAAAAATCTCTGAAAGTATAATTATATTTAATAGGACTTAAAGAATCACTAAAACACCATTTCATATAGGTACTTAGCTTCTTTTTTTCTTCCGAACTAATTATCCTAATATATAAATAAAAAATATCTTTCGAGCAGAAGCCTCCCAAATTAAAACCTGGTTCCAGCATCACTTATCACCCCAAGAAAGTTAAAACGGCAGTTGCCTCGTGACTTTTTATATGTTTGTATATTTTGGAGTTCTAGCAATGGCAAAATTCTCCACTCAAGAAATGAGTGTATGTCGCTAAAGCGCTCTCGTTCAATCTCCATTGGCTTAAGCACCAGTGACGCTTTGAGAGAGCAGCGCAGATATCTCCTGGAGTCCTGCTTTTTCCTCTATAGTTGGAAGGGCTATCCTGTCACTGATTTGCCTCGCCTGATTGTAATTAGTGTATATAGATTTTTTTTAATTTACTTAACTTTAAGTTATTTTATTTTTACTTTTTGATTATTATCTAGTTGTTATTTCATCTTTATTGTATACATGGTATGAATGTGGTCTTAGCTCTTTATAATTATTGTTCAAGTGACAGAAGCATGAATAAGTACAACATGTAAATTAAAAACGATCAAGAAAACAGGAAAAGATGATTAGCTGGTTAAAGTGTGTTATAGCTTTATTATAGCTAGAATTATGAGGGTGACTATTTCATCACGACCAAAGTGTTACTATTATTAAAATTTTCATTTATATTCAAAGACAATAATATATCATACATATCCTATATATCGATATATATATATATATATATATATATATATATATATATATATATAAAATATCCTAGGACTTTATGATTCCTTTACCCCTCATATTGATTCCTCACCCCTCCAATCAAAATGAAAAGTCTGCAACTATGCTTACCTTCCTCTATTTAGCATAAATATGCATTTTAAGACAAAGGGAAGTGAAAATGAAAATCTCAGACGTTATTAATATTACCTAAAACAATGAATTACCATGTATTTTTCTCAGCCGTCTGATGAGCTTATGCTTTTTTATATTTAAGCTTTTTTTGTCACTAACCATTTCCTTTTCGGACTGTATATTTTATTTATTTATTTGATTATAATAAAGTATTAAGTGCCATGAAATATGTTTAGTCTAAGAAGAGTGATTGATGAAGAAGGTAGCAAGCTATATTTCTTCATATTTCATTGTAGGTATTTTTATTTGTTTAAGCATTGAGATATATATATATATATATATATATATATATATATATATATATATATATATATATATATATATAAAGTTAAATATATATATATATATATATATATATATATATATATATATATATATATATACACATATATACAAAGTTAAATATTCAATAATATCAACGCTAGTAGCATTTATGAAAACCGCACATGTATATGTATATAATATTATCGGAGCCTGTATTATATCTGCGGAACTTGTGAAAAGTGTGTTAAGTGCAATATTGTGAATTTTTATGGGTATCACCAGAAAGCTAATTTTTCCATCTTTTGTTTAGTGTCTAATGAGCTAAGTTATTCGAGAAACTTATTCAATTGGCTAAATTAACAATGCCAGAATCGATGAATGTGGTGCGTATTATCAGAGATGAGCTTTGCAACGAATGGTGTGAGACAGAGAGATCCGCTGTCATGTATGCTCTTCAACATTACATTAGAGAAAGCGGTACGAGATGCACGGATCCAAATAACAGGCACAGTATTTAATAAAATGGTTCAGATCCTTGGTTATGCAGACGATCTGGATATTGTCGATAGATCCCAGGCTGCAGTTCGTGAGACTTTCCTTGCACTGGAAGCAACAGTCGGACAACTGGGACTTCGTGTAAATGCTGTGAAAACCAAGTATATGACCTCCGAGTGTGGTATCTTGAAAAAGTGGATGAGTTCGTCAACCTGGGATCTCTGATAACTGCAAGAAGTGGCATTACAAAGGAAATCGATAGAAAAATCATTGCTAACCGATGTTACTGAATACCGACAACGAAATTGATATTAGCGCTGATGTACGGCTCTGAGTCATGGGTAATATCACGGATGGATGAACGAAGTTTATTGGCTTTTGAGAAAGGAATTCTGCGGCGCATTTTTGGACCTAGAAGAGTCGGGCAAACATACCCCAGGAGGATTAATTAAGAAATATATAATCTCCTTGATGAACCTGACATTGTATAGCATATTAGGCTGAGGAGACTGAGGTGGGCTGGTCATGTAGCAGGAATGCCAGAGGATGAGATTTTTCCCCCCCAAATAGCGAGTGAGGCCATTCATACTACCAGGCGTAAAGGAAGACCGCGTCTTAGATGGATGGATGGCAGAAGATGCCCGGACGATCCAAGGGGTCAGGGACTGGAGTAATGCTGCCCAACGGCGTGTAGATTGGTGGAAGTTATTGGAGGAGGCCAGAGATCAGTAATGATCTGTCGAGCCAATGGAAGAAGAAGTAGAAGAAGAACGAGCTAAGTTATGCGACTAATGCAGAGATGAACATTTCTTAGTGAATTATGAGTTGAAACTCGAAAATCGAACATCTGTGGAAATTCCAAACTTTCACTTCAAAAGTAATACAGATATTAAGCACCTGTTATGTTTGGAAGCCTATTATAACCTTTCGGCAAAACTCGGGTTTCTTCGGTCGTCTATTATGATCCCTTATTTCTCCTTTAGTTAAATATCTCCTTCGCTCTTCCTCTCTCCTCTTTTCTCCCCTACCCAATGAAGATGGAAAATATGCTCTTTTGGCCGAGAGGACTGAGGCGTGATAAAGTTTAGATCACGAGTTGGAGTTTCTAAGCTGGGGAGTATCAGCTCTGGCACTAATTCCTCGCCCTCTCTCCTGAAGAACATCATGTAGCCTCAAAGGCGAGGTAGGAGGAAAAAAAGGTGAGAGAAAATATAGGTTGTATTATATTGCCGTCCGAAGTTATAATAATAACGGGTTCGAATATATTTTTTTTAACTCAAATCTCTAATGAGACAATGGTAAGTAGAATTGCTCCCCTTACACAAACATGCTTTGAATTGTTTATATTAAAATAAATCTATTTATAATGTCGATGCCCCTTTGATATTGGTATTATCACTTAGTTTAAAATTTCATTTTATGCAGTAATGATGCTGAGCTTCGCGCTGTGCACCTTGGTATTGTGCCAAACCACGGTACTGGCCATCCAGCCCGAAGTGGTTCTTCAGCAAGGTACTCTGAAGGGTTTGTGGGCCAACAGCTTCGGAGGACGTCCATACGCAGCGTTCTACGGGATACCCTACGCGAAGCCTCCAGTCGGGGAGAACAGGTTTAAGGTAACTTTATTTTTTTAATGAAATTTACAACTGTATACAAATACAACTAGTAAATATGCACAAATTCGAAATAATGACATGAACAGGCTTGAAGAGATACTCCCCAGTGGTAGCATTCCCTGAATAATTCTAGGTAAGAAGATCACGAGGCCATCTTCTTTTCAGACGCCTAGGAGGATTGTTAGCTCTCGCCCAGTCTCAAATCCTATCCAAGTCTTCTTGAAGTTTTTCTATGGTAATAAATATATGAGGGCGGGAAGGACAGGTATATTTGGAAATCATCTGCATAGATATGGTATTTGGAGTGATGGATCAGGAGGGGAAGGTCATTAATATAAATAGCAAACAGAGTATATATAAACAGTATGACTCGAGTCATGGCTTCCTATAGCAGTTTCCGACAATTGTACGTTATTCAAATAATACCTCTCGCACCTTCAATCACACCATCAATCCAACGCAATCTATGAAAAGCACAACTGTAGTAGCGAAATATACGCAATCTATGCCTTCCTTTCCTTCTTAAGTCATATAGTGGTTGATTAAGAAGTTTCTATGGTATTTCCTCCTCTTCCATCATTGACAAGTGTCCTGCCCAGTTTAGTCTGCTCACCTTGATGATCAGCACAACATGGTATATAGTTCCCAGTTAAATCGTCTTCTCTAGTATCCAGTAGTAAACTCCTCCATTTAATCTTCGGAAGATCATCATTTCGAATATTCGAAAGTTCTACTCGTCATTTTGAGTGTCCATGTTTCACAACCAAGGTTTACCTCAACCATGAGCTGGACCAAGGTTTACCTCAACCAAGAGCTAGACCAAGGTTTGTCGTGACAGAAGGCGACTACAAAGCACCTTGCGTAATCTAAAATAACAGCAGTTGGAATTTACGGAATATATAATGGTAGTGTTATGTGCCATTATGTTGTGGCTCATGGCCAATCCAATATCTATGAAATTGCTTATTTTTTTTTTCAAAAGTTTTCTTTATCTATTTTTATAAGGTATTTTAAGTATTTATTATTTTTCAGGAACCAGCGGCAGCAGACCCATGGTCGGGATTTTATAACGCTACTAAAGAACCACCAAAATGTCTTCAGTTTTACTTTTACGACAGTCGTTATCCCGCTAAGATTGAAGGAGCAGAAGACTGCCTTTACATAAACGTATTCACTCCAAGGGTTCGTATATTAATATTTTTTTTTTTAACTTTTATTATGATATTTACAACTGTATTAGTATGAATACATCAAGTAAATTTGTACAGAGAAATATTATTACAGGAACACGCTTGTTGAGAAACTACCCACAGGTAGCACTCTAAAATTTGTCTACAAGAGAAGATCACGAGGCCATCTTCTTTTCATAAAGCCTCGAGGGTTATCAGGGATCGAATAGAGACAAGTTAGAAACAAGAGGATTCGGAGGTTATAAAGTTTAAATATTGAATGGATAGGTATCTGGATTTGGCCAATCGGAAACATATGGAAAATTGAGGTCTTTATGATTATTTTATTATGACAAAGTAAGAGCATTGATGATTTATACGAAGTATTTATGAATGAAGGATTGGATGCGAGAGGGATTCGATGGTTTGTGGAGCCCCATAGCTTCAACTCCGTATGTCCCAATAGGTCTTATTATAGTCAAGTATATAAGTCTTTGTAATTAAGCGAAGTTTAGAGCGTTTGACTAGAAAGTGTTGGAGTAAGTCGGAAACGTCGAGCGGTTTCTTGTCCGTTTCAGTCTGTATGAGGAATCCAAGTTAGACTTTATCCAAAAGAAGTCCCAAGGTATCGGATTTGTTCAACAGGGATAAGAGGGGTATTATTAAAAGATACTGTGGGACATGAGGTCATAGGTTTACGTATATTAATATTAATATATTAAACTTATCATTCAAATCCAAATTTAAGGCTCTTCACACGTGAGGCGAGATAGACTCGAATTCAAAGCGATTCACCCCTCCATTCAAATTCCTGATTACTTCTTACGTGTTATATCAACGTGATGGACAGTGCAGGGTACAAGTGTTTCAAATATTGTAAACTTTTTTTTTTTTTTATTTATTTATTTAGACATATAATACTCTGTCACAGGGACAATAATTATATTGATAAATGAACACATTCACACCGTATATACAAAAAAGAAACAAAATTAAGTAAAATAATAATAAATAAAAACTATATACAATAAAAAAAAATAAAATAACCTAAATATAAGTAAATCAAAAACATAAAAATACAGTCATACCTATATACAATATATACAATCAGGCGGGGAACCCAAATCCCTGCGCTACTCTCTCAACCGCCTCACTGGTGCTAAAGCCAGTGGAGTTTGAGCGAGAGCGCTTTAGCCACATACACTCATGTCTTGAGTGGAGAATCTGGCCATTGCCAGAACTCCAAAATAAATACTATAAAAGATCTCTGGGCCACTGTCGCTTCAACCTTCGAGGAGGGTTGTAGGGATGAGTGGAACTAGATAGGGATTGGGCTAGTGGATTTGGATGATTTATAAGGTTCCACGGGCGGATCTACGGGGGGGAGGGCTTTCGGGCTGAAGCCTCCCTCCCCCAAAATGGTAAAGTATAACCATGTTTTATCGAAAATTTTTTTTAAAAAGTATCTCTTAAAGTATTATTGTTCGTGTAATTACATTTAAAAGGGCTTTAGGGATCACTTAAACACCATTTCATACAGGTAGTTAGTTTCTTTCTTTTTTTCCAAAGTAATTATCGTCAATTTTATGAAAAAATAAACTTTCGGGCTGAAGCCCCCCCCCCCAAAATAAATCCTGGATCCGCTAGTGTAAGGTTCTGATGGAATTTTGAAAAATGTTCAGGGATGAGGTCAAGGACAAATGGGATATTAAGGTCATGATGTAGGATTTTTTTGGTTACATAGAACGGAGCATCGACTATTGTTCGGAGGACTTTGGATTGAAAGGATTGGATGCGTTTGATGTTAGAGAATTTTGCTCTCCCCCAAAGTTCAAGTCCGTAGGTCCAAATGGGTTTCAGGATTGTCTTGTAGATCAGTAATTTGTTGTCAATTGAAAGTTGAGATTTTCTAGTCAGTAGTCTGTATAAATGGCCGTATCGTCGGTTAAGTTCTTGTCTTTTAAGTCTAGTATATGGGTTCCACGTTAGTCTAAGATAAAGCCAAGATACCGGACTGTGTCTGAAAAAGGAAGCTGGATGGAATTAAAGTGGACTGATGGACAGGATCTGCGGCGGAGTGTGAAGGTAATGTGTTTGCATTTGGATTCGTTTACTTTGATGCTCCATTTATTACACCAGTGCTCAATCATGGAGAGATGCCTTTGAAGATTTAAAGATGCTATTTCGGGATCTGAGTTGGATGACAGGATGGCGGTGTCATCAGCAAATGTTGCCAGGAAGGTATTGGGATGGACAGGGATATCGGCGGTAAAAAAGATATAAAATACGGTCCAAGACGCTACCTTGAGGAACACCGGCTTTAACTCGTTATTGTAGGAGTTGGAAAATTCTGAACCACAGCGAACCCGAAAGGTACGATCAGAGAGATAGGAGCGGAGGATTAGGTACAAGGGCTGGGGTAGATAGGTGTTGTAAACTAAGGCGAAAAAAAATATTGCTTTTATATGTATATATAATTGGTGAATAATATAATTAAATACTGAGATATATATTTGTTTCTTTTATTTATTAAATATTACAACAATCTGTCTCTTGGACATTGGTTATAGTGAGCTAGGATGACATTCAGGAAGTTATAGAATGACCATTTTTATATGAAGCTGTAGATCTGTATGGAAAATACGATGTTTTTAAATTCCTTCACTTTTATGACGATTTGTTTACAGTTGAAGACTAGAGCAGCTGACCAAAAGCCTTTGGATGTGATGGTTTACGTTCACGGAGGAGGGTTCATGGTAGGTAGCTCTTTGGACTTGGGAGTCGATTACATCCTGGACAGAGATATTGTCTTCGTCGCCTTCAACTATCGCCTTGGCCCTTTAGGTCAGTTGTGTTTTTAAAATTAAATTATATTATCATTTAAAAATTTTGATCACAATTATATTTTAAGAAAAAAAATGAGAGAAATAGCCATAAATACGTCATTTTGAAAAAAAAAGTTAATATAAATACTTTTTCTCTGTTAACACCAGGTTATAGTGATTTACGGGCTCCACATCCCCAATTCTCTATATATTTTTGTATCTTGTCCGTTCTAGCCCTGAAGAAGACCTGCAAAGTCGGGTAGAAACGTTGGTTTTCAATAAAATAGTTTTGCCACTATTTAGCCTATTTATGACCGCCACTTCGGACCATCTCCTTCCTTTATAAAAATTATACCTTCCATACAACACTCTCTAATGTTTTTAAATATATATATGTGTCTGTAACCAATGGGTTCATTGAAAAATAATTTTTTATAACCTCAAGGAAATATTCTCAGTTTGTAAAAATGTATATTTGCTTGCTTCTGAAGGATACTTCGATTTTTCGCTATCAATTTCACATGGTAAGAAGTTCAATTCTTATTTAAAGTCATTGAAATTTTTTTTGTGCAATACATCAATGAGAATACTGAAACAAAATGGAATGTTATTTAAACCAAGAAGATGTTAATACAAAAAACATGCTATCTTTGCTATTAAGGTTTCTTGAGCACTGGTGACGTAGTTGTTCCCGGTAACAACGGACTGAAGGATCAGGTACTCGCTTTGAAGTGGATCCAGCAAAACATCGCAGCCTTCGGTGGAGACCCCAACAGCGTAACATTGACAGGGTTCTCGGCTGGATCAGCGAGTGTTCATTATCATATCTTGTCTCCACTCAGCAAGGGTAAGCCTATATTTTTGGAGAATTATACTTAAATTAATTTACAATACATACATACATAGTTGGCGCCACACCCGTTACAGATCTAAGACTCCTTCAAAAGTTTCCGCCAGTTGGCCCTACCTGTTGTTGCAGCTCTTCACTTCCTTCAGTTCAGTGTGTGTTCGCTGTGACAGAGGCATGGTCCAACTTCAAGGCCAATGAAGATAATGAAATGTGTATTCAAAAGTTATTTCACATAAAGAACTTATTCAAGAAAAGGATGGTTGAGGAAGTTCTTTATGTGAAATAACTTTTGAATACACATTTCGTTATCTTCATTGGCCTTGAAGAGAAAATAAAGCACTCATAAGATCTTGTACCCACTTATCAAAGTGGAATATTAGTTGTAAATTAGCATTTTTCATTCTTTAAGTTTTCAACTTGTACATGCCCGCAGGTCTGTTCAAAGGAGCAATTTTAGCCAGTGGTTCTTCTCTGAACCCGTGGAGTTTCGCCCACAACGTTAAAGAAAAGTCTCTCTTCGTGGCTAGAGAGCTAGGTTGCCCTGAAGTGGATTCCCTATCAATGATAAAGTGCCTCAGGCAGCGACCCGCTGAAAAAATCGTCCATTCTACGAAATACTTCGTGGTAAGTTGAGGAAGTTTAGCTTAAGTAAAGGAAATATTTTAATAAGAGATAGAAGATCTCAAGCTATCATACGCAGTAAGCAGGAAATTTAATTTTTTCTTTAAGTGAAAATTTAAGTGCCCTCTGCAATTTTGTGGGAAGTGAACGAGATTGAGCCGTCAGGCTTGAATGTGTAACGCTCATTCGGATAAAGTCCTCTAGAGTCGATTAATTGAAGTGTTTTTAAATATGGATTGAATGCAATCCAATTCACTCTCCATCAGTCCTGCGCATGCGCTATATGCTTAAAAACTACCTGTTACTTCGCCACTCAAAATTTATTAAATTGCTAGTGATTTAATAATAATTATAATACTTTATTTATTCTAGGACGAGTCCGTTTAGAATAATACAGAAAGACATAAATATGGGCTAAGGACCCTCAGAGATATATAAATAAAGATACAGAGTAATTAAACAGTCATAGTAATAAAATTAAAAATTATAAGTTACTTTCTAATTTTAATCAGTTAATAATAAAAAAAAAAAAAAAAATGATGAAGTAAAAATAACGAAGAACGAGCTAATATATTTACATCTATCTATATATCTAGTATCTATTTACAATTTCATGGGGACTGGATGGATAAGAAATGATTGAACAGACGGGATTTAAAGGTAGGAAGGGTATTAGATTGTCGAATGTGAGAAGGGATGGAGTTCCTAAGGGATGAGGATCGGATAACGAAAGATCTGTCGAAAGCAGCGGTTCGGTGGGCCCTTATATATAAGTCAGAAGACCGGGAACCAGTATTGCGGGAGCGAACGGAGGATTTGAATTGAAGGAGCTCAGAGATGTATGAAGGACGGCGGGATTGGACAACTTGAAAGAGGAAGGATGCTAGGAAATACTTACGACGGTAGGAAGGATAAAGCCACTTCAACTCTGCATAAAAATGAGAAACAGAGGCGTCCCTTGGGGTCCCGAAGATGAATCGTACAAAGCAATTTATCAAACGTTTTAGTTTCGCCTCGAGATCCCCAGAGAGGCCCCCATATAGTGTACAGCAGTAGTCAAAGTGAGGGAAAATTAAAGAAGTGACTAGGAACCTAGGGGATTCAAATGGAAATAGGTGACGAGAATAATTTAGACGTTTTAGAGTGAAAATGGTAAGGCGGGAAATATTGGATACATGGTTTTTCCAGGAAAGCGTTTGATCGAAGGTTATTCCAAGGTTTTTGACGGTGTGGTGAAATTTGATAGGACTATCAAGCAGGAACAGAGTTAGTGAACTATAGTGTTTAAAAACAGTGATATTGAACAATTAACAATTCGTTCATCAAATGAACACACTACTGTGAGTAATCGCTTATTCATAAAGTTTATCGAACAGTGGTAACAACAATAGATTTAGGTGGAGAGGTTAGATATTATATTGTTATCTATAAGCAGTCCCCCCACTCATTCAGTAGCCGGACGGCTGCCGGAGGAATTGGGTCACGTCACTCGGCGCGTACGTAATTATTTTCACATCGAACTATTTTACTTTTTCAGTCAGATTATTTAAATGAGTATTATCACATGATAATGTCTAGCAATAGTAAAAGATCTAGAAGTTTAGGCAATAACAGCTCTCAAAGCTCACCTGTTAAGCAAAGGCCGAGGTGTTCCAATATGAAAACACCACCATCAACACCTGACAGACTTACTGAAACTATTAATGATCCACAACCTGGTTCTTCAACATAAATAAATATTATCGTCAGAAGATACAATGGAAGCAGTACCAACCCCCAAAAAACACCTCAAATATTTGTTCGAAATATTAAAAAATTTTCTTTATTCTATCAGTATATCAATAAAATAATTGACAACGGCAAATGCATATGCCATAGTAGAACCAATGACAACAAATTAATGCTGGATTCTTCGGATACATATAGAACAATTATTACATACTTAATAGAATCAAAGGCTGAAGGCTGAGACTTAGAGCGCTTCCAGGAGTCGAAAATATTTATAATCTTAATCGTCTTTACTATACCAGTATAGTGGTTGCAAAAACATACACCAATAGGGAAATAGTATAATGTCATAATTGGCAATCTTATGGCCATACAAGAAACTACTGCCTTCGCTTACCTCGATGTGTGAAGTGCGAACACCAACACAGATCTAAGGAATGTACCAAGTCTAAACAAATACCTGCAGTGTGCGCACTGTGCCATCTCAACCAACAGACAAACTACAAGAGATACCAAACTTATAAAATCTTGAAATCAAGAACACAGGCCGCACTCAGACAGGAAGAGACCTCCAGGACTCCCAGACCACCAAGACAACCCTCAATACGTGTGAACAATGAAGTGTCCTATGCCGAAGTGCTAGGAGAGATAGAACAGTCAACTTAACCTCAGGCCCTGCCGCAAACTCAACAACATCCTCTTGATCCACCACCCCAACATAAGAATACCCAAAAGTCCAGTACTCACCAAATTTCTTACGTTCCTCCCCTTAACAATACCAATGACCTTACCACTCTCCTTACATCATTTCTCTCCAAAATCAAATCCCTCATCACCCTGCTCATTACCTTACTGACAAATATCATATTTAATCTTATCCCATCGCCCAGAATTCCTTAAATGCCCCCAACAAGATCCCTTTTCATTCTCCTCTGGAATGCGAATGGTGTTCGAAACCACATCACTAACTTAACTAACTATTTTTTTCTGCAGAACAATAACATTGACATACCCCTAATAACTGAGACTCGACTAACTAACAAATGTCATTTCAACATACCTGGCTACAAGATATATCGAACAGACCATCCTGATGGAACAGCGCATGGAGGCACTGCTTTCATTATCCACCAATCCCTCTCCCATCATTTGTATCCCCTACCAGTTCACAACTTCCAACAAACCTCAGCAATAACAATCCAAACCTCACTTTTCTCTGTTACAGTTGTCACAATATCCACAAAAAAGTGTACACTTTTTGGGTTATTCGGAATTTAATTTTACCATCCCTCGTAACTTTTTTTCCAACTTCTTTTCGTTGAAGTATGTTATATAGATATATTTAAAGGGTGTCGAATTGAAATCGGTACATAAGTTACTTGATGATTTGTTGGAATAAACGGCCAATAGATAACTAATTATTTAAATATAATATCTAGAGTTATTAAACTATCGTAAATGTATTTGAGATTATGAACATATCCATGAAATATTTTTATATTTCACTTCTTCTTTCACACAAGTATAATGAAATAATATTTTAAACAATGGCATTGGCTTTCGGTGGATTTTAAATATATTTTTTTCAAACTTAGAAAAACATTTAAAAGTTTCTAAAATTGTCCGCTTTCCAACGATATATTATACGTATACCTTCTAACTGGTATTTCTGGAGATTCGTTTTCAACCTGGATAAGAATTTTTCTTTTTTTCTCCAGTTTCCAGTTATCATATTCTTTCAAGCTTCAAGCTTGTGTGTTTTTTCCAGGCTTGGTATTACCATCCGATAGCCCCTTTTGGCCCGGTCGTCGAGATCCCTGGACCGACCGCTTTCCTCCCAGACACCCCGATGAACCTCATGAGACACGGAAAGGGTTTGGATCTTCCAATCATGATTACTTTCTGCAAGGACGAAGGAACGTTTTCAGTGATAGGTAATAAAGAATACACCCCTAGTTCCTTAACAAGGAATATTAAGTTAACTATTATAACCTTTGCAGACATAATAACCAATCCCAATATGAACAATGATGTCAAAACTGACTGGAACGGAATAATTCCATACCTATTTGAGTTCAATGATACAGTCCCTTCTGAAAAGAGGAAGGAAGAAGTGTCCCAGGAGATAAAAAATCATTACAACATCGATTTAGATTCCAAAGAAGGCCAGCAGAATCTGATCAAGGTAATTATTTGCAACTTCTTTGGCTAGAAACATACATGGAAAAAGATTAGATTAAGATTAGGTAAAGGCACTACTCTCTCTCCCCTCTTTAAATAAGTTTAGCTTCCTCGCCATTTTTATTGCTTACATAATTACCAATATTTTCCTTAAACATAGACGTAGAATTTGAGTGGGAGGGGAGAGAAGGGTGATCAAGAAAAAAAATCGGGTACACGCAACACACACTTTCACTTATTTTTCTACTTTGAATAAAAATTATTTTCTGGCAGTGTTGAGTAGTTATACAATTGGGTGTGTTGGCATTTTTATTCATTTACTTTAATACGCCATTTATTACAGGAATGCTCAATCAGGGAGAGGTGTCCTTGAAAGTTTCAGGATGCTATTTCAGGATCTGAGTCGGATGATATGAAGGAGATTACAAAGATTTTAAGTTCCAGAGTATTTCAAATCTTTATAATATAATTTGCAATTTTCAGGATTTTTAAACTTAATATTCTCAATGGCGAAGAATGAATACTGTTAACGCCGCATACGCTCATTTCTTTATTTTTTTAATTATTATTTTTTCTCACCATTAACCCCTTTTTAATGTGAATAATAAAAGTTTATTTTTTTTTTTTTGTAAAAGCTGAGGGATAATTGTCCAGAAATGTATTTAAGTTTATATTATTATATATTTGGCTTATTTGCGATGTATTATCGCGTTTGTATATACGCTCAGCCCGGCAGTAATACCTGTCTTAGGGATTAAGACACCAAATACTGCGATAATACTGTTGGGTCCTCAGTCTGGAAGTAACCGTTGTTGATATAAGGTCTATGTGAAGACGTCTACCCCCACCAGTCCAGACTCATCACATCTCACCTAGCGCCATTTTCGAACTTCAGTTGTTTGGCGGCGCTGCAATTGTCGATCGATCGATAGGCTATCGATTTGATACTCCCCAACATCGACTTGACATCGTACAAGGTAACCTCTTTGGAAGAAGATTCTCCAACTTGGAACGGTTTTTATTCTCACCATCACTATGCGACATTTAAATATTAATTTGGGTTTTCTCTCTAAATTATTATTTAAACTTTAATGAACTCTCAAGTTAATTTTTTTCCTTTTGATTAATTTTATTCTCGAAATTTGATTTTGTTCTCTTGAAGTTATTTTTTTCTCTCTTAGTTAATCTTAATTATAGAAGTTGATTTATTTATGTTTTGTTTTTGATGTACAATTTTTTTATTTTTCACTAAATATTGTATTTATGTTTTATTTTTATTTCACTGCATTTGAATAATATTTTTTTACTCTTTGTACATATTAGTCTTTTTTTTATCTTAATAAACTGTAAACATTCAAAAGGGGATTTTTTATTTTCCATTTTTTATTTATTGAAATATTTTTATTTTAATATTTCCTTGTGCATGCTCATTTTTTTATGTTTTTACAGGTCTCATTTTCACTCCCTTTATTTTTCCACTTTCCCACATTTTAATTTCACTCGAATTTTCCCCACATTGAGGAAACGCACCGGTGAAAGATCTGTACTTCGATTTTGAAGTACCCCTGGCCCCAACAAATACAGACTGGAAACTTTTAATTATATTTAAAATAAATATTTTTTTCAGTTATACAGAAATTAGACTCAATGGTTTTTTTCAGGCTTTGAGTGACAGATTATTCATTACTGGCATAACTAAAATGGCCAAAATACACTCCAGCGTTAACACTTCACCAGTCTACATGTTAAGGTTTTCATACAATGGGAAACATTCCTATACATCGGTGGAAGATATCTATAAGAATATGGGTGAGTATTTAAGTTTCCTATACTCAAAATCATGTAAATTAGTATGTTATTGAAAACAATCCTTGTCATGAACACAACCCTTAATTTTAACTCTCATAATTAATCCTATGTATGAAAAATAATTTTATTCTGGGACTGAAGTCCCCTTAGAATAATAGTAGAGTTTAAAAAATATGTACATCAGTCTGACATGCAAGTATCATACAAATATATACAAAAAATACCTAGGAAATTTTAAGCACAAATATATAAACACACAAAGATACTAAGGAAAATGCAAATATATAGATATATAAAAAAAATACAAAGGAAAATATAAATATCTACAAATCATACCAACGGTAAACACAGATATATACAATAAATACTGAGATATAAAAAAATAATAAATAAACATAAAATGACTTCTAACAATTAACTGCGGGTGACTAACGTAATTATATAACCCAGAAATTTTTATAAGCTTAAGGAAGTTTGAATTGGTAGTAAGTCGTGGTATAGGAGTCATTTGAAGGAGTTTATGGAAGTGGTTTGACGTATGGAGATGGGAGTTCCAGAAGGAGGTAGCACGAATGACTAAGGATTTACTGAAGAAACTAGTTTTATGGGAGGGAATATATAAATCTTGGTTCATAGGTTGAGAGTGGATAGAGGAGCGTAAAGTAAGGAGTTCTAAGATGTAGGGAGGGTTTTTGCTTCGGAGAACTTGACAATGAAAAATACCAAGAAGGAATTGCCGTCGGGAAGTAGGATATAGCCACTTCTTCACTTTGTTTCTACTATTTATGCTAATGTTTAATTGGACTTATTGATTAGATACGTCATTCGAAATTGAGCAGCCCAAAACAGTTTAAGTCCGTAGGCTCAGATAGGTTTCAGCAGATTAATAATTTGTTTTCAATTGCAAGATGAAATGTACTATTCAGTAATCTATATAAGTGGCCAAATAGTCTGTTTAGTTCTTTACTTTTAAGTTTATTGAGTGAGTTCCAAGTCAGTCTTATGTCTTAAAGGTTTCTATGTAATCTTTAATAAAGTTGTTAATGTGTTCTTGTGTTGTTGCCTTGTTATATAAATCTATGGCCCGTTGTGACCAGTAGAGTTACAACAAACTGGCGACGAAGACATTACAAAAATAGATCTTAGTGATTGGGGTTCCCCATTGGTCATCGTCCCCTCCATTGAACCCTCAATTACAAACTGCTCAATATTAGAAGAATCGAAGAAATTTGAACTGTCTCCAAGGATCATCTTTTGTTTTGCCGGTTGTACTTATACAAAGCCTATCTACACATCGAAATGTATCAGCAAATATATTTGATGAATCGCCTGTCGCTAGGCATAAATACAGCTCCCGTTGAATTTAACAGAATTTTAAATGGCCTCAATGACGCCTTGGTAAATCAATCAACTACTTCGAACCGACATATTAAAGAAGACAACTCTATCGGCTATACTTGTAACTAGTTCGACGCTGGGAAGGAAGCAGCAATTCCTATAAGAACACCAATAATATGTAAATTAGGCTCAGAACACTGATAAGAGAGGAAGAGCAGATCGGCCTACCAGTAAATTAAGTCAAAACAAAATATATGATAATAAGCCGAAAAGTTCACCCCAATAACAGAATCTGCGTAGAAGAAAAATCATTCTCGAGAGTCGAAAAATTCAAATACCTCAACTCCACAATAACCTCAATGAATGACCAACGGGCAAAAATAGACCTGCGTATAACTAGCGCAAACAGAGCTTTCTTCTCTTTCTCAAAGGTATTGAAATCGCGAAAAGACATCTCAAAGTAAGGGTGTAAGCCAGTTCTAAGATTGGCTGTGAGATTTGGACATTAACAAACACCTTAGAAAAAATTGTTAAAATATTTGAGAGAAAAATCTTCCGCACGATAACCTGAGCGATCTGGGATCAGAGTACAGACATGGAGAAGGCAGACCAATAAAAAACTGCTTACAGAAACTGGTCAATCAATATCTCAAGATGAAGATCAATATGAAGGCACGGAGGTTAAGATGGGCGGGGCATGTAGCTCGTAGCAATCCGTCTGGAAGTCTCTACGTAACAATAAATGCCTCAATAGAAGGCAAATGACGTGGAAGGACAAAAAGCAGATGGATAGATGGAATCAACAAAAAATGCAATTGAACTGCGTGCAGATAAATGGAAAGAAATAGCCCAAGACAGGCAGAGATGGAGCAGGCTTGTAAAGGCGTCGAAAGATCTACATGATCTGAAATGCAAACATAAGAAAAAAGAAAAGAAAGATATTTAAATTAGGAATAAGTTAAATTTTTCAATTTTCAATTTATTTACTTTCTCCTAATTTTTTAATTCAGAACTGATTAATTTTTTGTGGTGGAGGATTGTTATAAATTGTCATATGATTGTTGAGGTAACCTCACACTTGGGTTATAACTACCTACTTTTGTTTCTATGAGATCTTCAATAAATTTGTTATTGTGGTTATATGTTGCCTTGTTTTACAAACCTCTGTCCCCTTGTGACCAGCAGAGTAACAAAAATCTGCTTCGGAGGGTAATTGTGATATACTGACATTTTGTTTCATTAACTTTAATTGTTACACCATTTCTCATAAAGAATATTCTAAGCTAAAATGTATAAAGTAATCAACAGTATGAACTAGGAGCTGGCAGAGTGAGATATGGCCGTGCATCTAGTTTCATGACATAGCTTTGTCCCTACCACTTTTCTTTAACAATAATTATGTTTGGAAAACTCAAGGCGTCTTGCAGTTTTATTAGTGTAACTTAGTCTTCTCTTTTTATTTAATTTAAATATTTTTAAGTACGCAATTTTTATAATATATATCATAAAAATAATTTATATTTAAGGAGTTTCTCATGGCGCTGACATGATTTATATATTACCAATGGAAGGAAAGAACACACAGGAGATTGAAGCAGACAGACAGGTCTCATTGCAACTCATTGACTTATGGGTCTCGTTTGCAGTTAACAGGTTTAAAATACATAGACTTTTTTTAGAAATCATGTGAGAATGTCTTACAAATATATTATTTCATGAAATGTATTTACAGTACCCTAGATGTCCCGACTTTCAACCAGAACCTCCCTAAGATCACCTTTACGGACTTCCAGGGTCCAAACCAACTGGTTCCAACAATGGTCGATGAGCTGGGAGAAGAAAAGTTTTGGGACTCTTTGAACTTGAAAGAAAACATAGTCAGTTGTACCGACTCAAAATGAGCTGTAAATTGTGTAAATAAATATATTTTTGTTTAATTTTATTGAAACTAAGTGCATTGTTACTTAATTAATAATCCAAGGATGGTGAATGAAAGACAAACTATATTATGTAAAGAGAACTGAAAGTTTGAAAAGCAATATTTAAATATACAAATACATATTTTTCATTTTGATTTATTAATTCTCATCTGCCTACAATCATAGAATAGATTAGTATAATTAACTCATTAGTATATCTGCCAAAAATCAGCTGATTGGCAGAAATAATCATGCGTTGAGAAATAAATATTCAATCGTTTTCTAGCGTTTAGATTAGTTTTAGATCTTGTTTAGATTAGTAGGATTTTGGCCTCCAGAAGTACTTGGAATAACTCATTAAAAGTACGTTAATGTTTTTGGTTATGTAGATAGATAGATAAATAGATAGATAGATAGATAGATAGATAGATAGATACATGGATAGAAGCGTTTATTTGTTTACTAGCTGATACACCTGTCGTTGACGGGGGTTGTTGAATTTTGGTTTATTATTTTCAATAATGAAACATTGTGATCGACCAAAAAATTCAAAAACATAACCCCCTCTCAAAATTTGAGGTTTCACGTTTCAAGAGGCGTAGAATTCGAAAAACGAATAAAAATTTTTTTGTCCGTCCGCGCATTTTCTCCGAAACTACTGGACCGATTTTGTTCAAATTTTGATATAAAATCAGAGGTCACCCGAGGATGATCCTCCTTCATCGACATTACTCTCCGCCTTTAACTTTCAAAATGGCGGCAAAATGAAAAACCTGCGTTGCTATAGACTGTAGCTCCTAAACGAATGTACAGATTTCAATGAAACTTCGCTAAAGTCATTTTCTCGACGCCCTTTAAATTTATCTATATAACATACTTCAACGAAAAGAAGCTGGAAAAAAAGTTACGAGGGATGTTAAAATTAAATCCCGGATAACTCGAAAAGTTTTTACTTTTTTGTTATGTTTTTTTGACAGTTTATGAAATTTCCTAAAAAAAAATAAAAAAATAGTTAAAATCGGACAATTAGGAGCTAAGATATGGTCTCTGGTTTGATTTTATGTGTTCTACTCCAAATGTTATATCCTTGGTTTAGTTTTTTTAAATTTTAAATGTGTTACTGAAATAATGCTATTTTTTTTAGCATATTACTAATGATTAAAGAAAAACAGTTTAATCCAATAATTGGAATCACCTTTTGTTTTTTTTCTTTGTAACTCGGAAGGTAATGTTACTTTAGATGGATAATTGTTTGGAGATAATAAACCATTGTGAAATCATTTGCAGCGTTCTTTTGAGGCGGGGCTTATGGAAGTCAAAGTTTCGCAATAGTCATAACAAAAACTTTGTTATTCGGCTATTTGTTTAGGCACCACACAACTAAACCGACCACCACCGATCCATTAAAATTTGTTAAGTGTTTAATTTTTATATATGATGAAGCGAGGAGATTGTGGAGTCGATTAATTAATCAAAAAGAGTTGTAGTCTCTCAACTTCTTTAAATTCTGCTGAGTTTATCGTTGGTAAAATAACCAAAATAACATTGGACATTGAGTCACCTACATCCGTCTAAAATTAGAACTTGATCTGAATATTGTGGCGGGCAGGATGAAATTTTTTTCCTGATCTCCGGCTAATCCGTTTGGTTAATGCTAAAAATATACACTGAAAAATTTTTTAGGCTTGGGATGTTGAATCGAATGACACCTTGAACGGGAATATCGGACAAATTTGAAAAATTAGTATTTTGTATCGGTTTAAAGCGACAACGCGTTACAGATGTTCGGTATTCCGCTTTTAAAAGTGGATTTGGTATCTGTAATGTATTAAACGGAAAGATATCATGATACGGGTTGATTTTATCAAATATACAGACAAAACCTTAATTTTATTTATATAGATGATCGTTAACCTATAAAAAAATATTTATTATTAACATTTATTATCAACATTAACCGAGATTATATTATATCAATATAATATAATATTAATATTTCGTTGCGAAACATTCGCACAGCATGTTGTTATCAAATGCTAAATTAATAAGAAAATAAAATAATGCAACGTATAAAAAGATGATGAAATCAAATGGTACTTTATCGATAAATATTATCGACAAAAAAAAAAAAACTTAATTTAAATCTTCATTTTTATTTGGAACCAACATGTTCACAAATTTCAGTAAGCTGTATCTTTGTTAAAAATGGTCCGATTTCGATGATTTTTTTAATTTTGTAGGGGATTAAGTAATCTTTTATATGATCATGGGCACAATCAAGGGAAAAGTGTGTCATTTTTTAGTTATTCGCAAATAAAGTTTGTTTTCTTTCATAACTTGTTTGCTTGAATTTTCGGGGTGATTGGACTATTTTGCCCGCCTGAAGGAGAAGGAAGCCTTCGAAATTGGTGGCTCTATCTTGAGATTTGGTGAAAAATTAACGATGATATGGCTTGCCGATCAAAAACACCATCGATAAATAATATAAACTCCTCCTCTCTCGATCATAAAGACCTCAAGTGGACGAAATGAGACATGTATCCAATGACAGTACTACAATTAATGTAAGGCTGTGTGGATGCGAACCCTATGCCTTGCGTTATCTCGAAAATAGTACATTTTTGGGCTTAAAAAGGCAGGATCCGATTGTTCCAGAGGACGCATCAAAATCTTTAAGATCCAATTATTCCCGTATCTATCTACAGACCAACCACCGTTCCAGTATTGAAGCCTAGCAAAATGTTTGTATCGACTTTATTTATTTTAGAAAGAAAAGCAGAAGTGGAGAATACGATTCGCTAATCCCCCGTGAAATTCTGAATCGAATGGTACCCCATTCATGGTATTTGAGCATGACAAGAACTCATATTTGGTACAAAACCGATTTCGAGCCTTACTGTAATAATATATGTGGGGATGGGGATTAGAAAGAGGATGAAATGATGTATATTTCCCTCATTAACAATATGCAGGTTTGATTTTTATTTGAGATAATTTAATCTATATGCAAAAACACTTCAATTAGCCGACGCCTGCCGACTTTACTCGAGCGTTACACATCGGAGATCTGACGGATCAATATACTTTACTCTGATTCTAAAGAAGTTATTACTTGATAAATTTGCTCTAAATAAGCCACTTATTATAAATACACACGAAATATTTGCCACCTTTGCCCTCAGTTCCGGCCATGTGTAAGAAGTTGAATAAGGAAAAACAAAAGCAATGAATAAAATTATCATTTCGACAAATCAGTTTATTAACATAAAAACCTTCAGGAACCATATGTTCATTACATTCTAAGTGGAAGCGCTCTCTGTAGGTTGGCCAACTCACTTCCTCTGGTATCAGAAGTTTCATTTACGGCGAACACAGACAGTCAGGTAACTATGATTGATTCTCGAACTTATGTTTAAATTAAAATTAGGTGTATATAATCTAATTGAAATCGAAAATCTGTTCGGTTATTTACCTGATGTTATAAATTCTTCGAAATTTGATTCGAAGACATAGAATGTACCCATTTGGAAATGTACGATAAACTATCTCTGAAACTTCGCAAATAGCTTCATCTCTCCGTAACCTACAACTATTTTACTAACGAAAATTTTCGGAATTAGGGCGTTTTCAATCTGGAGATGTATTTACGAGTTTTAAGTATTTAATCAAATGGACTATGTTTGCCGATCTCCAGAATGAAAACGTCCCAATTCCAATAGTTTTCGAAAATAAAATATTTGTAGGGCACTATGAGATGATGGCATATTTGATGAACACATGCCTCACTAGTCAAAACAAAACCCTACAAAATAAAAAAAGAAGCAACAAAATCGGTCCAGTAGTTCCCGAAAAAATCTTGGCACAGACAGACAGACCAATGGCTATAAATGTGTATTTCGGACTCAGGGGGCTCTAAAACGTATAGATCCTTCGAAAACCGCATATCGGAAATTTGACCAATATTATTCTTCTTATTCATTTTTTTATCAGACAAATGTTTCTTATTTAATATCTACTTATAATCCATTTATTTTATTTTCACAATGTACCTTTTATATTTTGTATCTTATGTAGCCCTGAGGAAGACTTGAAAGGTAATTCGAAACGTCGGCGAACCCCCGACCAACTCCTCCTCATGGATAAATAGTGTCTATAATTTTTACTTTCACTTATTCTTTTTCTGAAAATACTTATTTCTGACAAGAAGAGGAAGGTAAGTGAAAGTTGTTTGTTGCGAGCACCGGAACAGATTTTTTACTTTCCTACCTATACTAGGTAAGGAAAGTATTGCGATCGGGTCAAATTTCCGACATGCGGTTTTCGACGGATCTATACGTTTCAGAGCCCCCTGAGTCCGAAACACACATTTTTTGCCATTGGTCTGTCTGTGCCAAGATGCCAAAATTTTCTCGGGAACTACTGAACCGATTTTTTTGCTTATTTTTTTATTTTGTATGGTTTTGACTACTGATTCCTATGACAGAAATTCGGTGCTCCATGCGCAATAGTTTGCGCGCAATAAATGAAAAACCTGTTTTTCTATAGACTGTTGCGCAAAAATGGCTCTAACACTTTTGATGAAACTTTCCTATAATGTTGTAATCATTGTTTTTTCAATTTTCAATTTTATAGACTAAAATACCGCCTGTCGTTTGAAAGGTAATGAAATTCCCTACAAAGCCATATAAACATCGTTCATTTTGGACAACTATTAACGAAGTTACAGCTATTCAATTTTCAATGTAAGATTACGGTTTCATATCCTGGTGTCAGAAAGGGGTGAATGAGAGAAAAAAGATGACTCAGTGAAAGTAAGAAAATCTGTTGGCCTCATCACACAAGCTTCACTATTTCCTCTACTTTTAACAGAAATTATTGTTTGACAATACTAAGCTATGGCAAAAAGATTTTCATCAGAAATAGTAGGAAGTATTGAAATTTTTACACTGATCTACCTTAAGCCGGTTTACATTGCTTTAGTTTATTAAATAAATCGTACTCAAATCTTTTGTTTTATCAATTTTCAGGAAAATGTATCTAATTAAATTCTTTTTTGTTTCTTCATGAACATATGTAAAGATATAAAAACTTTTCTGAAATAGGTAGGAAAGTCGTGTGAGTGGACACACCAGATATTTTAAGTATGTATCTTTGATCACTCACATAAACAAAGGTGGAATATTTTTCCATTATTGGGGGAGGGCTTCAGCCAGAAAGTTATGGATAAGTGCTATCGATTGGTTTCAATCGATTTTTCATCTGATGTATGTTTGTAGGATGATAGAGACGATTTTATATGCTGCTCTGGCAATTTTAATGGCGCACCTCTTGTTTGGTGTGGTTCTCTGGTTTCGAGTACGGAAGTTCTATTCTTATCCTAATGTCTTGGGTTTTCCCGTTATCGGGAACCTCTACTACTTCTACAGAACACTATTCCTCTTTACCGCTGATAGTAAGTATGATAGAAAGATTTATAAGACTATTTACACTTATTATACCAGATTTTTGGTTTATTATTTTCAATAATCAACCATTGTGATCGACCAAAAAATTCGAAAACTTAATCCCCTCTCAAAATTTGATGTTTCACGTTTCAGGATGCGTAGAACTGGAAGTCCGTGCATTTTCTCCGAAACTGCTAGACCGATTTTTTAAAATTTGGATATAAAATCAGAAGTCACCCGAGGATGATCCTCCTTCATCGACATTACTATCCACCGCTTTCAAAATGACAGCCGAAAAATCTGCGTTACTATAGACTGTAGCTCCTAAACGAATGTACCGATTTCAATGAAACTTCACTAAAGTCATTTTCTTGTCGCCGTTTAAATTTATCTACATAATATATTTCAACGAAAAGAAGCCGTAAAAATAGTTAAGAGGGATGGTAAAATTAAATTCCGAATAACTCAAAAAGTATTCACTTTTTTGTCGATATTGTTACTGTTATTTAAAGGTTTGCGGAATTTGCTAGAAACAAGCAAAGATATGGTCTCAAGATGTTTTTCATAGGTTATACTGCAAAGATTATATCCTTTGTTTTGGTTTTCTATTGTGTTACTGAAGTAATGCTATTTTTTTTAGCAAATTATCAATGATTAAAAAAATATTTAGTCCAATAATTCGGATCACCTTTTATTTCTTTTCTTTATTACGTTAGATGTATAATTGTTTGGAAATAATAAACCATTGTGAAATAATTTGCAGCGTTTTTTTCTAATAAACCTCAAGTTAATTAATATGGATTTGAATCTTACTAAGCTTCTTCAATGGTTTTATACAAGTTTATGGAATTTCATAAAAAAAAAATATCGTTAAAATCGGACAATTATGAGAAAAGATATGGTCTCCAGTTTTTTTTTTTTTTTAAATGTTCTACTCCAAATGTTATATCTTTTGTTTGGTTTTAAATTTTGAATGTGTTACTGAAGTAATGCTTTTTTTTTTTTTTAAGCATATTACTAATGATTTAGTAATCTACTTCTAGTTCTTAAAACATCTACAATTCCATGAAAGATAAATTTCATATTTATTGATATTTAAAAAAGCCTGAAATGAGATATGGTTTAAAGAGAGAGCACTGAGGATAAAATCATCGTTTAAGTCATAATCATGAATAAAATAAAAATTTGACAAAAATTTGAACTATTTATGTATGGAACGCCCTGTGTATTAAAAATAAAAATCATTTACAAAGAATGTAAAGTAATGTTACTTTAGATGTATAGTTTTCTGGAAATAATAAACCATTGTGAAATAATTTGCAGGGTTTTTCGAAAAACAATTTGACAATAGTTAAAATAAGCAGTACAATTTATAAATTAATGAATTACACAAGCTAGTTAATTAATTAATGTCAGATAAAAATACAAAATAATTAATTAATGATTATAAATTCAGGAACTCTTAAGTACGTCATCCCAGTGGCTGAAGAACATGGAAAAGATGGATTATTCTTCCACTGGATGTTCGGTTCCAGTGTAGCGGCCGTTATTACGTGTCCTCATCTTCTGAAGGTAATATACGTCTGATGATTGAAATATCGAATAAAAAATCATCTTTATTCTGGGACTAGGTCCCTTAAGAATAACAATATTATTTATATAAATTAACAATAACTCTGGCCAAAATACCTATTACAATAAAAAATGACTAAAATACAACTAATAAAATAAGTAAATATCTCTTAGGATATATTAATGAAAACAGTTGGGTAATCGGTTTACAATAATACAATATTGGAGCTAAAACAACAATATACTAATCGTGGGTTGATGGTTGATTGTTGTGAATATTTGAAGAGAGGAGATTGTACGGAGTGGCGGTCATAAATCGGCTAAATAGTGGCAAAACTATTTTTATTAAAAGCCAACGTTTCGAACCGACTTTGCAGGTCTTCTTCAGGGCTAGAACGGACAAGATACAAAAAGGTGAAGAATTGTGGAAGTTACATAATATTTAGACAAAAAATTATAAACATTAAGTACATTAAAATATGAACTGAGTAAGCTAAGTAACAAGATCCTAAACTGAAGTAAATAGATGCTAATAATTGTTATAGTGCAATCTATAATAAATGCAAATGTGAATATACTTTTACATATATACTGGAGGGGTTGAAAGAAAGGGGAAAAGGATATAATATGAAATAATAGACATAAAGGAATGTGGAGAAAAAAAAGAAAATTTTAGATACTGTCATTTTTTGTAATAAAAATAATAAAATGTAATATATAAGTTTTTACCTTTTCGCCAACTTGAAGGATCCCATACTTTTACAACACCGATCTAACGTAGTTTATCGGATACTTAATTCTATCTATATGTATATGTATATATTTATATGTGTATGTGTTGGGGTGATCAGTCAAAATAAAATAGTAAAAATCCCCACATACATTATTACAGTAAGGCTCGAAATCGGTTTTGTACCAAATATAAGCTCCTGTCATGCTCAAATACCATGAATGGGTTACCGTTGGATTCATAATTTCACGGGGGGTTAGCGAACCGTATTCTCTACTTCTATTTTTCTTTCTAAAATAAATAAAGTCGATACAAACAGTTTGCTAGGCTTCAATACTGGAACGGTGGTAGGTCTGTAGATCAATACGGGACAAATTGTATCTTGAAGATTTTGATACGTACAAGCCATACAACTTCACGTTAATGAGATACATGTCTCATTTCGTCACTATGATCGATGGATGAGGAATTTATATTATTTATCGATTGTGTTTTTGATCGGCAAGCCATATCATCGTTAATTCTTCACCAAATCTCAAGATTGAGGCACCAATTTCGAAGGCTTCCTTCTCCTTCAGGCGAGCAAAATAGTCCAATCACCCCAAAAATTCAGGCAAACAAGTTATGAAAGAAAAGAAACTTTATTTTCCAATAACTAAAAAATTAAATACTTTTCCTGCGTTTATGCCCATGATTATATGAATGATTACTAAATTCCCTACAAAAGGAAAAAAATATTTAGACAAAAAATTATAAACAATGTAAATAACCTTATTAAAATTATAAACAGTAAGTACATTAAAATATGAACAGAGTAAGCTAAGTAAAAAGATCCTAAACTGAAGTAAATATATGCTAAGAATTGTTGTAGTGTAATATATAATAAATGAAAATACGAATATACTTCTACATATATACTGTAGAGATTGAAAGAAAAGGAAAAATGATATAACATAAAAAAATAGACATTACGAAATGTGGAGAAAGAAAAGAAAAAAGAAAACCAAAAAATTAAATAAATAAGTAAGTAAAATTGGAAGAATAAAATTAGAGACTTACAGGATTGTTCAGTTAGGAGTTACACTTAGATCTGGAAAACCAGGGTAAGGGCAGGTATAGGGAAAGCTGACTTATTTAGGTAATAGGGAAAAACCTTGAAAATTACAGTATTTAAAATTTGAAGATATGGATGGATACAATGGAAAAGTACTATATTTATGAAATATTAACTTATAAATATATACATATACATATAGATAGAATGAAGTATCCGGTAAACTACGTTAGATCGGTGTTGTAAAAGTATGGGATCCTCCAAGTTGGTGAAAAGGTAAAAACTTATATATTACATTCTATTATTTTTATTACAGAAAATTACAGTATCTAAAATTTTCTTTTTTTTCTGCACATTCCTTTATGTCTATTATTTCATATTATATCCTTTTTACTTTTCTTTCAATCCCTCCAGTATATCTGTAGAAGTATATTCACATTTGCATTTATTATATATTACACTAAAACAATTGTAAGCATCTATTTACTCTAGTTTATTATCTGATCATTTAGCTTAGTCTGTTCATATTTAAATGTACTCACTGTTTATAATTTTAATAAGCTTAATCACATTGTTTATAGTTTTTTGTCTAAATATTATGTAACTGCCACAATTCTCTATCTTTTTGTATCTTGTCCGTTCTAGCCCAGAAGAAGACCTGCAAAGTCGGGTCGAAACGTTGGCTTTTAATAAAAATAGTTTTGCCACTATTTAGCCGGTTTATGACCGCCACCCCGGACCATCTCCTTCCTTTATAACGCAACAGTCAACTATTAAATATTCAATATTTTTATTATTACTATAAGTTACTATCTACAGACTTTTTATTAATTATTTTATATATATGCAATTGTTAAAATTAATATTTTCATTATTCAGAAATTGTCATATCACCCCAACCTGGCTGATAAGCCTTATGCAGCGTACAAAGGATTTCAAATTTTCATGGAAGGACCGTTTTCTGTTCTACGTAAGTGACAGATAGACTTTGTTAAAATATGTATATATTTCTAATATAAATAGTATATTTACGGTATATATATATATATATATGTACCTCTGTACTCTCACCTTCCCGGATTTCGGCACCAGTTAAACGCTGTGGGCTTCAAACACTTAAAAAAAAGAGTAAAGAATCCACAAATAACACGCATGAAGTCAGAAACAAGACTGCTTTATTCCTCCTTATAATCCTCTATATATACATTCTAAGTTGTTTACATAAATGCTTTTGGTATTAAAGCTAATACTGTCCCGCTCCGTACCTTAACTCCCCCCCACCAGTTTACGGATACTCTCCGTAAACTTAAAAAAATAAAAAGACATAAAACAAAAAGAAACACTCTTATATATACAACGACAAGATTCTCTTGCCCATATTATAACACAGGTACGGAGTGTTCAGTACTTACAACCTAATTCAATGAAACACAAACAAAAATATTCCTTATACATCAAAATATTAAAAAAAAAAAAATACACTTTCCTCAAAATAACCTTCTCACAAATGAAAGGCGTATTTCACTGCTTTCAAAATCTACACCAAGTTATGTAAGAGCACTATATACAAAACAAACAAAACAACAAACAAAAAAAAACATCTTCCTTCGGGAGACTAGGGCACTCCAGTTCTAAGGTTGCTTTGACTCTGTAATCGGAAATTTTAATTGTTCTATGTGAACCGTCCTTCGTTTTTTTGGTTCGTTAACACTCTCAATCGTCACCACATTGTGCTCTCTAATGATTATCACCCTGAATGGACCCTCGTATCTCCGCACTTCCTTTCCCCTATTCGAGCCTAATTTGCGATACACTATGGACCCTATTTTCAATCCCCCTGTTACTTCCTTCACTTTGAGATTTTCCCGCGCTACCCTTTTCCGCTTTTCCCCCTCTATTTTATCCTTAACCTTCCCCCAGAGATTACCCAGTTCCATTTTGTTACTAACCATTCTTTCTGTCATTTGCTCGTCCGTAGCTGTACCTCCCCAGTCCCGTTGCCGTCCGCGTAATCCGAAGAGAATTTCAAATGGAGAGAACCCTGTTGTCGTATGTATAGAATGGTTGTACGCTGCCACCGCCTTCCGCATTGCCACATCCGGTTCCAACCCTTTTTCCACCTGATACACCCTTAGATGGTCACTAAGAGTGCTGTGCAGCCTCTCTATACTTCCTCTGCTCTTGGGGTGCCCTGGAGTATTAAGATGCCAGCTGACACCTACGTTCTTCATCTCCGCTCTGATTCTGGCATTGTCGAACTCTCTGCCCCCGTCGGAGGTGATGCGATCGGGTACTCCGTAACATTGGAACCACGTCTGGAGGGCTCCTAAGACTGCCTCTGCTGACCGCTCCTGTACCAGGTACGCCATTGCCGCTTTGCTGAAGAGGTCTATGAGCGTGACCCACTTATACCCTCTCCATGTGAACGTATCCACTTGCAAGTCGCTTAGTGGTGCATCGACCGTGGGTGTCTCCTCTTGCATCGTTTTCGGGGGTGCCGATCGTACTTTGTGCTCGCGCACACCCTGCAGGACCCTATGAGCTCTGCGATCATTTTCTTCATCCCCCACCAAAAATATTTCCGACGCAACGCTTGAAACGTCTCCTGCGCCCCACGGTGGTTGGTCTTGCCCTGGTGGTAAGCAAGCGTTATGTCCTTCTGCTGCTCTTCATCCCGCACTGTATCCACCATCAGTTTGCACCGAATGAACGTCCTATCCATCCCTAATCGTTCATCCCGCCATAGCCTCTTTATCTTCTCCCAAATCGTTTCATTTCCTACATATAAGTGGTGAATTTTCCCTGCTTTCGACGCGTCTTTGAGAGCTCTGCAGATCTGGTCCACGCTGGCCCCTGGTTGTGACCAAATGGTTGTTATTCGGCTGTTGCCGTACTTACTATACAATATCTTCATCAGACCCGACGTCCTGGTTTTCCAGATGATCTGGCGGTTCTTATCGTTGATGATTTCCTCCCGTTCTTCCATGTCCACTGGCCTCTCTTCCGCTGGACTTTCTTCTTGTTGGGTATCAACATTTTCTTCCACCACTTGTTCCCCCTCTCCTTCTGGCGTCCAGTCCCTCAGGAATTGTCTCACGCCTCCCGATGATTCAGCTGTATCCTCCTCTATGGCGTTTATAGTTAGCGCTCTCGATAGCCAATCCGCCACCACATTCTCTCTTCCGGGCTTGTACACAATGTCCATGTTGTACTGGTTTAGAATCTCCTTCCAGCGTGTGACTCTAGCCGAAGATTCCTTTAGCTTGCCTACCCATTGTAGGGGTCTATGGTCCGTCTGCACGCGGAATTTCCTCCCAAAAACATATGGTCTAAAATGGTCGATAGCCCATACGATCGCTAGCAGTTCTCTCTCCAGCGCACTGTATCGCGACTCTGCCTCCGTAAGTCGCCTGCTGGCATATGCTACGGGACGGTCCCCCCCATTTCCATCCTGGGATAACACAGCCCCCAACGCGTATTCGCTAGCGTCCGTTGTGATCGTAAACACTTTCGTAAAATCCGGAAATGCTAATACTGGCTCCTCCTGCAGCCTCGCCATGCATTTCCGAATGTTGTCTTCCATTATGGGGGTTACTATCACCTTGCTGCCTTTCTTTAATAAATTGTTGAGGGGTACGAGGTATTCCGCCATTTCGGGCACAAATCGTCGATAATAATTAAGGGTTCCTAACAATCTGCGGATCCCTTTTACATCCCGAGGTATTGCCATCTTCTGAATCGCCTCCACTTTCCGCGCGTCAGGTTTTACACCTTCACTCGATATCGTGTGTCCTAAAAAATTTATGTGGTCCTGCCCTAACAGACATTTCTCGCTGGACAGTTTCAGCCCAAATTGTCTGACTCTCTCAAATACCCTTCGTAGATGCTCTACGTGTTCCGCCTCGTTTTTACTAAATACCAACAGGTCGTCCATGTAAATTTGGCACATCCCTTCGTCGATTCCCCTTAGGAACTCGTCCATTAGCCGCTGGAACGTTATAGGGGCATTCTTGAGACCAAACGGCATTCTCGTAAATTCGTAATGCCCCCTCTCGAACGTGAATGCTGTCTTCAATTGATCTTCCGGAAGCATCCTAATCTGATGATATCCCGCTTTCAGGTCAAGAGTACTGAATACCGTTGCCCCGCTTAACCGATCTAAAATGTCCTCAAACTTCGGGATTGGGTATTTTTCATCCACAGTATTCTCATTAAGTTTGCGGTAATCGATTACCACGCGGTACTTCTCCTCTCCGGGCGCGCTTTTCTTCTTAACCGCCCATAGCGGGCTATTATATGGCGACGTGCTATTGACAATTATCCCCTGCTTCTTCAGACTCTCCAACTCTTCCCTAATGTATTGGCGCAGTGCCTGCGGATACCTCCTCTCCTTCACGTAGCTCACCTTTTCGCGCTTCAGCGGGATCTCGTGCACCGTTTTGCCGTTTGATGACTCGCTCCTCCTTGTGTGACTCCTTCTTCTCCTCACTCCCCGGGCATTTACCTCCATCGGCTCAACCCTCTGTGAGCCTCTTCTGGAATAAATGTACGGGCATTGCCTCGCAATGTGTCCCTCAGTCCCACACTCAAAACATTTCGTGCGGGGACACTGTGCCACCAGGTGTCCACTCTTTCCACACCCGTGGCATTTCCTGTCCTCTCTCCGCTGCCTACCTCTTGCTCTACCCTGCTCTGGTCTTCGTTCGGCTCCGGTAGTCTTTTCTCTCCCGTTGTGTGCGGGCTCTCTCCTTCTCCAGGTCGTTGGTGAACTCCTAGGTCTCCTGTAGATCACTCTATTCCATCCTGGTTCCTCCCCCTCTAACCGGGCTTCTTCATCTCGAGTGCTGGAATCTATCATCTCTTGGGCGCATTCAATAAACGAACGTTCCCGGGGTAGGCCATCTTTCTTCCCCGTTTCCTTCGCCAATTGCACCTTCAGTATGGTGGACAAGAAGGCCATCTTCGCTTCGACCTCCGGGGCTCCAGCTGTCTCCCGCATCTTCTCGGTGACCCGGTTGTAGTGAGCTACTAATGTTGCCGCATACTGTCCGTTGTACTGCCGTGAAGACTTCACCTCGCGAAACATCTGATAGATGTCTTCTTCCGTAGTCCATCTGCCACCACCGTAGGCCTTCTTCAGTCTCTCCTTGACCATTTCCCACGGCGTCTCTTCATCTGCCTGAATGTGGTTCAGGATGCTCCGTTTTACCCTGCACACCAGGGCCGCCTTAAGGGCCTCCGCATCCCCAGCGTTGACGAGGTTCTCGCCAATCTTCGCATTAATTCTCGCCACGAGCCGATCTCCACCCTTTAAAAAATGGTTGAGCTCACCTCTTTCTCCCGTGAAGCGGTCGAGGTCGGATATAGCCTCCCTGAGGTCCTGTGCAGTGGCTACCCGGATTTTCATCCACTCTATCGCGTTCGCATGCGCCGCGGCAAAGGTTCCCTGCGGCAACGGAGGGATCTCCGTCGCATTCATGGCTGTGCTATGGCAAACTCAGGCATAGCATGCTCATCATAGCATGGCACCGTTAGCATGCTCGTAACAGTGGTTTAAAAAAAACGTACCTCTGTACTCTCACCTTCTCGGGTTTCGGCACCAGTGAAACGCTGAGGGTTTCAAACACTTAAAAAAAAGAGTAAAGGATCCACAAATAACACGCATGAAGTCAGAAACAAGACTGCTTTATTGCTCCTTATAATCTCCTATATATACATTCTGAGTTGTTTACATAAATGCTTTAGGTATTAAAGCTAATACTGTCCCGCTCCGTAGCTTAACTTATATATATATATATATATATATATATAAGATCTTTGATCGCGAGTGTGGTCTCCTAGACCACATCCCGATTCCCTATTTAAAGTACGAAGTAGGGTCTTATCTTCTCTTTGAAAAGATTCTACTGAAACGTATCCTACACATTATAGAATTCCAAAACCTTTCTACCCACCAATTCGGATTTCGTTCCTAACATTCCACTGTCCAACAAGGCCTCCGAGTTGTTGACCATATATCCTCAGCCATAGAAAGCAAGCAATATTGCTCGGATGCATTTCTGGACATTGCGCAAGCATTTGACCGGGTATGGCACATCCAAGTAAATGAATCTAAATCTAAACACATCACTTTCACCCTTCAGTCTAAAGTTCTTCCAACAATAGTCGATGCTACCTTTTATGTAACTAATAAAACCCTACACAATGACCTTAATATCCCATTTGTACTTGACCTAATCCCAGACAAATTTTCCAAATTTCACCAGAATCTCACTCATCATCCTAATCCTGTAGCACAGACTCTATCTACCTCCAGTCATCCCTACAATCCTCCTCGGAGGTTAAAATGGCAGTGGCCCCGCGAACTTTTGTAAAAATGTGTATATTGGAGTACTGGCACTGGCCAGATTCTTCACTCATGTCCTGAGTGTCTTTGCTCTAGTGCCCTCCATCAGCCTTAACTGGCTTACTATACCAGTGACGCGGCTGGGAGAGAAGCACTGGGATCTCCTGGAGTTCTGCTTTGGCTTCCACAGTTGGGGGACTAAGCTTGATTCGGAGTAAATATTGTACATAGGTGTGAATTTGTTTTATTTGTTTTGTTATTATTCGGCTGATCTGTTGTTTTAATTATCTTGTATATTACTTTATCTTTTTATTTATATATATATATATATATATATATTTTTTTTTTTTTCCTTTCTTATGTACATATTGTGTGAATCAATACTATAGCCCTAGTACCAATGCCCTTCAGTGTGGCAGACTGTATTAATACTCAATAAAAGTTTTTTTTGTTTTTTTAATAATAATTATTTTTCTGTATATTTTATTTTATTTACTGTACATAGAGTGTGAATGTGATCTGTGAACACTATTATAAATGTCCTTGAGACAGATTGTAATATTTTTCAATAAAAAAAAAAACTATGAAAAAAAAACGTAGGCTTCCTAAAAAAAAAGAAAAATAAGAAGATGATTAAATGTAATGTAATGACAATGATTTTTCTATTTAGACTTTAAAAAAATTTCGGTATTTTTGTGTCCAATATAATATCTACATAATTAGTTACTTGTGTTATAGGTTCTGATGATGTGTGGAAACAGCATAGAAAGGATTACAATAACTATTTAAAGAAATCTCGTGTTGACAAAGATTATTTTAAAACTTTTACTAAAAGTGCCGACAAATTGGTGGATATTATGTTGGAAACACCATCTAGTGTGGACGCGAACGCTGCATGCACAGCTGTATCGCACGACATTTCTATGAGTACGTTATTATCCAGAGTACATTAATCTATTATACGTTGGCCATTCACTGGTATATACTTTATAATAAATATGCTACTCATATTTCTCTTTTTCAGAAACTATGTTTAGTGTTGAGACAAGTTTAGTCTATCGTCCCGAGTGTTTAAGTTATATATACAGGTATTAAATAAAAATCATATTTCATACATAATATTTTCATTTTTTGTAATCAGTAGTAATAATAATAATAATAATAATAATAATAAAAAGGCTTAGCGAACCCGAAGGTTCGATGCCGACACCACCAATCGCTTATTGCACACCTCCCTCCATCGTTCGCCGTCCAAACCCAGTCCCTTCAGATCGGCTTTAATGCAATCTTCCCACCTTCGCTTCGGTCTACCCCTCGGACGCTTACCATTCGGCACAGCAAATATTAGCCTTTTAGGAATTCTCTCGTTACTAAGTCCAACAACTTTACAAGCCCATTTGATTCGCCGCGATGAAATTATCTCAATTATATTACTCGGATACAGTTCACGCAATTCGGCGTTGTGTAATCGTCTGAACTCTCCAGTTAACTCATCCTTCTTCGGTCCGAATATTTTACGCAATACTTTATTTTCAAAATTTCGCACCCATAAAGAACTGTAGGTAAGATAATTGTTTTATAGATTCTAATTTTTAAGTTTCGTGACAAGAGGCGCGAACTAAGTAATTTTGTCACAGAAAAATAACAAGCATTTCTCGCCTTCGGTCTAACCTTAATTTCTTCTTCGATTTCGTTTTTGCTAGTTATCGTAGAACCTAGATACCTAAACTTATCTACCTGTTCAAACATATTACCATCTATAGCGATATCACCAGTGGTATCGCCATTTTTGCAGCTAACCATATATTTTGTTTTATCCACGTTTATTTCGAGTCCTAGTTCTTTACCGGCTTTCATTAACGTTGTCGTATTTAGTTTTATAGTTTCAAGGTCTTCGCTTAACAGTACCATATCCCAGCCCAGCACGGATGTTGTCCCACCCAGATCCAACCCTTTCTTGGTAAGCATTACCTCCCTAATGGCATGTTCTAATGCCAAATTGAACAGGACAGGCGAAAGGGAATCCCCCTATTTTAAACCCGAACGAACCTCAAATTTTTCGGACAGATTATTACCGATTCTAACTTTATTAAGTGTCTCCGTCAAGCACATCCTGACTAGATTTACTAATTTCATAGGAATCCCCTGCTCGATTAGAATATTATACAGTTTCTGGCGGTCAATAGAATCTATATACAGCTGGTGAACAATACCGTTGTACTCAATTTTTTTCTCTAATATTTGCCTTAAAGAAAACATTTGATCAATAGTCGAACGATTCCGTCTAAATCCGCATTGGTAGTCTCCGATAATTTCCTCGGCGTATTCCGTGATTCGACTGGTTAAGATTAAAGTAAATATTTTATAACATACCGGAAGGAGTGAAATTCCTCGATAGTTATTACAATCCGTCCTCGGGCCCTTTTTGTGAATCGGAATAAGAATAGATTCTTTCCATTCTTCAGGTAATTTCTCATTCACCCAGATCTTTTTAACCAACCGATGTATTTTAGAAATTCCAGCTTCCCCGCATGCCTTAATTAGTTCAGTAGGAATATTATCGGTTCCCGCTGCTTTATATGATTTTAATTTTCCGATAGCTACTTCAACTTCCTCTTTACTCGGTCTTTCTATCAACGGTTCAGCACTCTGGTACTCCGAAGGAGGACACAGATCATAATTTCCCGTATTTAAAATATAGTCAAAGTGGTCCTTAAACCTATTCAATATGTCAACCGGATCGGTCAGAATATTGTTATTATCATCCCTAATTCCAGACGTTACGGGCCCTACATATTTACGTGATCTGTTTATACCTTTGTACATGTCTCTTACGTTATTTTCGATTCTATTAGTTTCTATTTCAATTATTTTATTTTTAAGATACTCCCTTTTTTTTTATTTCTGAGCAATTTTGTCGTTTCGTTCTTTGAGGTTCGGAAGTATTCCAGATTGTCTTGTATTTTAATCAACTTATTATTTTACAAGACAATCAACCAGATTGTAATCAGTAGTATTTTCCTAAAATATTGCCACAATAATGCTATAGTTATAAAGATAAAACAGTTCAATCCTTTTTTCTTGTCTGTTTCCCAAGTGAATTTTCTTTTTTTGTTTAGTATCTATGAAAGCTTTAAACATATTAGAGCTGGAGATGTAACATACTGGGTTGGCAAATAAGTCCTTTCGGTTTTTCATGGTGAAATAAGATTCAATGTAATATAGACATAAAATTTATTTAAATCTACAATATATTGTGACCATTATTTAATATGACTTTTTCCTATCTTAACACTAACTGTTGTTCATAGAATGTCTGGAGTTTATTGTTAAAAAACTGGTGGTTTTTTATGTCCTCTTCCTTTTAGAATTTCTTTTCATTGATAGAGTACTGCAGAGACCGGAATAAATGGTAGACACTTGAGGCTGGGTCTGGAGAGTAGGGAGGGTGCGGTGGAACACAACACCCTTTCGATCATTCATATCTCTTCAGGATATACTTCAAAACGGCATATCCATTAGGTGCGCAGCCAACAGGGATCACTCGGCAAATAATGCTGTGTCAATAATGAATGAATGAATGTTGATAAAAACTGACATAATGTCGTCTCATTCATTTCATATGTGAGATGAAATAGATAAGGTAATGTTAGATATGAAATAGACGATTGAAATCAATATTTCATTTTCAATCTCTTGTTAATATTCTGAGAAGGTATCACTCACCTCTGACTGTTATTTTCGATTTGTGGCTAGTATTTTAGTCTATTATCCCGCATGTCTATTACTGTGTGAGATATAGGAAATGTTTCAACTTAAGCCTATAAAAACCGCTCGAATGAACAACAAAAAATAATATTATATTCTTTCAGGATAAAGGATATTTCATCGATTCTTTTCTTGAACGTTCTTATAATCAGTCCATTATTTCACATACTGCAGCCATTATCAGATTTAGCCATTGGGAAATTGACAGAATTGCGGAAATTGGTAAATGTATTTGAATTTACCACTACACATTGCATTTTGAATTTAAATGACATTGTTTTGATAAAAAGTTATATAATAATGTCGTCACATGCATTTTAGATTTTGGAAAAGATAGATCATCAGCTGAAATCAAACCAAACCCCACTTCATGGTAAGAACAGTTATTTCATTTTCAATTATTTCAATACTGAGAACTTTAATAATTACTATTTGTAAAAATTAATAAATATATTTATGCTTTAGTTTATAAAAAGCGCTAGGATTTAAAGGTTCTTGTATTGGGTTGACAAATAAGTCCTTTCGGTTTCTCTGTTTATTTTTATGTCACTATGATATACTTCTTATCTGATGAATTAATCCCTAAGGTGGATTGTTTATCCTGTTCGTAATATGACGTAAACTACTATATCTGTTAACTCTTCTCGAAACTAGCTTAGTATTGTGTTTAATATTGCACTGTGAATATGCAAGAAAATATCATTCATCATCGCTATATTTTGTTGTATTATTTTTAAAAAGGGTAAGCGTGCTGCAGAAGCTCATAGAAAAATTTGCAGTGTTTGTGGTGATGATCTCTTAATCAAACACACCTGTCAAAATTGGTTTGCCAATTTCATTTAGGAAATCTTAAAATCAAGAAGGTCGCCCAATTGAAATTGAAACGAGCAATGCTAAGGCCATTGCTGATCAAAATCCCACCCAATCAGTGCGAGAGATTGTTATGGCCCTAAATGTGTCGCAAAGAAGTATAGAAAACTATTTGCACAAGCTCAGCTTGAAGAACATCTTGAAGAGTAATGAATGATCGGAAGCGTGTAGTGTTCCATAAAGACAACACAAGGCCCCACGCCTTATCGGTCACTCGCAATAAATTATTGAGCCTTGGATGGACCATTTGCTCCAACCTCCCTATTCACCAGACATAGCTCCAAGTTGCTACAACTTATTCCATTCTCTGCAGAATTCGATGAATGGAAAGAAATTCTAAAAGGAAGAGGACATCAAAAACCACTTGGATCATTTTTTTAGCAATAAACTCCTGACATTCATTCTATGAACATTACGCAGTTAGTGGAAAAAGTCGTACTGAATAATAGTTAATATATTGTAGATTAAAATAAATTGTATGTCTCTAATACATTTACATTTATTTTATTCTGAAAAACTGGTAGGACTTATTTGCAAACCCAATATAATTTTTCCTTAAATTTTATTACTCCCCTGTGTGTCTATTTATTTTAACTTTCCGGATTTCATTCATCTAAAGGTCTATTATGATGTTATCGGATACTTAATTTTTAAAATAGTAACTTCTCTAGGGAGAGGGGACTCCTGTTTTTCGCAAAGGATATAGGACCAAAGCACCAGCTATTATGGTAATGGTGACCATCGAAGTCTTGTCTCAAACTCTGAAAGATTCTAAAAACGGAAGGCCCCATGGACTCAGTAGAACTATTGAGCGCTAGAGGCAAACAGATGATGACCATTCTCCTTGAAATAATTAACCTAGAACTGGGAGAGGACAAGATTCATGAGGATCTCCGGATGGGCTTTGTATCGGCCATCTTCAAGAAAGGAAACAGGAAGGTGTGCAAGAACTATAGGGGTATCTGTGTACAGAGTTCGGTGATCAGAGTTAAAGGAAGCCTGTTCCAAAACAAATTGGAATACTCTATCGTTACCCCTGAGAAGGCAGACGTTCAACACATCGAGGAAACCTCAGTGAATGAATCAAGAGCTCCATATAGTTTTCTTGAACCTTAGTTAATAGATGTGGGGGCATTGATCGGCGATGAACAGCGCGTGTCTCTCTTTTTCACCGATGATCAAGTCATATATGCTCCAACAAAGGTATTTCATGGAAGGATGATGTGATCACCATGGGTCTGCTATGAATCTTTGGAGATTAGGTTGAAATTCACGAAGATGGAATCCTTGGACATATGAGGCTTGCAGTTGGGTCATATGAGAGACCTGGCGGGAGACCGTGGTGACTGGCGTAAATGGGTCGATGCCCCTCCACGCTGAAAGGCTCTGAGGAGGAAGGCAAATAAGAAGAAGAAGACCTTGTAACAGCCATAAAAAACTTTTATGACAATGCCAAAGCATATGTTAAAACCAACCCTCTGTAAGTAATAGCTTTATAATAACGAAAGGTTTAAAACTGTCACCGTTGATCTTTAACATTTATGTAGAAAGAAGGGCTCTAAGAGAATGAAAGAAAAATGTAGAAGTATGGGGATAAATATGCGAAACGATTTATTCCAGTTTACTGAAGACCAGGAGCTCATCGCTTCAGAATATGCGATGAGAAAAATTCTCCAGGAATACTCAAACTGGGGGCTGGAAGTCAGCAAAGTAAAAACGGTATATATGGTCTTTAATAGACAAAGCAAATATGTTCGAATGGGCAATTGTATGTTGGAACCTGAAGATCAATTTAAGTATCTATGAAACTCGGTGAATAAGATAGAAACATCAAACATGGACATTAAAAAGAGCATAAGCAATGGGAAAATAATCACCAGGACTTAAATTCGGTTATGTGGAGTAAATCGTCCTTAAAAACAAAAAAAAAAGAAATTATAAATCTTATATTATAGATAAAGAAATTATAAACCCTCAGACATTTACAAAGGTGGATGGATATTTTTAATTATATGAGATTTTTCCTTTACTTTTTGGGATCATCAGAAATTAATGTTCGAAAAAAGTAGAAATAACAATGAAAGTCATGATTCATACTGTCTTATGGAACGACAACAGTCTAAAATAAAACAAGCGAAGGATATACCACGTAATCGAATAGCCTAAATCCTGAAGAATGAACCTGAAACCTGGACCACAGCATTCCGGTTCTATTCCAAGCTACAAGCTTTGGAGGTGGACTTTTGGAGTTGATGCCAACGTGTGACAAGAATGGACAGAATTAGGAACAACGTAGTTAGGGACAGGATAGAAGTCTCTGTGTCCATCAACCAGATGATTGAGGGTCGAATACCGATGTGGTATGGCCATGTAAGAACAAAATCTACCAATGGATGGCCTAACCAAATTCTTGATAGCAGCCACTGAGAAGACAGAGGCGAGGAGGTTCTGGAAAAAGGTGGACACATAAAGTGAAGAGGAGAAAGCTGTCCGAGGTCTTCAGGATGGAGATTGGCTTGCGGCCTCTGGAGTCCAGTCCTAACGCTATATAATATAAATATATAAACGCTATATAATATAAATATATAAATAGTACCCCTTTACAGTATTTATGAGAATTTGTCTAATCAAAAGAGGAACAGCAAAAAAAAAATATTTATAACTCTTAGTTTAATTGATAGCAGGTATATTATATTTTACTTTATTCTATAAGATATTAAACAAACTAACTAGAAAATTAAGTAAAATAATTGGTTTTCTTTTCTGTTTTTAATAAAGAACTGCCCTTCTCGACATACCTGGCATTAAAGAATAGAAAAGATAATGGAAGCAAAAGACAATTATACAACAAGATTCATGAATTATTCCTAACAGTATGTATAAAGATTAGTATTTTATTAAAACTCAAAGAAATATAATATCGTCTGTATTCACTTTATCTGTTAATTTTTTTATTTAGAAATATAATAATCTGTCTGGTGGATAATAATTATAGTGATATATGAACACATTCACACAATATATACAGAAAATATAAAATTAACAAAAGTAAAATAATAATCAAAAAATATATACAATACAAAATAAAATAAAGTAAATTAAAAAACATAAAAACACAGTCATAACTATATACAATATATACCATTAGGCAGTGAATACCAAGCCAGGCTTCTCTCCCCAACTATTTTAGGCAAAGCAGGACTCCAGGAGATACCTGCTCTTCTCTCCCAACCGCGTCACTGGGGCTAAACCCAGTGGAGATTGAGCAAGAGTGCTTTAGCAACATACACTCATGTCGTGAGTGAAGAATCTGGCCATTGCCAGAACTCCAATATTTACAAACTATAAAAGGCCGCGGGGCCACTGCCGTTTTAACCTCCTTGGAGGATTATATGGATGAGTGGTGCTGGATAGAGATTGTGCAAAGCGATTTGGATGATGGGTAAGGTTCTGGTGGAATTTGGAGAATTTCGCTGAGATATCTAGGACAAATGGGATATTAAGGTCACGGTGAAGGGTTTTGTTGGTTACACAGAAAGGAACATCGACTATTGTTCAAAGGACTTGGGATTGGATGCGTTTGATGTTAGAAAATTTTGCTGTCCCCCACAGTTCAAGACCGTAGGTCCAAGTAGGTTTCAGTATTTATTAGTACATAAGTAATTAGTTTTAGATTTTCTATTTAGTAGTATGTAGTAAGAGATCCCTACATCAGTGGTATTTCTCAACCACGTCAGTGGTGCTAAAGCCAGTGGAGTTTGAGCGAGAGCGTTTTATCCTCATACACACATGTCTTGAGTGGAGAATCTGGCCATTACCATGACTCCAAGATATATACTTCAAAAGATCTATGGGCCACTGCCGCTTCAACCTTCGAGGAGGATTGTAGGGATGAGCGGAACTAGATAGGGATTGTGCTAGGGGATTTGGATGATTTACAAGTTTTTGATGGTATTTGGAAAATATTTTAGGGATAAGGTCGAGAACAAATGTGATATTAAGGTCATGATGTTGGGTTTTGTTGGTTACATAGAACGGAGTTTCGACTATTGTTCGGAGGACTTTGGACTGAAAGGATTGAATGCGTTTGATGTTAGAAAATTTTGCTGTCCCCCAAAGTTCAAGTCCGTAGGTCCAAATAGGTTTGAGGATTGTCTTGTAGATCAGCAATTTGTTGTCAATTGAAAGTTGAGATTTTCTAGTTAGTAATCTAGTTAATATTAGGATTAATAAACAGGATGATGAAATAGGTAAATCAAAAACTAGAAAGACTTTCTTTAACTGTCTACGATTCGGCTGAATAGAGAATCACACTTTCTAAGAAAGATTTATAATTTCTTTTTTTTTGTTTTTAAGGACAATGATTTACTCCACATAATCGAATTTAAGGCTCTGAAGAGTATTTTCCCATTGCTTATGCTCTTTTTAATGTCCATGTATGATCTTATCCTATATCTATCCTATTCACCGAGTTTCCTAGATACTTAAATTGAACTTCAGATTCCAACTTGAAATTGCCTATTCGAACACATTTGCTTTGTCTATTAAAGACCATATATACCGTTTTTTCTTTGCTGACTTCCAGTCTCCAGTTTGAGTATTCCTGGAGAATTTTTCTCATCATATATTCTACATCTTCTGCTTCTGAAGCGATGAGCCCCTGGTCTTCAGCAAACTGGAGATTGAAGAGCCCTTTCTACATAAATGTTAAAGATCGACGGTGACAGTGAACATCCCTGTTTTAAACCTTTTGTTATTAGAAAGCTATTACTAACAGAGGGTTCGGTTTTAACATGCTTTGGCATTACCATAAAAGTTTTTTTATGGTTGTTACAAGGTCTTCTTCTTCCTTAGTGCCTTTCAGCGTGGAGGGGCATCGACCTATTTACGCCAGTCATGGTCTCCCGCCAGGTCTCTCATATGACCCAACTACAAACCTCTTTTCTGTCCTTGGTTATTTCGTCCATCCTAGTTTTCCGTGGACGTCCTCTTGGCCTCTTTTCTGTTGAATTTATACCTTCTTGATCTTGCCTCAAAAAATTTTCTGGGTTCCCTGTCCTCGTCAATCCTCATAATATGACCGGACCATTTGAGCGTTTTCTTTTCCACGGTTTTCAGCATTGGTGACACCTTAACATTTTCTCTAATCCGCTCGTTTCGGATGCAATCTCATCTAGTTCGGCCAGCTACTCTTCTCAGATATTTCATTTTGACAGCGGTAAGTCTACTTTTGTGCCTATCTAGAATGCAGCTCTCACTGGACCCAGCTCTCACTACCGTACGGTAGGGTTGGGAGGTAGAGTGTATTGTATATATGGATCTTAGTTATATTTTCCTCTTCTCGGTTTCCTAAGACCGTGTTGGCAGATCTGGTAATAGATGCCATTTGCTTTTCTGATCCTGTTTGATATCTCTTGGTCTATTTTTCCATTTCTACCAACAACTGTATCAACTCCAAATTCTTACCCCTACAGTTTATTTGTATGTCTTCGATTTCTGTAACAAGGTACGGACTTACATTAAAGTCTTCCATTGTTTCCTACATCCTCTTTAGAATGCCACTGTGTCATGGACATTTTGCAAGTCCACAAACATTAGCTGTACTTCTTCATTGTGCGGCGTTGCTTTTTCCAGGAGTTGCCTAATTGCAAAGACGTGATCACTGCTCGACTACCCTTAGTTTTAATTTGTTTACAAAGACCAGTTTTACACCATTTCGTGTAGCATATAGAGGGCTAAATTTCTATTCATTTTCATGTAGAAGGCTGCAAGAAACAATATCTATAAAACCTGATTTTTGAACTCCCTAAATCGAAAAAACTATATATCTCTTCCTAAATTTGTTATTAATTTAAATATTATCAGTTTTTGCTCTCTAATTCTGGGAATGGGATTCTAACTTTTGGGGTTCAATAAAAATACTCAAGCCTTAACACCATGACCCCTAATTGGTTATTTATTATAATAATGCAATTTTAAATAAAAATAAATTAATTAATGATTCTTAATCTTTTTTTTTTTTTAGTCTGGGCACACTATTTCTGTTCAACTAGAAAATATGATTTGTTTTTTAGCAGTCTTACCTGATATTCGAGAAAGAGCTTGGCAAGAGCAATATGAAATATTTGGCAATGATATCAGAGATCCAACCATTGATGATTTAAATCAAATGAACTATCTTGACAGGTATAAATTTTTAAAAATAAAAATTTGATTAAATATACTATTAAATTATAGCTCAAGTGTAAAATGAGTTTATTTTTATCAATCAGTGGCCATAAATAGAAAAATTATGTGAGCAATAGAGTACCACCATAAACATTCAATTTTCTCATGGAAAATTGATGAATTCTAATTTATTAAATCGGATCCCAAAAAACTGAGTTTCAAAATACAATGGTTTCAAATTCTTCACTATTTGGTCGTTTTGTATCAGAGATGTGTATAGACTACTGTGAGTACCGAGTACCAAGTATTTTAATCAAATTGAATCACTATTGAGAATACAATCAATACCTCATTTAATCGTTTGACATCAATTGAAGTAGTAATTAAATCCTTTGGTACTCAAAAAGGGTCAGTAAATACTTGGTACTGAGTACTCAGTATAATTGGATGTGTGATTTCTCAAAGAGATATAATAGTTCAAAGTATAGGGAGAAATACTTTATTAAAAGTAATGCTGCCCTACTACAAAGGGTTGCTGCGTACACAGCATACCTATCAATCCACAAGGACATTAATTTTATATTTCATTTTTCTATTTTTTATACATATATATGACATATATATGTACCTTTCTTTCTCTTTTTTTCCTCCTCCCCCTCATAATAATACATTTACATGTTATCAGCAATAAAACCATATTAAATAATATACATAGCACTATAAACATTTTCCCAAGACATAGAAAAAAAATTTCCCTGTTTCTCTCTTTAAATTTTCAAACGCCAGGAACTCATTACAACATCGCACACATACATAACACAGCAATTCCCAGAATGTAGACAAAAAGACAGGACGACAGCAGATCAATTCAAAATTTAATAAACAATTATTACCAGATGTCCTCAATCGGTATAAATATGATAGTGGATGATCCCCAGGGAGTCCAAAATAATATTTTCGGCCAATACCGCGAGCTCCCCAACATCAACACCTAGTTCCTCGAGAAAGCTCCTTGTTCTTTCCGGGATCGTTCCGCGAGACCCAAACCAGAGGCCTCTCACGGTAAACTCTATCTCTCCGAAGATCTCGCGGAATTTCTCTTTTAGGAAAGAGATGCATTTGTCGTATATATTCCTCTTTTCCCTTTCCACTTCACCCGCCTGATCGAGGTCGTTGCTCTCAAAGCGGACAGTTGGATCCAAGATTAGCGCTGTCCTTCCTGTTCTGGGAAACGTGACAATATCCGCATATCTTGTAGAGCCTTCACTGTCTATGCAATAGACCTCGTCAAAGCAGGTGAATTCCTTTTCTCTAAGGAGCCTCATCACCTCGAACTTTACCCTATGGTGCCGGCGTGTTATGAGGAGGGTATTGTTGGGGCATTTTCCCAGCACATGGGCTGGTGTTTCCGACTCTCTGCCGCATTTACGACAGAGGGACAAAATATTCATACAAAGTATACAGTAAAAATATTCATATAAATACATGCTTATTTTATTTAAGGTTCCTGAAAGAATCCTATAGATTTCTCAAAGTTCCACTTCTTGCAAGAATGGCTACTGCAGATATAAATGTAGGTAAGTGATGTTTCATAACATTTCTTATATTTAACGTTTCTGGCTAACTATTTTTCTTAGGTGGGTAGAGGGCTCTAGAAACCGCGTTCATATCTGTGACGTTCACGGTACCGCCAACATGAAGCGGAGGAGATCGGGGCAGGGACTTTTAGTATGTTTACCTCCTAAATACTCCGAAAAAATCAAATTGCTTGCTCATCCTCCATGCACTCTGCAACACCTACGTTGACTGAAATAATACTTTTTTTCATGGCCGCTGGTTGGTGTCTAGTTCTCACAGCGATATATTAAAACTGACTTTATCATAGCGTAATACACCCATAATTTGAAATTTTTCGGAATTTCAATACATTTAGGGGAAGGGAGAAGAAAGCTCTGTTTGCGCCAGTCAATTTCTGCCCGTTGGTCATTCATTGAGGTTATTGTGGAGCCGAGGTATTTGAGTTTGTCTACTCTTGGGAACGATTTTGATGTGGAATTTTCGGCTTATCATATATTGGGCTATCAAATAAGTCCTTTCCCTTTTTCTCGATAGTGTGTCAATATGACACACTTTTTATCTGATGAAATAATGTCTGAGGTGGATTGTTTATCCTATTCGTAATATGTCAACAACTGAATCTGTTAACTCTTGTTGAAAATAGCTTAGTATCGTTTGCTATTGCACTGTGACTATGGAAGAAAATGTCATTCATTATCGGCATTTTTTGTTGTATTATTTTAAAAATGGTAAGCGTGCTGAAGAAGCTCATAGAAAAATGTTAAGTGTTTATGGGGATGATGCCTTAACAGAACGCACCTGTCAAAATTGGTTCGTCAAATTTCATTCAAGAAATTTTGACATCAATGATACTCAACGGTCTGGTCGCCCAAATGAAATTGAATCGAGCAATGTTAAGGCCTTTGTTGATCAAAAACCCACCCAATCAGTGCAAGAGATTGCCTTCAAATTGTCGCACACAAGCGTAGAAAATCATTTGCACAAGCTCGGCTATATTTCTAGGCCTAATGTTTCGGCCCCACACATTTTCGAAAATCACAAAAAAATTTATAACTTCAATACAACTTATACGGCCAAGTATCGTATATTAAAATAAATGTTATGCGTATAATAATAATAATAAATCTGCAAGGGGGAAGTTTGAAGAGTAAAGCACTACATAGTCGTTTTTACAATTTTTTATTTCAATCGAGAATTAACTGGAAGGCCTCTAATAAATGACTTAAGAAAGGATACATATTTCCCGAAAGTGAAGCGTTTATTTTGGCAATACAAAACCAGGTAGTATCCAGCAAATGCAAAAGAGTCAATCCAACATATTTCGTCGGGAGGTCAAGCGGTTTCAGGTAAAGAATATCTGATGAGACACAATAACCTGGATAAAATTGTTTACCAATCCCTGGCCTCATTAAATAACATGACAACAAACGAGGTTCCTTATTATCGATATGAGCCCAAACCGCTGCTGTGAAAATAAAATAGAATAATATATTGAGATCGACCTATAATTACAGATCACACGGTAGTAAATAACAAACCGGACATTGTAATAATTGATCGGAAGTGTGTATGTCGTTGATATAGCGATCCCAACCGATGATAATATCGCAGACAATATTTCTGAAAAGATTAGGAAATATCATGACTTGTGCCAAGAGTTTCGGCAACTTTACAATTTGAATCAAGTCCCGGTATATCCAATCCACTTTTCGGAGGATGTCTTTATTTCTTGTTGTTTCTATCTTCTTGATTAACATTAAACTCCTTAAAATCTTCATCTACATAACGTTCAATCTGAGTTCAAGTTTCCTAGTCAATATCCAAGTGTGTTCTCCGTATAGAATCTTAGGATAAACACAAGTAGTCAAAAATTTGGCTTTAAGATTTATCGCTTTAAAAATCGTTTTGAGGGACCAATATTTGTACATCCAAGCTTTATCCTTCTGTCGGTCTCTTTACTCATTTTTTCATTTAATGTTATTGTTTGACCCAAATAAATGTATTCTTCCACGTAATCTACCTGTTTACTGTCTACATAGAATGGAATTTCAGTGGAGTTTGTCATTATTTTAGTTTTTCCCATATTCTTTTTCAGTCCATATTTTTAACTGGTTTTCACTACTACTACCATTGCACTGTGAATATGAAAATATATATGCTACATTCATTATCGGCATATTTTGTTGTATTATTATAAAAAAGGTAAGCGTGCTGCAGAAGCTCATAGAAAGATTTTCAGTGTGGGGATGATGCCTTAACCAAACAGCTGTAAAAATAGGTTAGCCAAATTTCATTCAGGCAGATTTTATTATCATAAATCCATTAAAGTGTATAAGGTTATATAGTAAGTGTATAAGTGTAAATAGTAAGTAATAATAATGTAAGAGACCCGTAAAGAGATATAAACATGTTTAGAATCTAGAATGAAGAATTTAATTAAAGATGAAAATAACAATATTCTGACCGATCTTATGCAAATTTAAGAAATACTTTGTCAATATTTTAAATAAGGGAAGTAACGATCTATTTCCTCGTGAGTACCAGACTTCTGAGCCATCAATAGAAGAACCGAGTATTGGGGATGTTGAATTATCTATTGGAAAATTACAAAGCAACTTATAAAGCAGCGGAGACCGATAGTATTCCTGCTGGACTAATTATGAAATACTGCTAATCTGAATCTGCTAAGAGTTTGCATGGCTTAGAAAAAAAGCTGATGCGGTGCGCGCATCACCCAACTTTCACTAACCACCCTTTTTTTAGCAGGAATACGTATTTTCAGACAAAGAGGAAGTAAAAGTTAAAATTATAGACGCTATATTTATTTATATTTCATTGCGGGTACTTTTATTTATGAAGTTATGAAAACGTATTATATTAACCTCATGTTATGGAAGACTGTTCTAATTTTTCGGTCGAGCTCGCTATTTTCTCTTTAATTAAATATCATATTCATTCATATTTTATATTAACTATTTGTTTTATATTAAAGATCAATGCGAAATGGTTAATTATTTCGACTAAAAAAAAAAAATTAAAAGTACTTTAGAGGAAGCTAATATTGAAAAATGGCCATTTTAGATCTGTTAGAGTAGATAGATGTGAATAAATCCCACATTATATTAAAAATTGCTTAATTTTATACTGGTGTAATGAATTTAATCAAAATCGTTAGAGTCGTTTTCGAGAAAATCGTAAAATTATATAAAGTGCCACTCTCGGTTAGCTGATTTTGACGAAAAAGTTTCAGTAACATCTCAGGCATATAAAAACCTTAAATATGCAGTTGAACTTTCGTTTTTTAGCTAGACTGTGAACACACACACACAGAGACCATTTTGTGAGAATTGGTTATTTACACTCAGACGACCTTAAAAATTTCACTATCGTAGTACTTTCCTTTACTATATATTTCATATATAGGTAGGTGAAAGTGAAAATATATAAATACGTATAAATCAGGCTCTTAATAATGACATTTTTGTTTTCAGATGGAATAACAATACCACGTGGCACTGTTGTAATTTACTTAATGGGGTATATGAAATTTCTACCAAAATATTGGGAGAATCCGTACATTTTTGACCCAGATCGCTTTCTGGAAGAAAGTGATTTGTTAAAATGTATTTCCTCGCCATTTGGATTCGGTATTAGAAACTGCCCAGGTAAGTGATTTATGTACATTGTCATTTATTTTTGGTTTATCTACGCTTATTAAATAAGAATTCTCTATTATTTACACATAAACTTGCACAGTTCTATTATATGAGACAGAATATTTATTAACCTTTAGCAAAGTGGTTTCTTGAGTTTTTAGAAGGCTTTAATTAGGGATGGGCGATATTCGATAGTTTCCCACTTTCTGTAGTTATAAAAACTACATTATCATCGATAGTTCTGTAACTTCCCGACACAGACTTAAAGTGGATTTATTTTCGCTGAATTCTTTAATTATTTACTTTAAAATGCATAAACTTTATAATAATGTAAATGACAATGTTAAAGGTCAATTGTTAAAGACCTTTTTTGGCGGGAATAGGCGAATAGCCTTCCGCTTTATATCGGGGAAGTAGGTTATTTACACTTGTGAATATTAAAACAAAACCCCGGCACTGTTGTTGAGAATTCGGGAATCTGATTCCTTTTGTGACACTAAGTGAGAAGAAACAATAAGAATATATATTTGAAATGTGGGGCTGAGTAAATACACTTTAAATGAATTAACTCACCTGGTTTGTTGTTCGTCAATCGTGAGGCATGTAGGACAACTAAATAAATAAATGACTTTTCACTCCTTTCTAACAAAACAATTTATTTTACAACTGTAATAAATGAATGTATAAAAGTATTATAACTGTAGCCTTGATATTCTTGGTCTTCAATGTAGTATCTCTTTCTTCTGACAACCTCCTCTCTTCCTGTCTCAGCCTCAAGTGCCTTCTCTCCCTGGCGTCCTCCTCCAGCTGTTGCTACCTGACTGGACCTTTTTCCTTCTTCATTAATTGTTTATCGATAAGAGACTTTTAAATGAACAATTTGTTCACTACACAATTGAGTACAATTCACAGTGCAACCTCACATTCCTATATATTATGTATTCCTTCTCATTCCCTCACCCAATGTCACATAAAGGGATGTAAAAAAAATTATTGACCTGAAAATACATTTATATAAAAAAATAAATTGCATTTATTTTCCTGATTGTTGACTTAAAAAAGAAATATTGACGACATACAGGTAGTATTTTTTTAACTATTTAGTAAGAGAAAGATGAAAAATTCTTATGTCTTTTAATTTTCAAGATTCGAATTTGCTAAACTTATTTTGATAACAGCACTTAGTTTAAAATATAATAAAACTATAATGATATCCTTGTAGATTTTATAAATTTATTTTTGTATGAAAAAATAAATATAATATGTAAAATAAATGTTACATTTTTTTTTTCCATCGATACAACTTGGTGGGGCCGGGGGTATTTAAAAATTAAAACACAAACCCTTCCCCGGTGAGGTTCCTCAAAGGTGAGAAAATTCGAGAAAAATTAAATTTTGGGAAAAAAGGAGAAAAAAATTAGTGAATAAAATGAGACCTGTAAAACACTAAAGAAAAAACAAATGCATGCAAAAGAATATAATATTAAATAGAAATGTTTAATAAATCAAAAAATGGAAAAGGAAAAATCCCCTTTTGAACGTTTACAATTTATTGAGATAAAAAAAAGGGGATATAAATTTATATAAAAGTTGAGAAGAAAGAAAATTATTCAAAAACACTGAAATAAAAGAAAACATATAATATAATGTTCAGTGAAAATAAAAACAATTAAACATTATGAAAAAAAATATATAATAAAGTCCACTTCTAAAAACTATAAATAAAACATGAGGGAAAAATTATTGTCCAAAGAATAAACTAATTTAGCGAAGAAAACCATTAACTAAATGTTCGAATGTCTTGGTGAGAGTAAAAAACCCAAATAAAACGAGCCAGATTGGAGGTTCGCCTGGTTACCTTTCGATGTCCAGCTGTCGAGTAATCGATGGTGGGGTGGAATCGATTACTCAGCTGCGCCCAACAGCTGATCCTCGAAAATGGCGCTAGGTGAGATGTGGTGAGTCTGGACTGGTGGGGGTACACTTCCACTGCATGGGCCTAGTGTCAGCAATAGCTATCTCCAGACTGAGCTTCGGCCGTATTTTGATGTCTTAATCGCTAAGACCGGGTAATACTGCCTGGCTGGTGCGTATACACAAACGCGATAATACTTCGCGAATAACCCTAAATATATAAATACAATAAAGTTAAATACACTTTTGAGACAATTGTCCCTCAGTTTTTTACAAAAAAAAAATTAATAAACATTTTCTTGTTAACACTTAAAAGGGGTTAATGGTGAGAAAAAATAATAATTAAAAAAAATAAAGAAATAAGCGTATGCGGCGTTAACATAACTGAAGGTGTAAAAATTTTTCTAAAATGTAATTTGAGATTAAATTTAATTAATTTTTTACCATGAAGGCTTCTTCTTGTTCAATTTTATTTCAGTTTTATATATGGATAAGAATAGCCTTCACACCTCCATTCATTCATTTTCTTAATGTGGCAACGTTTCCATTATACAATAACAATTTTACAATCAAACATTTAATTTTTAGATTATTATATTATCACTATATCTCGTACATCAATGATGGGAATAAATATGAAGGCGTGTTATTATAATTATCCCTTTAAGTATATATAATTTTAAAATAATTTGTGTCAAAGGGGAGGATATGAACCATCGATAGTCACTTGGAATATTGATAGTGATATCGTTAGTTTTATAATATCGATATATCGATTATACTATCGATTACAGCCCATCACTAGCCCTTAATACTGCATGTTCTCGTAATTTCATGTGGGTAAGACATGAGGTAGGTATGAGAAAAGAATAGGCTGTTGAAAATATTAGATAGGGGTCTATTCTCCGAGAGGAAGAGAAAGAATAGGGTTAAAAAGAAAGGCAGTAATCAAGAAACAACAGTTTAAAATGATTGTCAGAGAAATAGTGGGCGGAGTGGCCGAATGGGCTAACGAGTGTGCACAGAACCGCCGTTGCCCGGCAACCTGACATGATGAAAAATAGTTCCGAGTTCGCATCCTGGTGTCGGGGTAGTCTTTTAAATCCCCGTATAGCCTTAAAGGCGAGGAAGGGAAGGACCAAAAAAAAAAAAGAAAAAAAAGTTCTCCATTAAAATAATTCCATAATCTCTTCTTGATAACTGGCACGCCGGGCTTCTTTTTAAACTGAAAACCCATCTACCCCAGTTCTTGTAACTAATACTTTGCTCCTACCTCTCTGATTGCACCTTTCGGGCTCGCAGAATTTTCCAACGCCTACCCAGTTGAAGCCGGTGTTCCTCAAGTTAGCGTCTGGGGCCCCGTCCTTTATATCCTTTTTACCGCTGATATCCCTGTCCATCCCGGTACCTTCCTGGAAAAATTTGCTGACGACACCGCCATCCTAGTCCTTGTCTTTCTATCATTCATTATTACGATGAAATACTTGTCTGTTTCTCGACAAACTCCGCCAAACATCCATTGTTCAGGGATCCATCGTTCTACCTACATGTTTCTTTCTTTTAGAAAAAAGACTCTCGTCTACTTCAACGACTTTCCCGGGGCCCTCCAATTTTCATAGTTGACCTGTATAACATGTTATGGACACAAATCTCTCTTCAAAATTTGTTCCACATTATGATACATCTGTTCGATAGTATCAGTTGCTCTTTGTCCCACTGTATTGTTGTAAACTTATGAGACCACCTATAACTTAATTGTAAAGCGGTTGAAAAGGTAATCTTCGACAACTCTAACCATGTCCCTTTTCTTATAGATACGTTTTTCTTACAACTCTTACGAAAGAATCTCCATTTCGTCTTCACGTCGAGCTTCATTTCATGACCTTCTTCACAATGTTTGACCTTTGTAATTATCCCGGGGTCTTGAAAATATTTGATAGCCTCTTCTTCTGAAGACGGCCATCCCCACCATTTCAATAACGCACAATCAACAAAGTTCAATCAATAAACGCACACGCAATAGATAACACTTGGCAGGTTATGTGACGTAACATAAGATAAGTAGGGAGGTTTACTAGAGACCTCGTCGTTCACAAGTATCAAAAATGTTTATGATGTTAATTGCACAAATTAAAAATTAGCTCCCAAATTATGGTATGGTCACAAATAAAATTAAATGGCCTATGTTGACCGCAACAGAAACCAACCGTTATTAACTAAAATATATATATACAAAACAATTTTTTTCAAATAAACATAAATAATTTTATTAACATTTAACAAATAGGGTCGTAAGTGTGGGGAATAAGGATATTAAATGTGTTTTTTTATGGTTTGATTCTAAAAGTCATGAATGGACCTCAAATGTTGCTTTATATTTAATGCTTGTTCCAGCTATTCTTTCATAAATAAATTTTCTTTAATTTTTCTCTTTTTATTGTATTTTTAATATTTAAGCTTTTACACCTAAATGTTCAAAGAACTTTTCTTAAGCATTTTTCTACTGGTGCCATATAACTTATTATATAAATAATACTCCATATAATTTTACTTTCAGGTGAGTATTATGCAACAATATTAATAAAAATCATATTGTCCAAAGTGTTAAGAAGACTAAAATTTAGACCAGTTGAAAAAGATTTCCGGTTTGAAGATATCAAATTTAAGAGTTACATTTTTACGGAAGCAGAGAATCCTCCTAATCTACAAGTTGAAGAAAGAACATGATTTATTTTAATTATTTAATTAATTATAACCTAAAATAATGATTTATAATAATAAATTATTTTACTGTTATATTTTATTTATAATGGTCTGTTGTACAATGTTCCAAACCTAACACTCAGGTAACCATCCCCAACCTGCTCGATCCTTATGTTCTCTCCTAAATACTTATATTATAATATTCACAGCTATATACATGTTGTGAAAGATGATATGGTAAGCTTTTAATTTATATTTTTTTACTAATAATATGTTAATGATCATATTGCAAAAGTCTTAAAAAAAACAACAATCATTTTAGAAGCTATAGTTTCAAGTTTTATCTCCTCAATGTTCTTGGTTTTGAACTTACAAGCTTTTTCAACATCGTTGTCAATATTTATTTCTTATAAGTTTATGATCTGGTTTTCATTTGTCATGTTATGTCTTAAATAATATATGTATATATATATATATATATATATATATATATATATATATATATATATATATATATATATATATATATATATATATATATATATATTATTTAAGGTACGGAGCGGGACAGTATTAGCTTTAATATCAAAAGCATTTATGTAAACAACTTAGAATGTATATATAGAGGATTATAAGGAGGAATAAAGCAGTCTTGTTTCTGACTTCATGCGTGTTATTGTTGAACCTTTACTCTTTTTTTTAAGTGTTTAAAGCCCGCACCGAAAAGGTGAGCTACGTGAAAGAGAGGAGGTATCCGCAGGCCCTTCGCCAATACATTAGGGAAGAGTTGGAGAGTCTAAAGAAGCAGGGGATAATTGTCGATAGCACGTCGCCATATAATAGCCCGCTATGGGCAGTTAAGAAGAAAAGCGCGCCGGAGAGGATAAGGAGAAATACCGCGTGGTAATCGATTACCGCAAACTTAATGAGAATACTGTGGATGAAAAATACCCAATCCCGAAGTTTGAGGACATTTTAGATCGGTTAAGCGGGGCAACGGTATTCAGTACTCTTGACTTGAAAGCGGGATATCATCAGATTAGGATGCTTCCGGAAGATCAGTAGAAGACAGCATTCACATTCGAGAGGGGGCATTACGAATTTACGAGAATGCCATTTGGTCTCAAGAATGCCCCTATAACATTCCAGCGGCTAATGGACGAGTTCCTAAGGGGAATTGACGAAGGGATGTGCCAAATTTACATGGACGACCTGTTGGTATTTAGTAAAAACGAGGCGGAACACGTAGAGCATCTACGTAGGGTATTTGAGAGAGTCAGACAATTTGGGCTGAAACTGTCCAGCGAGAAATGTTTGTTAGGGCAGGACCACATAAATTTTTTAGGACACACGATATCGAGTGAAGGAGTCAAACCTGACGCGCGGAAAGTGGAGGTGATTAAGAAGATGGCAATCCCTCGGGATGTAAAAGGGATCCGCAGATTGTTAGGAACCCTTAATTATTATCGACGATTTGTGCCCGAAATGGCGGAATACCTCGTACCCCTCAACAATTTATTAAAGAAAGGCAGCAAGGTGATAGTAACCCCCCTAATGGAAGACAACATTCGGAAATGCATGGCGAGGCTGCAAGAGGAGCCAGTATTAGCATTTCCGGATTTTACGAAAGTGTTTACGATCACAACGGACGCTAGCGAATACGCGTTGGGGGCTGTGTTATCCCAGGATGGAAATGGGGAGGGGATCGCTCCGTAGCATATGCCAGCAGGCGACTTACGGAGGCAGAGTCGCGATACAGTGCGCTGGAGAGAGAACTGCTAGCGATCGTATGGGCTATCGACCATTTTAGACCATATGGTTTTGGGAGGAAATTCCGCGTGCAGACGGACCATAGACCCCTACAATGGGTAGGCAAGCTAAAGGAATCCTCGGCTAGAGTCACACGCTGGAAGGAGAATCTTAACCAGTACAACATGGACATTGTGTACAAGCCCGGAAGAGAGAATGTGGTGGCCGATTGGCTATCGAGAGCGCTAACTATGAATGCCATAGAGGAGAATACAGCAGAATCATCGGGAGGCGTGAGACGATTCCTGAGGGACTGGACGCAAGAGGGAGAGGGGGTACAAGCGGTGGAAGAAAATGTGGATGGAGTTGATACCCAACAAGAAGAAAGTCCAGCGGAGGAGAGGCCAGTGGACATGGAAGAACGGGAGGAGATCGTCAACTATAAGAACCGCCAGATCATCTGGAAGAGCAGGACGTCGGGTCTGATGAAGATACTATATAGCAAGTACGGCAACAGCCGAATAACAACCATTTGGTCACAACCAGGGGCCAGCGTGGACCAGATCTGCAGAGCAGGATGAAGAGCAGCAGAAGGACATAACACTTGCTTACCACCAGGGCAAGACCAACCACCGCGGGGCGCAGGAGACGTTTCAAGCGTTGCGTCGGAAATATTTTTGGTGGGGGATGAAGAAAACGATCGCAGAGCTCATAGGGTCCTGCAGGGTGTGCGCGAGCACAAAGTACGATCGGCACCCCCCAACAACGATGCAAGAGGAGACACCCGCGGTCGATGCACCACTAAGCGACTTGCAAGTGGATACGTTCACATGGAGAGGGTATAAGTGGGTCACGCTCATAGACCTCTTTAGCAAGGCGGCAATGGCGTACCTGGTACAGGAGCGGTCAGCAGAGGTAGTCATAGGAGCCCTCCAGACGTGGTTCCAATGTTACGGAGTACCCGATCGCATAACATCCAACGGGGGCAGAGAGTTCGACAATGCCAAAATCAGAGCGGAGATGAAGAATGTAGGTGTCAGGTGGCATCTCAATACTCCAGGGCACCCCAAGAGCAGAGGGAGTATAGAGAGACTGCACAGCACTCTTAGTGACCATCTAAGGGTGTATCAGGTGGAAAAAGGGTTGGAACCAGATGTGGCAATGCGGAAGGCGGTGGCAGCGTACAACCATTCGATACATACGACAACAGGGTTCTCTCCATTTGAAATTCTCTTCGGATTACGCGGACGGCAACGGGACTGGGGAGGTACAGCTGCTGATGAGCAAATGACAGAAAGAATGGTTAGTAATAAAATGCAACTGGGTAATCTCTGGGGGAAGGTTAAGGCAAAAATAGAGGGGGAAAAGCGGAAAAGGGTGGCGCTGGAAAATCTCAAAGTGAAGGAAGTAACAGGGGGGTTGAAAATCGGGTCCATAGTGTATCGCAAAGTAGGCTCGAATAGGGGAAAGGAAGTGCGGAGATACGAGGGTCCATTCAGGGTGATAGTCATTAGAGAGCATAATGTGGTGACGATTGAGAGTGTTAACGAACCAAAAAAACGAAGGACGGTTCACATAGAACAATTAAAATTTCCGATTACAGAGTCACAGCAACCTTAGAACTGGAGTGCCCTCGTCTCCGGAAAGAAGATTTTTTTTTTTTGTTGTTGTTTTGTATATAGTGTTCTTACATAACTTTGAGTATATTTTGAAAGCAGTGAAATACGCCTTTCATTTGTGAGAAGAATGTATAGAGGAAAGTGTGTTATTTTTTTTATTATTTTGATATATAAGGAATATTTTTGTTTGTGTTTCATTAGATTAGGTTGTAAGTACTGAACACTCCGTACCTGTGTTATAATGTGGGCAAGAGAACCTTGTCGTTGTATATATGAGAGTTTATTTTTTGTTTAAGTTTACGAAGAGTATCCGTAAACTGGTGGGGGGGTGTTAAGGTACGGAGCGGGACAGTATTAGCTTTAATACCAAAAGCATTTATGTAAACAACTTAGAATGTATATATAGAGGATTATAAGGAGGAATAAAGCAGTCTTGTTTCTGACTTCATGCGTGTTATTTGTTGAACCTTTACTCTTTTTTTTAAGTGTTTAAAGCCCGCAACGTTTAACTTATGTATATATATATATATATATATATATATATATATATATATATATATATATATATATATATATATATATAATATATATATATATATATATATATTGTAACAGCCATAGGACTCGAAATAAACGTGGATAAAACAAAATATATGGTTAGCTGCAAAAATGGCGCTACTACTGGTGATATCGATATAGATGGTAATATGTTTGAACAGGTAGATAAATTTAGGTATCTAGGTTCTACGATAACTAGAAAAAACGAAATTGAAGAAGAGATTAAGGTTAGACTGAAGGCGGGAAATGCTTGTTATTTTTCTGTGACAAAACTACTTAGTTCGCGCCTCTTGTCCCGGAACTTAAAAATTAGAATCTATAAAACAATTATCTTGCCTACAGTTCTTTATTGATGCGAAATTTGGCCGCTTACATTAAGGGATGAGCAGCGTCTTAAGGTTTTTGAAAATAAAGTATTGCGTAGAATATTCGGACCGAAGAAGGATGAGTCAACCGGAGAGTTCAGACGGTTACACAACGCCGAATTGCGTGAGCTGTATTCGGGTAATATAATTGAGGTAATTTCATCGCGGCGAATCAAATGGGCTAGTAAAGTTGTTGGGCTTAGTAACGAGAGAATTCCTAAAAGGTTAGTATGTGCGGTGCCGAATGGTAAGCGTCCGAGGGGTAGACCGAAGCGAAGGTGGGAAGATTGCATTAAAGCCGATCTGAAGGGACTGGGTTTGGACGGCGAACGGTGGTGGGAGGTGTGTAATAAGCGATTGGTGGTGTCGGCATCGAACCTTCGGGTTCGCTAAGCCTTATATTATTGTTATTATTAACAGCCATAAGGTTATACCTCAACTGATTTACAACTACAACTTTTAAGTATGTAGGGTGTAAATTAGGAAAAGTGACTAATAAGTTTTAAAACCAGCGAAATCTTAGAATTAATACATCATGAATTCATATATCGTTGTTACTTTACCACTTTTTTTCTCATATTCCCGTCTTATTTTCTTTCATATTTCTCATAACTATTCCTAAATATTCTCTACTCTAATCTGTTTTAAACATTGTTGCCATAGAAATTTTGGTCAAATATCGAAATCGTATGCAACGATATTTTTGAACGATGCTTTTATATCGATATTAAAAATGTTTCTAGACATTTTACAAATTATAGGATTAACAATTATATAAATTCTGGTATTTTGTTATATTTCCCATCTGGAGTTGGTATCAAGAGTAATGTAATAAATAGTTTGGTTTAGCAATAATGTCGTCGATGGTTAGATAAGCGTATTTGTCATAGTTTGTGAAATGTCTAAACGCACCTTTATAATTTGATCACCAAAAAACAATGTTAACTATTCAAAAAAAATAAAATCTGGTGCGCGCAACACACAATGTTCACTTACCTCTCTACTTTGAATAGAAATTATTTTCTGGCCATGTTGAGCTATTATAAAATTATTGAAGTGCATTTCAAACGGAGCTAAAGCTTAGATCTTACAGATATTAAATCATTAAGACCATTAAAATTACTTACCAAATTATTTAAATATAATATCGGATCTAGAATTATTAAATTACAGTAAATGTATTTAAGGTTATAAACATATGTTTATAAATCCATGAAATAATTTTATATTTCACTTCTTATTTCACACAAGTACAATGAAATACTTTGTTAAACAATGTCATTGCCTTACTTAAGTGGATTTTAAATACCTTTTTCAAACTTAAGTGTTAAAAGTTTACATTTAGTTAGTAAACTTCATTTAATTTCCTTGAAAACATGTGATTTACGTTAAATATTATTAGTTTTGAAAAATTATTATTTATAATTTTTTCGATACTCTCCTTCTACAATTTTATATATTAGATATTGTTTTTCTAAAATTCCCCGCTTTCCAACGATATATTATACTGATATATTTTGACTAGTTTTTCCGGAGATTCATTTTCGACCTGGATAACATTTTTTTTTTCTCACATATTCAATTATGAAATTCTTTCAAAAGTTATATTTAGCATTTGTTCGTAACTTTTAATAATCAGAGGTAGTTAATTATTTAAAATAAAACGTATTATTATAAAAGGTACTTTAACATTGGACATTTAAGCCCTGTAAAGTGAGATCAACGGGGATAAGGCCTAAATGATACCAAAGACCACTTAGGGCTAGTTACTCCAACTCAGTAAAGCTTAGATTAAGCGTTATCTAAGATTAAACCAAGTTTAATCTTGATCGGTTCGACCTTAGAAAACTTGGTTTAATCTTAGATAACTCCCAATCTAAGCTTTACTGAGTTAGAGTAACTGGCCTTTAATTATACAATGATACAATGAGTTTAATGAAAATCGTTAGAGCCGTTTTTGAGACATTTGTAAAGATATGTTCCATCGTTGATATAAAGTTGCACTTCCAGTTTGCCGATTTTAAGAAAAAAGTTGCTGAAACATCTAAGGCATATACCTATCTTAAACAAGTAATATAAGTTTCGTTCAACTTTTCGTTTTTGAGCGATTGTTCAAAGACACACAGATCATTTTTCGGGACTTGGTTATTTGGACTCAGGGATACAGGTTATCATCAAAAAGTGTATTTCCATTGAAAACTCAGATCCGAAAATTTTCACGAGTGCAACACTTTCCCTTACTATATATTACATACATAGGTAAGTGAAAGTAAAAAATTAAACGGCCACACACACGCGGAAAATTGATTAGGGAAAAAGCTGGGTGCTGACTGAGAAACTTGAGAGAATAATCACTGCTGCAGAAATGAGGTTTCTCCGAAGGATCACAGGGAAAACGAGACGGGACTGCATTCGCAACGAGAGAAAATCAGGGAGGAATTGGAGGTTCCCCCGATGAAGGATGTCCTAAAGACTCGGCAGCTGGTTTGGGCATGTCGTCAGGATGGAAGAACACAGAGATCCATTAAAGTCTATGGACTACGTTCCCGATGGCAGAAGACCCCGCAGCAGACCGAGAATGTCGTACCTCGAATACGTAGACCGCCTGTGCAAAAACAGAAATATTAATATACGCCAAGTCAGAAATCTTGCAAAAATCAGGGAAAGTTGGCAATCCTGGTTAGACGCTAACCTACGCTGAAAGGCAATACAGGGTGATGTAAAAGAAGAAGAAACAATACTTTCTCTTACTATATATTACATACATAGGTAAGTGAAAGTAAAAAATTAAAAATGTCTGCTGGGAAAATCGACATACACACGGGAAATTGGTGCGGTGCATATACCACAAAACATTCACTCACCACCCTACCTATTTCAACATTTCATGCAGAGAAGTGAAAGTGAAATTATAAACGGTATAGCTTATATACTTAGGTAATTACTTACTGTACGAAAATTATGGCCGGGTACAAAATATTATAGTAAATATAGATTCAAGGAATTATAAGAATATTAAAAATGCTTAGTGACCCAGAAAAATTTAAAAAATGTCTGAATTTCCAGCCTGTATCTGCGGCTAATTCTTCCTTCTTAAAGCCCACCTTACACGTTCAATATTATTGAATCAATAATACTGAATAGATATTATTGAAGGTGGTGTATTATTGGTGGTGTAGTATAGACTCAACAATAATGAATATTTAAGGGCCCCTTTAGTTAAATATCAAATTCGTTCATAATTTATATTTAAACATGTTTTTCAAAAACTAGATGTAATTAACTGCTTCATTTTTTTAAAATAATCCAAATTAAAGGTACTTCAGAGGAAGAGATTTTAATATTTGGCATCTAAGCCCTTTATGTTTTTTTTTAATGAAGACAAGATCTGTCAGAGGTTAAAGATCCCTTTGTTTTAATAAAACTTATTTTCACGTTCGTAATATTCTAACTTACTATTCCATTCAAATATAGAAAATCACGATATAACCAAGTATAAAAAATATTGTATGGTCAAGCGGTTTTGGAAAATTTCGGATCGCTTAAACATATTTCATAGTTTTATTAAAGAAATAAAATTGCCTTTTATTTTTTTTGTTTACTCACCCGTTAGTTCTCAGTAATTAATGATAAGATAAATACGAGGAAGATAACAAGGTTATATTCAGTGTGGTGAGGAACATTAGTAATGAAATTGCAGGTTTTAGTGAAAAGTTAAACGATAGAACGATTTGCATGATGCAAGATTGTAGCATTGATCTGAGGTCAAATAACGAAGTTGAATTATTTTTTGATTAAAATGTGTTGAAAGTTTTTATAAGATAACGGCGATTAGAAGTTCTCCCCTTATGTAAATATGCTTTCGAGTGTTTATATCAAGATAAATCTATTTATAAAGTCGATGCCCCTTTCATATTAGTATCACTTAGGTTTAGAGTTTCATTTCATTCAGTAACGATGCTGAGCTTCGCGCTGTGCACCTTGGTATTGTACCAAACCACGGTACTGGCCATCCAACCCGAAGTGGTTCTGCAGCAAGGTACTCTGAAGGGTTTGTGGGCCGACAGCTTCGGAGGACGTCCTTACGCAGCGTTCTACGGGATACCCTACGCGAAGCCTCCGGTCGGCAAGAACAGGTTTAAGGCAAGTGACTTAAATTCCAAATTTATTTTCAATATTATACAGGGTGTTTCAGGATTAAGTGGCCAAACAACAAAAATCAATTAAGGACCTCAAAAACGAAAGAAAATACCTTACTCTGAAGGTATGTCCACAAACTCTTTGTTTAGGAGATTATTATTGTTACAGTCAAAATTATAGAGTATCAAATTTTGCGTACAGTGAGCACTGACATTTTTATTTTTGGTCAATTATATATCTCCAATTGGGATTCGTTATTGCTTTATGAAATTCGATATCTTTCGACACATTGTTTATCAAATTCCTTCGCTGCTGATAGGTGGAAAAGAAGCTTATACTACATGTAAAAGAAATATTGAAAATCACGTTTACGTTCATTACCAATTTCTAGCCATCGGTAAACTACCTATTTTGTTCAAAGTAAGTGACCAAAATTTAAATTAATTGGTACTCACTGAATGCAAAATTAGATGCTCTACAACATTCATTCTATGAGTTTTTCCTCTTAATGAACTCATTTCCAATTCCATTTATATTATCTTGTCACAGTTTTTGACTAAAAATAAAAATTCAGCGTTGGTGGACCATGGTTTTATACCTTACCCCATAACCAAATTATAAAGTTTATGTACTTGTTTGACGCACAATTTAACGTTCTTTAATTTATTAATAAGTAGATTTTTCGCTATCCATCGCTTTGGAGTTATAGGTGAAGAAAGAAAAATATATCGAAAAAATCTGACTTTTTTTGCCAGTAAAAAGTTTTCCTTTGGTGGCTAGCGTTAGCAATTTTGATTTTTGCATGTATAAACTCATATATACAAGTTAAACAAATAAAAACAATCCTCACATTTTTCGCAACGGATTTCCCGTTTCGATCCTCAAATTACTGGTCTAATATCTTTAAATAGCTGCCATTTTTGAAAGCAGTGACTCTGGAACGGCAGACAAGGTTCTTTTTATTCAAAATTATATATACTTTCGTAATTAACAATCAAACCTTCGCCTGCGATGAGTTTGATTTTTGGGGCCTGGCTTCAGGGCTTAAAGGGCCTAAAGTGATAGTGGTGAGATATTATGTTGTGAGTCATATTCCAGCACACTATATATTAATATTGCTTTTTATTATGAATGTTTACTCAGTATATTTTTAGAAGATAATTTACCTATTTATTACTTTTCAGGAACCAGTGGCTGCAGACCCATGGTTAGGGATTTACAACGCTACTAAAGAACCACCAAAATGTCTTCAGTTGTTCTTCTTCGACTTAAACGTGCCATCCAAGTTAGAAGGGTCAGAAGACTGTCTTTACGTAAACGTATTCACTCCAAGGGTTCGTATTTTCATAACTAACATTCAAATATAAGTCTAACTCGAATCAATTCACGTCTACATTCAACTTCTTGAGTGGTTCCTATGTGATTCTGTGAACGTTATTATTATTTTTTTTTTTTTCATATTAATGATAAAGAAAAAAATCTGGTGCGTGCGACACACAACTTTCACTTACCTTTCTACTTTGAATAGAAAATATTTTCTAACAGTGTTGGGCTATTATAAAATGTTTGAAGTGCATTTTAAACGGAGCTAAAGCTTACAGCGTACAGATAACAAATCGTTAAGACCATTAAAATTACAAAAAGTCCATTTATTATATCGACGGTAGGCAATAAAATTCTAGTTACTACATCTGTTTTTATAAGCCACACAACTTCAGTTGACAGAATGACATACTCCAATTTGATCATTTTTGAGTAACGTTATCTTATAGTAAATTTATTCCAGAGTAGGTGATTACAGTGTTGAAATATAGAACTGTGAATAAAGGTATAAATTTTGCCACTAGAGACATCACTAAAATTATTAATAAAGAATGTTGAAATTAGAGTTAGTCATTCTGTCAACCGAAAGGCTCATATATACCTAGAGAGATTTGAAAACATATCTGAATATTTAACATATAAATGATTGTGGGTGTAGGACTATTAGTTATTAAACTGTTGTTTTCTATTGTAAAGTTTACAAAAATGAAATTATGAGATTGTCATTGCTTGCCATGGATGGGTCAAAAGTTGTCACACTAATTGAAAGTGGATAATGTTAGGATTTCACAAAGGGAAAATTCATTAAATGATTCACTAATTTAATTTTCTAAAAGGTTACTTGATGATTTTTTGGAATAAACAGCCAATAGATGCCTATAAGTAGAATGAAATAGTTTGTTAAACAATGTCATTGCCTTGTTCTGATTGTAATTGCCACCTTTTGACTTTTATTTCTGGAGATTCATTTTCAACCTTGATAAGCATTTTTGAGAAGAAAGTTTTGTATCTCTTTGGTTGAAGATTAGAACCAGCGCGCGAGAATAATTACCTCGTGAATGAAGGACATTTCACATGGTTCAATTGCTTCAGTACAAGGTACAATTTACAACTTATAGATTCGCCATAATTCACCATCATTAGTTATTGATAACAAATATTGAAATTGTTGAATTTTTACAGAACAATATTTTTTCAACAGTTGAACACTGGAGCAGCTGAAAAGAAGCCTTTGGATGTCATTGCTTACGTTCACGGAGGAGCGTTCATGATCGGTAGCTCTTTGGACGGGGGAGTCGATTACATCATGGATAGAGACATTGTTTTCGTCTCCTTCAATTATCGCCTTGGACCTTTAGGTCAGTTCTCATTTTAATTTAATTTTGAAATTTCAAACTTATTTGTGTTAACATTTTTCCAAAAATTAAATGAGAAAATAGCAGGTTTTTCAACGTCTTAGAAGTTTTTATACAAATTTTATTATAGATTTACTAATATGAGAATCATCAACGTTAGATACGTCGGTAAAAAAAAAAAAAAACACTATAATATATTTTATATGAAAGTATGACCTCTGTTAACACCAAATTATAATAACTTTTGTTATATATTGTGGTAAAAATAATACTATTGTTAAATTGGACTTATTTGTTGACTTTTAATGACATCGTTTATATATTTATAGAAGAAATTTATTTTTGATTGATTATATAATCGGGCGTATATAAAAAAAAATACCGGTTTTCAACCAAACATTTCTATCATTACTTCATTGATATAAAACACATTGATATTAATATAGTTTATTGTTATCTACCGTCATTAGCCATCTGCTAGCCAATTGCTTGATCCCACGCTCATATCATTCTTTAGGATGGCTGTCAAAGAACTCTAGGACCGATTTGATCTCTTGGATAATTTTAACTTCAGAAAAATTATTAAATTTTTTCCCTTAAAGAAAATGGGCCATGGATCTAAATAAGTAGTAATCCAATGGCGAAAGGTCTGGACTATATGGTGGATGAGGCAGGAGTTCATATGAGAAAGGGGTTTTCAATAAATTTTGACAAATTTCTAACCTCTTCGCTGATTGCTGAGGAGTAAGTTCTACGTGAGGGACCAGTCTACTGTTCTTTTGTTTTCCTTCTCCAATGAGTAAATGGCAACTAACAGTATCTTTCAACACACCACACTCCCTGGCAAGATCACGAGTACTTTTCGACGGATTTGACTCAACAGCTTCATGCAGAACCTCATCAATATCCATTAATGGTCGCACGGAGCAGGGGAACCCATCCCCCCACTGGCGGATTTACGGGGAGGGGCTTTCGGGCTGAACCCCTCCCCCAAAATGGTAAAATGTAACAATGTTTTATGGTAAAAAATATTAAAAAATTATGTCTTAAAGTATTAATGCTCGTTTAATTACATTTAATAGGACTTTAAGAATCACTTAAACACCGTTTCATATATGTTGTTAGTATCTTTCTGTTTTTCCAAAGTAATTATCGTTATATATATGAAAAAAAAAGCTTTCGGGCTGAGGCCCCCACCAAAAATTAAATCCTGAATCAGCTAGTGCATCCCCCCCCCCAAAGTCGACATCCTTCTCCCTCCCATTTTAAGATATTGTATTTATTTCCTCTACTAAATAACTATGCAAACGAAAGTAATATTTAAAAGATTGTAGATCATACACAATTACACACTGCCATCTGCCTGTATTTTTCTATTCCTTAGTTTGGGACTTTCCATTCCAAAAATTCATGACCCTGCCAAAATGTGAACCCCTCAAAAATTTTGATGGCACATCTTACGTCACGAAACCCCCTTCTGTGCATCCCTGAATCAAATTCCTTCTTCCTTTCCAACGTCATATCTCTATAGCTAAATTTTTCATACCAATGCCACGCAGTGCGCTGGTCAAGGACACCTCCCCTTTTATTGAATCCCGTTGAACAAACTGAATGTGCAACGCCATCAAAATTACTGAGTAGGAAATATTTACCTCATACTTAGGTGGTGCCCCTTTCGAAATCCAATCAATAGTACTCTCATTTTTTATGGACTATTTTTTTTTTTTAACTAAAGCAATTTTTTCCCTAAATTGGTATGCACAATTCAATATTCTGGAATGAAAATATTTATACTAAAGTAAAAAGATTAATATATAAGACCCTGGTAGTGAGTATCATGTTCTATAGTTCGGAAATGTGGCCGCTCGCGAAATCACAGAGCAAACGATTTGTAGCTGTGAAGATGGATTTTCGGAGAAGATCGACTAGAGTCTTAAGGATGCAAAGAATCAGAAATGAGACCATTAGAGAAATAATTGAAGTTAAGAAGGATATACAAGAGATAATGGAAGAAAGAATATTAAAGTGGTACGGGCATATGATAAGGCATTTGAGTGGGAGACCAAGTGTAACAGAAGGAAAGGAATCGGTGAACGGAGAGAAATGGAGAAACCGACTGAAGTAGGAGTTTAGCTGAGGGAAACTTCAATTTTGAAGAAAAAAATCTTAAATAAAAAATAGAAATTGGATTTTTGACTGCAATTGCTAGTTTAATTTTGATTTTCTTATGTTATAGGCAAGTTAGGAGCCGAACGGGCCAACGCGTGTGCACGGCACTGTCGTTGATCGGCAACCTGATATATAAGATAATTGGATAAAAATAGCCACGAGTTCGTATGCGTTACCGGTGGGGGGAGAATCATTTAACTCTGGCATTAATCCCCGCCCTCACCCCCTGGCCAGAGAAAACCCCGTATAGCATTAAACACGATGAAGGGAAGGAGCAAAAATAAATAATAATAAAAAAAAATGTTAATGGCAAGCTCGTTTTATCTAATAACATAAAGACCCTGTAATTATAAAAGTTGTTTCTCACATCCAAAACTCTCGAATGTTGTTTTAAATATATCAACATGTCTGTTTAGGGTTGATCACCCTAAATTGATGTTACTCCCCCCCTTCATGGGGTACATGTAAAAGACCAGCGAAGTAGGTAACACTGCAGCGACGGTGGCGCAGTCTGCACAAAAACTAGTAGTAGAAGAAAATGGGCGACTGAAACGAGAAGAAGACGACTTTTCTCCACTCATCAAGACTAAGAAATTCATACTCTGTTCTACCATGGGAAGAGTAGTAGTAGTAGTAGTATGGAGTAGAACACACTGGGATTTACCGGACCCATGGAGATGAGGAATTACTGCAGCCGGCCGACCACCGTACCTCAGTATATCCCATTTCATGGTCCTCCGGGCCGGATGACCATGAAATGGGATGTACCATCATTTTTTGTATGATATGGTACAAATGATTAGGTCTTGAAAGAAACTTAGTGGACTGTATTGAAATGAACTATAATTATATTTAAACAGTATATAAAGATGGGGGTTTGGCGTATAAATGTTCTACAATCGTTTACTTATGTGGCTGGATGCTGACTGAGGTACGGTGGTCGGCCGGCTGCAATACTTCCTCACCTCCATGGGTCCGGTAAGTCCCAGTGTGTTCTACTCCATGCCTCTTCCCATGGTAGAACAGAGTATGAATTCCTAAGTCTTTAAGAGGAGAGAAAAGTCGTCTTCTTCTCGTTTCAGTCGCCCATTTTCTTCTACTACTAGTTTTTGAGCAGACCGCGCCACTGTCTCTGCAGTGTTACCTACTGCTGGCCTTTTACATGTACCCCATGAAGGGGGGGGGGAGTAACATCAATTTAGGGTGATCAACCTTAAACAATGTCTGTAACCAATGAGTTCATTAAATAAAAAAAAATGTCATAGCCTTAAGGGCAGATTTTGTGTATGTACAAATGTATATTAGCTTGTTAATGATGTTGAGGTTATGAATTAAACAATACTGTCATGAGAGTACTGAAACAGAACGGTATGCTAAGTAAACTAAGTATGCTATTCTTTGCTAATTAGGTTTCTTGAGCACTGGTGACGTGGCTGTTCCCGGTAACAACGGGCTGAAGGATCAGGTACTGGCTTTGAAGTGGATCCAGCAAAACATCGCAGCCTTCGGTGGAGACCCCAACAGCGTAACATTGACTGGGTTCTCGGCTGGATCAGCGAGTGTCCATTATCATCTCTTGTCTCCACTCAGCAAGGGTAAGCCTATCTTTTAGGAGGATTTTATTAAATTAATTCATCTTCTATATTCATTTATTATCTAGAGTTTATTTAATTAAGTTATCATCAAGTTATACGGCCGTTTGCAGCAATGATATGAAACCGATGTCTTAATTACAATCTCTGTTGCAAATGAATCTGTTACATTTTGATTTGCCGTTGTGTACACAATCTGCTTTCATTCACATTTTAGTTTATAGTCCGTGGTACAGACCCCTTTTTTATCGAATTATTAACATCCGCCTGAAACTTCGTAGGTCTAGCAAACGGCTCAATATTTTTGAACTCTACCTATTTCTCGACTTAGTCCTCAAGTTATCTTACAATTAAAGTGGAAAGCAAATGGGTATTTACGTGTTTTTAGTACCTCATTAAATATACAAAGTATGTTATTAAAACGCCCCAATCCCGAGAATTTTCGTAAATAAAATGTTTGTAGAGTACGATGAGATGAAGGTATTTATGAAGTTTCAGTCGGATGTTAATAATGTGATAAATTAATTTGACGAGCGACTAAAAATTTATGAATTCTCATTTGCTTTCCTCAATAGCCTACAAAGCCTACTATATTGCACCTTGCAGGTATTAGATGTCATGCTAAACTGTCTAAATTTTTATATGCCACCATTTTCTTCGATTTTGTGTTCTTTTTATCGATTTTGGAGTTTTATTACCTCATTAAATAGACCAAGTGAATCGATCTTCACATTAAAACGCCCAATTTAAGAATTCTCGTAAATAAAATAATTATATTGGGTAGGCAAATAAGTCCTTTCTGTTTTTCTGGGTAAAATAAAACTCGATATATTATAGAGATAAAATTTATTTTAATCTAAAATATGTTGGCCGTATAAGTCGTATTGAAGTTATAATTTTTTTTTGTGATTTTCGGAATAAAATCAGGTGTAGGAACATAGCCTGGAAACATTAAGCCTGGAAACATAGCCGAGCTTGTGCAAATGGTTTTCTACGATTCTGTGCAACACATTTAAGGCCTTAGCAATCTCTCGCACTGATTGGGTGTCCTTTTGATCAACAATGATCTTAACATTGTTCGTTTCAAGTTCATTTGGGTGACCAGACTGTTGAGCATCATTGACGTACAATTTCCCAGAATGAAATTTGGCAAACCAATTTTGACAGGTGCGTTCGGACAAGACATCATCCCCATAAACACTTAAAATGTTTCTGTGCAAATGTTCTTAAAATGTTTGCAATAGCAAACACAATACTAAGCTAGTTTCAACAAGAGTTAACAATTTTGTAATTGACATATTAAAAGATAAACAATTCACCTTAGGGACTAATTTATCATGCAAGAAGCGTAACATAGTGACATAAAAACCGAAAGGACTTATTTGCCAACCCAATGAATAGTTTACGATATGATGAGATCATTCTGGAAGTTTTAGACGAATTTTAATAATGTGACAAAAAGAGGTCTGTACCATGGACTATAACTCTCCAACATTTAATTTTAACATATATAAATGCCCGCAGGTCTGTTCAAAGCAGCGATTTGTGTCAGCGGTTCTTCTCTGAACCCGTGGGGTTTCGCCCAAAACGTCAGAGAAAAGTCTATCGTCGTGGCAAGAGAGCTAGGTTGCCCTGATGTTGATTCCTTATCAATGATAAAATGCCTCAGGCGGCGCCCCGCCGAACATATTGTCCAAACAAAGAATAATTTCTTGGTAAGTTGAAAATTCAAATTTAACAATTATAAATGTAAATTTATAAAACAATTTTTTTCTACTTAATTTTTACGATTTCACAGTTAAGAACAGTTACTTAAACTTGTTACAAGGAGCATATTTGGTACGAGTAGTTTTATAGCGGTTTTACATTTTGTATTCAAATCGATCTTTGATCGAATCTCCTTGCTTATCTATTAGATCTAAAGATGGATAGTAGCGATAAAAAATAGAGTGAGTAATATCAGTGCTGTGAATATCTTGTCGCATTTAATTGTTGACACTTTGCCCACCGCTTTGATTTCATCCCGAGAGATTCAGGTGAGTCACGCAAAGTGCGTATATGAAGTAAAAATTATTTTTATCTAGTTCTATAAAAAGTCTACTGTGGCCTTGTCTTTGCCCAATGAGGTTGGATACAAGAACATCAGTAAACATGGTATTACCATAAAAGTTAAACTTATGTAAATATTCTTTATTTGACATTTGAAGAATTTTATTTTATTTTTATTAGTGATGAATAAACATTTATTTCGTTTATGCAAATAGTGAAATATATTTTTTATTAATTTATTTTTTTAACTTTTAACTTTCATTTATTTATCGATCAGTATCCCAACAAGTGGTGATCCTGTGACAGTCCAGGTGATCGTGTTGGAATCTTCCTACAGATTGTAATATTCCTAATGCGTTAACTTTGTGGCGTTTGACTTTAGCACGTTTGTAGAGAACACAGATTTTGGCCCATTCGCCTACGTCTGCATTCATATCTGTCCAAAAATAACGTGAAGTTATTATCCTGCGTGTGGCTCTAACACCAGGATGAGATAATGAAAGGTCGAAAAGTGGTTTCCTGATGTCTTCTGAAACTTATGGTTGCGCCTTGCTTGTTGATATTTTGCAAAGAAGAGGTCAATTCCGGGGATAGTGATCCATTTTAAATCGAGTTTAGGATTATTCTTCAAGTCCCTAACGATAGGATCAGCTTTCTGCGCATCAGCTAAGTCAGCAAAGTCATCTGGCAATTGAACTTCCTGAACCCGTGACAGGCGTCGGCTACTACATTTTCACTACATGGCTTCGAAGTAGTAACTGACTTAGTGAACTGGCTGATGTAGTTAAGTTGTCTAATCCGCTGAACTGATTGTCAGCTTTTTGAGTAAAGGTTTGTGATCTGCCACAGTTTATTTAATGTGTTATCACATTATTTAATGTGAAGAAATGAATTAGAACTAAGTGCTGCTTTAGGAAGTGACAAGAAAGTTATTATGACTTCATAGATATATAGATTGTTATAAAAAACAAGGTGTCCTAGATTACACAAAATGTCAGTTTGTTTTATAAAGACAGAAGTTTTCAGTGGAAGTTCACTATTTGAGGCGAAGGCTTTCTTGTAGAGATAGCTGGGTCGTGTTCCTCAAGAAGGAAATATCAAGTTTGAACGATGTATTCCCTCAACAGTGGTAACTAGTGAGTTATTCCTATATGCTGTTGAAGGTAACTGAAGGTATAAAATTATCTATAAAATCGAGTGCAACAATATTTTATGATTTATGGAAATCTTATTCTGGAATACAGAAAATTTGGAAACCATTCAGAAAAATTGTATTTATCCGGTTTCGGGTCTAAACACCCAGATAATAGAATCTCTACACCACAATGAAATATAATAATAAAATGAAATGTTAAACGAAAAGGAGTATCATCGATTCTTACTATACGAATTTATTTACAGGAAAAAGGTATCAAAAAGAATATTATTTTGAAGGAAATTTGCATTGCATTAAGAAAAATGTTTTGAGGAAGATGATGGAGAAAGTCGTTAGGAGAAGTGAGGGAAAGGAGTACGCTGCGGAGTCCTTTCCCAATTTGATTTGATATTTATAGTTAGTGGAGGAGATCCTTCATCCACCTTCTTTTGAGCCTCATACGGGTGATATCATGCATGTCAGTTGTGACCATACCTTGGGTGTCGGAATTCCTGACAGGCCACGAAGGTTTTCGGGCCAAGCTTAGTGGCTTTGGAAAAGAAATTAATCCCCTATGTCCCTGTTGTGGTGTTCCGGAAACAATACAAACACCGGAAACAACCGCTTTTGAAACAATAAGGGCCAAACTACTGAGAGAAACCGGACTCACGGAGGACGATTTCCCTCAGCTAATAATTAAGCATAACTACCCTTACTACGAAGCATTCCTGTACGGGAAGGAAGTAGTCGGGGATGATTCAACCTCCTCTAATGAAGACTGGAGAAAAGTGGTAAAAGTATCAACTACCTCTACCAAAAATCTGTATTGCCGAGAGGGTAGAAGAAAATAAAAAAAGTTAGGAATGTAGTGTGTATATGATGTGTAAGAGCGGAGTGACTACTGACCCTTGAGGAACTCCTGCTAAGGCTGTTCTTATTGAAGACAGTTTTGAGTCTTGGTATAAAAAGAAAAATTGTAGGACTTCAGAAAACTGAATAAATATTGTATTTATATTAGATCACATTTTTTTTTTTTTTTTTCCTATGCCTAAGTAACACCTGCTTCATTAGCCATGCGTGCTCTTGCAGTCCAATACAGTTTTGATCTCCTAGCATAAGGGCTGTCCATTTCATTAAAGGAACATCTTATGTCCTGTAATGCAGGGCATGTATCAAGATGTTCTCCTGTCATCATGTCTAAGGAACATAGAGGGCATGTTGAGCTATCTTTTATACCGATGCGGTGGAGGTGCTTCTGAAGGAAATCGTGGCCTGTGAGCATTCTAAAGCATGCCACGGCTTGCCCTCTAGGGAGGTCTCTAGGGATTCTGCCACTTTTAGATCACATTTAATGAAGTCATATCTATTAAGTTACATTTAATTATTTTTTAGGTTAGGTTAACTTTCTAGTCACATGTTTAAGTAACTGTTCTTAACTGTGAAATCAGTAAAGTGATAAAAAAAATCACTGGTGTGCTTAAAGTAGAACAGAGCCACACATAATAACCGTTTTTTTTTCAGGGTTGGTATTACAACCCGATAGCTCCATTTGGCCCGGTTGTGGAGCCTCCAGGCCCGAACGCATTCCTTCCAGACACTCCGATCAACCTCATCAAACAAGGAAAGAGTTCGGATGTGCCCATGATGATTACATTCACTAAGGACGAAGGAATATTTTTTGTACTAGGTAATAAGCAAACTTATCATTGGTTCGTTAACAAGGAATATTTAATTTAACGATTATAACCTTTACAGACATAATAACCAATCCCAATCTGAACAATGAGATTAAAGCTGACTGGAACGGAATAGCGCCACACCTGTTTGATTACAATTACACAGCTCCTTCTGATAAGAGAGAAGAAGTATCCAAAGAGGTTAAAAATCATTACAACATCGATGTAGATTCTGAAGAAGGCCAGAAGAACCTTATGAAGGTAATGTTGATTCAATTTAGAAATAAGATATATCTCACTCATCTTCATCATTTAAAATCACTAATAATCCTTTTTTTTTTCACCATGTACCTTTTATTTTTTCCATCTTTTGTAGCTCGGATAAATACTACAAAATGGGTCAAAACGTTGGCGTAAATAATAAAATACTATTTTGATATACAGTGTTCATTTGACCACACCCCTTCCCCCTCTCCGGCCAACTCCTCATGTTTAAATTATATTTAACATCAATATTTTTTTTTTAGTTTTATATAAATCAGGCTTATTTGTTGTTTCAGGCTTTGAGTGATAGAACGTTCGTAGCTGGTATAGCCAAAATGGCCAAAGTCCATTCCAGCATCAACACTTCACCAGTCTACATGCTCAGGTTTTCATATACTGGGAAATATTCCTATGCATCGATGAAGGGAATGCCTAAGGATATGGGTTGGTATTTAATTTTTCTGTACTAAATAACCTAGGTGTTCTTGATGTCCATATTATCAGATGGTTAAATTTTACCAAAGTTCTTAATGGACAAACTGTGGGAGTCGATTCTAGACAAAATTTGATGCATAGGGTCCAACTCCGAAGTGTAAAGGAGTTTAGACCAATTTTTGTCATTCTTAAGGTGGTCATGTTTTTTATTGAATACGAAGAAATTGCTCAAAAACTGTCCAAGATAATTAAATTCCAGTAAACCATCGTAAAGTAGATAAAGTTTTGTTTAGGAAAACTCATTAAATTTACTCCAAACCAGACTTCAGCACTTACTAGAAAAACGCTCTAAACTTCCAATTAATTACAAAAGACTCATATACATGACTATAACAAGGCCTATTTGGACTTACGGAGTTGAGCTATGGGGCTCCACTAAACCATCGAATTCCTCTCGTATCCAATCCTTCGTAAAATCCTCAATGCTCCCTACTTTGTTACAAATAAAACCATCCATAATGACCTAAATGTTCCTTATGTTCAGATCTGGCCCAATCCAGATACCTATCCTTCCATAATAAACTTCAGAATCATCCCAACCCTCTCGTTTCTAACCTTGCTTTCTCTTCAATTCCTGATAAAGCTTCGAGGCGTCTGAAAAGAAGATGGCCCCGTGATCTCCTAATGTAGAAATATCATTAGAGTCCTATCATTGGGTAGTTATTCAACAACAGTTTTCACGTCATCATATCTATATGTTCAAATTTACTAGATGTATTTCTTTAATACAGTTGTAAATATCATTAAGAATTAATAATAAAAAAGATTTACTTATGTTAATGAAAAAAGGAACTATCAGGAAATCTAATACGGCAGGATACTGTACTGCTCGTGTGATGTATTTAGAATTTAATTATCTTTCACAATTTATGAACAAATCCTTCATATTCAATTAAAAATGTAACCTTCTTAAGAACGACACGAAATTGGCCTTAACTCTTTTCCTTTCGCAATCTTGCTTGTTGGAAATTTTTTCTGAAATCACGTCCCAGAGTTTTGCCATTAAGAACTAAGGGATCTTGAATATATTATAAATCCTTTATGGGGCTCTCAGGAGCAACAGTTCTTGAAGAATGTAGTATCAAGCGAAAGGAAATTTCATGGGTAAGTGACGAGTCTTAATTTCTTTAAATTAAGGTAAATTTTTACTACAACTTTAGTAAAAGTCATTGAAAGAATATGATATTTCTAAACTCTGATATGGATGGATAAATCCAGTTAGGACTGGTCATCCCATCAAACGATATTTTTTTTTTTTTTTACTGTATTATCAATTCCTATAAATATGCTGTACATATAAACCTGTCATATTAGTTATAAAACTCAGGAAAAAATTTAATCAAATCATTTTGGTCTCGATGTGTATGCTTTTTCATCATGGTAACATTTCATTAAATAAATTTCATGATAAAGAAATGGAATTTTATTTTATCTTAAATATAACAGGTTAATTTCTTGGATATGTAAATTTAAACCGTGTCTCCATTTTTAGCTACGCCTCAAACTACCTTTCTTTAACGCTAATTATCATTATACCAGTGAAGTGGCTGAGGGAGAAGCGTAGGGATCTCCTAAGCCTCCCTTTTCCCTCCACAGTGGAGGGGACAGGATTGGTTCGGAGATCACCTGGCAAATTGTAAATAATGTATAGTATGTTTTATATAAGGTGTTTGTTTTACTTTTATTTCTATTTTTATTTACTTATGTGTATATATATATATTTTTTTTTCTTTACTCTTTTGTTCTTTCTTCTTATTCTTTTGTTATTACTTTATTTATTTATATTTTTGTATATACGGTATGAATGCAATCTCTGAACTCTATTATAAGTGTCCTTAAACTGTGACAAATTGTAATATTTCTGAATAAAGTGTTTTAATAATAATTATCATTATAAATATGAATCAGAAAAATTTGGTTATTATTCACTTAATAATAAAAATTAAAATTCTTCTGGTCTTAACAATTACTATTTAGAAATCATATATCATAAAAGAATTAATTTTTCATTGAAAATTTATAATAAACAATGGATAAACACAAAATAGGTTTACTTTGAGAATAACGAATTTTCTAAATATTTATCAATATTAATCTTCAGAGCGTCAAAAGTTTCTCATTGCCTGTTAAATTTTGTCAAATAAGTCTAAACTTTCAAATCATGTGTATTTGACAAATTCGACAGTTCAGAATAAGTGACAAAACAGTAACAGGAGATACTTTAGAAAAAAAATGGGACAAATTCAATTACATTACTTTTATATTATTTTCTTTAATCAAATAATTTTGTATTGAAGGAGTTGCCCACGGCGAAGATTTGATGTATGTATTGTCAGCAAAACAAGCAAGTACACAAGAGACTGAAGCGGATAAACAGGTCTCAAGAGAACTAATCGACTTATGGGTCTCGTTTGCAGCTAACAGGTGATATAATTTATAATTTGATAAAAAGTATTAGGAGGACCGGAAATTAACGTCGTTTTCTTACAGTGAATTCAAACACATAAATTTCATACGAGTTTTTATTTTTAATCATTGATGGAATTACCCTCATTATCTAAGATGTAAATTTTCAAAAATTCAATTTATATATATATATTTTAAAATCTTATTGATTGAAAAATATTACAATCTGTCTCAAGGACATTTATAATAGTGTTCAGAGATCACATTCACACTCTATGTACTGTAAATAAAATAAATTATACAGAAAAATAACAATATACAATAAATAAGAATAAAATAACCTAAAAATAAATGAATAAAAAGAACAGATACATACCTATATACAATATTTACAATCTTGGGTGAGGTGAGGGAACTCCAAACCAGACTTGTCCCTCCAAGTGTGGAGAGAAAAGCATGGCTTTTTTATATATAGAGATATAATTTTGGACATCATTAAAATTTGCAAAGGAAGCGCTGTAGCTTAGTGGGTGAGCAGTGACTTCTAAACCTAAAGGTCTCAGGTTCGAAGACTGATGACTAGTAATTTTTCATCAGCCGTGGTTTGATCCTGGGACGAGAGACCCTCCTTGGGTAAAACAGCCTCTATCCTCTACTCTTAATTAAATGATTGATTAAGGGGAAAAACCTGGCGGTTGAGCAAGGCTGTACGGGGTTTTCCTGGGCCAGAGGATGCGAGTGGGGATTTGAAAGACGACAGGGCCACCGGAACGCGAATTCGCAAAACATGGCTATTTTTAATCATTTGTCTCACGTATCAGGTCGCCAGGCAACGGCCGCACAACAGCCCGTTCGGTCACTCAATCTTTTGCTCTTTATGAGGTTGTAAACCTGACTTAGCAGTATTTCGTGGCGATTCTTTTAGAGAGAGCCACTGCCTTTTGCGTTTTGGATTATCATACAGGAACCATTTTTCATCTTCGGTGATTAAGTGATCAAAAATAGCTTCTGTGTTGTGCCGTTGAAGCAATATGTTGCATTTGGTGGTTTCCCAATCTGCTGCAAGTGTTATTGGAAGGTCGACCAAGTTTGGTTAAAACTGCTTCCAAATAAATACGAGATGGAAAGATTAAAATTACTGGATATAAACTTGAAAAACCACCTTTGGCATTTAAGAACGTCTAGTGCATTTGAATAAACATCGCAAATGCTTTGGTAGCAACTGTTGCTTTACTAGCCTTGCGAAACTCAAAAATTATACAATGCCGGATATATACGTCTTCTGGTATTTGACTGACCATTTAACTAGAATTTGCAAAAAAAAAAAGAAAGTATTTACAACTAAAGATGTCACGCTAACCTTGAATGTCTTCGCCACGACATACATATACACAATGAACTGCCAAATGACAACCAAATAGTGATAAGCTGGGAAACGACATTACTTTCCAGTCTTCCTAATATATAACTATTAACAATAAGTTTTGATTATCCATATTATAAAATTAAAAAAAAATTATATTCTTAATGTAAGGCAAAACTTATTGTTAATATATTTAAGGAAGATTCCAAAACAAATCAGGAAGTCTTTCAATTACTAATAAATAATTAACTAGTCAACATTTCACCAATTTAGGCATCATTAGAACAGAAACAGATCAAATTTAGGCAATTTAAGATATAATGTATATATTAATAAGGTTTCCTGGATAGAAAATGTCTTTGAAAGATCACGATTTAGCTGGGTGTTGGACATGACTTCCTTAAGCATTAAGATAGGCTCCGCATCTATCTTCAACAGCAGCAGTGGCAGAATGGCACTGGATATGTTTTATTGTTTCACAAGATTCAATTATCCTTCTTAGTAAGGAATTAAGGTCATTGACCAGACTTGCATAGACTTTTTGTTTAATGCCACTCCAAACAAAAAAATCCAGTGGTACCAAGTCTGGAAAACGCGCAGGCCAAGTCACTGGTCCTGCACGGCCAATCCTTTGATTGGGATTATGGGCTTTATTGAAAAATTATAAATTAAC